GGTTTTGTTGAATTCAAAAATTTTAATTGGTGTCTCTGATGTGGAGAGTGTAATTTTTTTTTTTTTTGCACACACAGATACCAGGTTGCAGCCCCAGTGTCATGGAGGGATGTTGCTAAAATGTTTAATAGATTTATATTTATAATATAATTAGATTTAATGTATCTCCTCCTCCTCCTTAGCGTTCACCAGCTGTAAACTCTGGCGGAAATTTATTGGTTTTTTTGGTCCATTTCTTGACTTTGGTCTTGTTTCAGAACTTGAATGTTGTGTATCTGGCTTATCTGTATGTCAACTATTGGTTCCTCACCTCTCAGATATACTCCGACTTTGAAGGAAGATGCAACAGATGAGATAATGCTGCTTGCTGATTGAGAGTGTTTGGCATATTATTACCCACACTACCGACTGTGTCCCTAACACAGTTACATTAAATGTGGTGGATTTTGTTCAGATTTGAAATTTAACATATTGTATCTCATAAAGTTATATGGATGTGATGAACATGTAAAAGTCTGGAAATATTTCATGTATAGTGTCTTGTACCACTAGAAATGAATGAGATTCTCACCTTTATGATTTAGGAAATATGGCATTACTTGGAAGATAAAATCTAACTCTGGAAAAAAAAAAGGATCAAATTCTTGTGACCACATTCTGTTTTCTTAGTTACTTGTGCACTGTTTTGTTAAGGTTGCCATTGTGATGGTCTTGTTCATTTGTCACATATTTTGAGGCATTCTGTTTTTAACGGTTTAAAAAAAAAACATGAGGCATTTCGCAACAAGAAGCAGAAAACCCATTACTTTCTGTTGGGCACAGTTTCCCATATATGTCAGTATTCTGGCTTATCTATAGTGACCTGTTTACAAGATGCATAGTTGGCTGAGTTCATGCCTGCACAAACGTTTAGAAGTCAGGATATGAATTCTTTAACTAACACCAGCGTGGGGGTGGGGGGTCTTTTGAGCTAAGTGGCTTTTTTAAAGCCAAGTTACATTAAATTTTCCTGTAAGCCTCAGTGATAGATGTTGCCAAGTAATTGCGCGAGTCACACAATAGATGTGTGTTGTTCTAGGCCCTGGAAATGTGTTTTCCATTTAATGCTTCCCTCTGTTCATGTTTATTGATTACTTCTTTCATGTACCTTTTTAATATTTATATATAAAAAGAAATTCTTTACAAAGTTGCATAAATTCATTTTTAATTTATTAGTGACATGTGTTAAATTGTTTTTCAAAATTTCTTTTCTAAAATCTAATAGGGTTATGACCTTTTTATTGTGTTCCCGGGACAAAAGGGTTAAAGCACATATTTCTTCTTCTTTCTTTTCTTCCCCTTCTCCTCCTTACCTTCCTCTGCATCTGTTCCTTGATAGTGAATATGCAACATGGTTTCATTAATCTTACTTTGTGGCTACCCATAAACTTATATTTGATAGGATAATGCAGTAGTTTCCCCGGTTAATGCGGTAGTTTCCCCGGTTAATGCAGTAGTTTCCCCGGTTAATGTAATAGTTTCCCCGGTTAGTGCAGTGGTTAACCCAGTAGTTTTCCCAGTTAATGCGGTAGTTTCCCCGGTTAATGTAATAGTTTCCCCGGTTAGTGCAGTGGTTAACCCAGTAGTTTTCCCAGTTAATGCGGTAGTTTCCCCGGTTAATGTAATAGTTTCCCCGGTTAGTGCAGTGGTTAACCCAGTAGTTTTCCCAGTTAGTGCGGTAGTTTCCCCCTTGCCAAGAGATTTACATTGAAAAATGGTCAGGATAGTGGCCAGTTACATCCTGCTCTGTTTATTTCCCAACTGCCGACTGTTCCTTAATTTGTCCAGTGTGCCTCAACTTTTTTTCATACTTATCTGAAAAGGCTATGCATTCAATCAGTTACCCCAGGATCTCGGTAGAGTGGCTTACTTAGTTTGTATAAATCATTCCCAAAAGAATTCAGACCTGATATTTTTCTAGTGGCAGATGCTGTATTTCTGCTAAATCCTGTACTTCACAATTTGGCCTAAATATTAAAGATAACATGGTCACCTAAAAATAATAGTAAATGATGAAAAAAAAATGATGACGTCATTAACTTTGAATATCTAGGCCAAATAATAAACAGCAATGGAGACTTTCAACAAAAGTCTAAAGGAGGATAGCCATAGCAGTGCAAAGATTAAACAGCATTAAACATCTGTAGTTAAGAGCAGGCAAGGAAATCAGAGTAACAATTGTGACAGCATGCATCTTCCCTGGAGCAACATACGGATGTGAGTCGTGGACTATCTCCTATCTTCCCCGTAGCAACATACGGATGTAAGTCGTGGACTATCTCCTATCTTCCCTGTAGCAACATACGGATGTGAGTCGTGGACTATCTCCTATCTTCCCCGTAGCAACATACGGATGTGAGTCATGGACTATCTCCTATCTTCCCTGTAGCAACATATGGATGTAAGTCGTGGATTATCTCCTATCTTCCCTGTAGCAACATACGGATGTGAGTCGTGGACTATCTCCTATCTTCCCCGTAGCAACATACGGATGTGAGTCGTGGACTATCTCCTATCTTTCCTGTAGCAACATGTGGATGTAAGTCGTGGACTATCTCCTATCTTTCCTGTAGCAACATACGGATGTAAGTCGTGGACTATCTCCTATCTTTCCTGTAGCAACATACGGATGTAAGTCGTGGACTATCTCCTATCTTCCCTGTAGCAACATATGGATGTAAGTCGTGGACTATCTCCCAGTCCTTAAGGAAGAAAATTGGGGCTTTGAGCTGAAATGCTATAGAAAGGTTTTCAAAATACCATGAACAATGAAGAAAAGAAATACAGACATCCTAAAAGATCTGAACATCGAGAAAGTTTGACCAGTAAACATAATCTTTTTAGGAGACTGAAATATTGTGGCCATATCCAGCACCATGGAAAAAAGTAACAGCAGAAAGCTGGTGCCAGGAAAGGGACAGAGGGTCACAGGAAATGGGCAGAGGGCCAGTCAGCACAAAAATGGGTACAGGATATAAGTTACTCCTTTGATATAGACAAGCATGAGTCAGGATATCTGGTGAAAGACCGAGTTTCTTTCAGGCCGACTGATGAGAGTGACGTTCTGCAAATGGATTTGCTGCACGATGATCCATTTTCACGAGAACGGGTCTACTCCAGAGCTGTGCTGTCTGAAAATATAATCCTGTCTCCCCTGGGCATTGAACCTGGGACCAGTCCTGGTAGGCTACTGCTCTAACTCATATGCCACCACAGCTTCTAAACAATATAAAAATGTTTTCTGTGATAATGGATAACAATATTAGAATGTTCATTTCTTATTATTTCATTTATTTGATGTGTACACCAGTTTGAATATCCAAATTCTACAGTAAATTTGGATGGAGTTGTTGTTAAATTGTGTCTTATAGTTTCAGTTGTGAAAGTATTTGCCACATGCTTTTGACTAGTCATGGTAAGGTAATGCTGTTGCCATGGTAAGGTTATGCTGTTGCCATGGTAAGGTAATGCTGTTGCCATGGTAAGGTTATGCTGTTGCCATGGTAAGGTAATGCTGTTGCCATGGTAAGGTAATGCTGTTGCCATGGTAAGGTAATGCTGTTGCCATGGTAAGGTAATGCTGTTGCCATGGTAAGGTAATGCTGTTGCCATGGTAAGGTAATGCTGTTGCCATGGTAAGGTAATGCTGTTGCCATGGTAAGGAAATGCGGTTGCCATGGTAAGGTAATGCTGTTGCCATATGCTGACTTTATGTTAGTAGAGTTGAGGCATTGGAAGAATCCATGTTTTTTTGTACATATGGTCCATCAGTTTAATTTTGCTTGTTTGACAAACATATTAACAATATGAGGGGTCTTAAAATGAAAACCTAGGATAGAATGGATAGAAACTACCATTAACATGCCATTATCTTGTAGTCTGTTAGTATTTTTGTTAAGAACTTGCAGATGAAACATAGTGATGTGTTCTTTGGTGCATGTCAAAAGTGGGGCAGCCACCAGGCTGTCATTATGATATCACATTGTGTGTCTGCACCCTGATGTCATGCGCCTAATAATAGTAAAGTAAGTAAAGGACCCTTTTCCGCGCCTTTAGGCATATAGGGCTAGACCTATATTTTTATAGACCAACGGCACAAGATGGGTGATGTGGTTAGCATCACGCCGGCCGCCTTTACTTCCCAGGACTGCACCCGGTACCCACTCAAGGCTGGGTAGACCTGGGAGCCAAGGTCATTTTTTTAAAAAGTCCGGCTCCGCCAAGGAGCGAACCCACGACTATCCGAACCGTGGCATGTGTCTAGCCGTTTCGCCAGGCCAACTCCCGTGCCTAATAATACTTTGGCAAAATTCATCATTAGTCAATGAGAACAAGAAAAACACATTTTTATAATTTAATTTCTGTATATCATAAAACATTTGAAACACGCAACAATGCTAACTTAAAAACGGAATCCTATATGATGTCTGAATGTAGCACAATACATATAGAACACTGAACATAATTACAGTTTTTGTTTTGTTTTTCCTAACGGCTAAGGAGAACACAGCATGTCTTTCTTCCCCTAAATGAAATAACGTATAAAGCATCTGTGCTATAATTGTCAGCAAGTGGAATCTGTAGATTTATGAATGAATGAACAAACTTTTTTTTCCACAGGGTTAAGAACTGAGCACACAGGCCCATCTAACATTCTGCCCTTCTGGTCTCTCTCCTTTCATAAATCATTTCATTCATACATCTAACAATTTACAGATAAATAAATAGGGACTGAGAAGTTATGATTCCCGCCTCTGGTTGACCGCTGTGCATTGTTTGATTGTAACCAAAATAATAGAAGGATGGTATACTTTTTTTTACCCCTGGTCATCATACTTAGATAGTCCGTCTGTACTGTGCTGCACAGTCTGCGGCAGATTCTTGAAAAAAACTGCAACAAATCTTTCCATTCAACCCAATAATAATTTGGTTATGATCTTTTAAAATGGCATTCGAGGTTGTCATACACTCCAGTCACGTGCTACTGCATTCAAACACCTCTCACAGGGACTAGATGCGTGCTGGGCTGTGTAGCGGCGACATCTCTCACAGATGTGCAGTAAGGCGGGTGCTACTATCATCTTGTAGTCTACCTCCATCCCTTGTCCAGGCACATGATCTGTTTGATAAAAAAATTTTTTATCAGAAATAATAAATTACTTGGCCAGTATGCTAATTAGAGAGGCAAAGAATCCAGTTAGGCAAAGAATGCAATTAGAGAGGCAAAGAATGCAATTAGAGATGCAAGAATGCAATTAGAGAGGCAAAGAATCCAGTTAGGCAAAGAATGCAATTAGAGATGCAAGAATGCAATTAGAGATGCAAAGAATGCAATTAGAGATGCAAGAATGCAATTAGAGAGGCAAAGAATGCAATTAGAGATGCAAGAATGCAATTAGAGATGCAAAGAATGCAATTAGAGATGCAAGAAAGCAATTAGAGAGGCAAAGAATGCAATTAGAGAGGCAAAGAATGCAATTAGAGAGGCAAAGAATGCAATTAGAGAGGCAAAGAATCCAGTTAAAGAAGCAAAGAATGTAATTAGAGAGGCAAAGAATGCAATTAGAGAGGCAAAGAATGCAATTAGAGAGGCAAAGAATGCAATTAGAGAGGCAAAGAATCCAGTTAAAGAGGCAAAGAATGCAATTAGAGAGGCAAAGAATCCAGTTAAAGAGGCAAAGAATGCAATTAGAGAGGCAAAGAATCCAGTTAAAGAGGCAAAGAATGCAATTAGAGAGGCAAAGAATCCAGTTAAAGAGGCAAAGAATGCAATTAGAGAGGCAAAGAATCCAGTTAAAGAGGCAAAGAATGCAATTAGAGAGGCAAAGAATCCAGTTAAAGAAGCAAAGAATGCAATTAGAAAGGCAAAGAATCCAGTTAAAGAAGCAAAGAATGCAATTAGAAAGGCAAAGAATCCAGTTAAAGAAGCAAAGAATGCAATTAGAAAGGCAAAGAATCCAGTTAAAGAAGCAAAGAATGCAATTAGAGAGGCAAAGAATCCAGTTAAAGAGGCAAAGAATGCAATTAGAGAGGCAAAGAATCCAGTTAAAGAGGCAAAGAATGCAATTAGAGAGGCAAAGAATCCAGTTAAAGAAGCAAAGAATGCAATTAGAAAGGCAAAGAATCCAGTTAAAGAAGCAAAGAATGCAATTAGAAAGGCAAAGAATCCAGTTAAAGAAGCAAAGAATGCAATTAGAAAGGCAAAGAATCCAGTTAAAGAAGCAAAGAATGCAATTAGAGAGGCAAAGAATCCAGTTAAAGAAGCAAAGAATGCAATTAGAGAGGCAAAGAATCCAGTTAAAGAAGCAAAGAATGCAATTAGAGAGGCAAAGAATCCAGTTAAAGAAGCAAAGAATGCAATTAGAAAGGCAAAGAATCCAGTTAAAGAAGCAAAGAATGCAATTAGAGAGGCAAAGAATCCAGTTAAAGAAGCAAAGAATGCAATTAGAAAGGCAAAGAATCCAGTTAAAGAAGCAAAGAATGCAATTAGAAAGGCAAAGAATCCAGTTAAAGAAGCAAAGAATGCAATTAGAGAGGCAAAGAATCCAGTTAAAGAAGCAAAGAATGCAATTAGAGAGGCAAAGAATCCAGTTAAAGAAGCAAAGAATGCAATTAGAAAGGCAAAGAATCCAGTTAAAGAAGCAAAGAATGCAATTAGAAAGGCAAAGAATCCAGTTAAAGAAGCAAAGAATGCAATTAGAAAGGCAAAGAATCCAGTTAAAGAAGCAAAGAATGCAATTAGAGAGGCAAAGAATCCAGTTAAAGAAGCAAAGAATGCAATTAGAGAGGCAAAGAATCCAGTTAAAGAGGCAAAGAATGCAATTAGAGAGGCAAAGAATCCAGTTAAAGAAGCAAAGAATGCAATTAGAAAGGCAAAGAATCCAGTTAAAGAGGCAAAGAATGCAATTAGAGAGGCAAAGAATCCAGTTAAAGAAGCAAAGAATGCAATTAGAAAGGCAAAGAATCCAGTTAAAGAAGCAAAGAATGCAATTAGAAAGGCAAAGAATCCAGTTAAAGAAGCAAAGAATGCAATTAGAAAGGCAAAGAATCCAGTTAAAGAAGCAAAGAATGCAATTAGAGAGGCAAAGAATCCAGTTAAAGAAGCAAAGAATGCAATTAGAAAGGCAAAGAATCCAGTTAAAGAAGCAAAGAATGCAATTAGAGAGGCAAAGAATCCAGTTAAAGAAGCAAAGAATGCAATTAGAAAGGCAAAGAATCCAGTTAAAGAAGCAAAGAATGCAATTAGAGAGGCAAAGAATCCAGTTAAAGAAGCAAAGAATGCAATTAGAAAGGCAAAGAATCCAGTTAAAGAAGCAAAGAATGCAATTAGAAAGGCAAAGAATCCAGTTAAAGAAGCAAAGAATGCAATTAGAAAGGCAAAGAATCCAGTTAAAGAAGCAAAGAATGCAATTAGAGAGGCAAAGAATCCAGTTAAAGAAGCAAAGAATGCAATTAGAAAGGCAAAGAATCCAGTTAAAGAAGCAAAGAATGCAATTAGAAAGGCAAAGAATCCAGTTAAAGAAGCAAAGAATCCAGTTAAAGAAGCAAAGAATGCAATTAGAGAGGCAAAGAATCCAGTTAAAGAAGCAAAGAATGCAATTAGAAAGGCAAAGAATCCAGTTAAAGAAGCAAAGAATGCAATTAGAAAGGCAAAGAATCCAGTTAAAGAAGCAAAGAATGCAATTAGAGAGGCAAAGAATCCAGTTAAAGAAGCAAAGAATGCAATTAGAAAGGCAAAGAATCCAGTTAAAGAAGCAAAGAATGCAATTAGAAAGGCAAAGAATCCAGTTAAAGAAGCAAAGAATGCAATTAGAAAGGCAAAGAATCCAGTTAAAGAAGCAAAGAATGCAATTAGAGAGGCAAAGAATCCAGTTAAAGAAGCAAAGAATGCAATTAGAGAGGCAAAGAATCCAGTTAAAGAAGCAAAGAATGCAATTAGAGAGGCAAAGAATCCAGTTAAAGAAGCAAAGAATGCAATTAGAAAGGCAAAGAATCCAGTTAAAGAAGCAAAGAATGCAATTAGAAAGGCAAAGAATCCAGTTAAAGAAGCAAAGAATGCAATTAGAGAGGCAAAGAATCCAGTTAAAGAAGCAAAGAATGCAATTAGAAAGGCAAAGAATCCAGTTAAAGAAGCAAAGAATGCAATTAGAAAGGCAAAGAATCCAGTTAAAGAAGCAAAGAATGCAATTAGAAAGGCAAAGAATCCAGTTAAAGAAGCAAAGAATGCAATTAGAGAGGCAAAGAATCCAGTTAAAGAAGCAAAGAATGCAATTAGAGAGGCAAAGAATCCAGTTAAAGAAGCAAAGAATGCAATTAGAGAGGCAAAGAATCCAGTTAAAGAAGCAAAGAATGCAATTAGAGAGGCAAAGAATCCAGTTAAAGAAGCAAAGAATGCAATTAGAGAGGCAAAGAATCCAGTTAAAGAAGCAAAGAATGCAATTAGAAAGGCAAAGAATCCAGTTAAAGAAGCAAAGAATGCAATTAGAAAGGCAAAGAATCCAGTTAAAGAAGCAAAGAATGCAATTAGAAAGGCAAAGAATCCAGTTAAAGAAGCAAAGAATGCAATTAGAAAGGCAAAGAATCCAGTTAAAGAAGCAAAGAATGCAATTAGAGAGGCAAAGAATCCAGTTAAAGAAGCAAAGAATGCAATTAGAAAAGGCAAAGAATCCAGTTAAAGAAGCAAAGAATGCAATTAGAGAGGCAAAGAATCCAGTTAAAGAAGCAAAGAATGCAATTAGAAAGGCAAAGAATCCAGTTAAAGAAGCAAAGAATGCAATTAGAGAGGCAAAGAATCCAGTTAAAGAAGCAAAGAATGCAATTAGAAAGGCAAAGAATCCAGTTAAAGAAGCAAAGAATGCAATTAGAGAGGCAAAGAATCCAGTTAAAGAAGCAAAGAATGCAATTAGAAAGGCAAAGAATCCAGTTAAAGAAGCAAAGAATGCAATTAGAAAGGCAAAGAATCCAGTTAAAGAAGCAAAGAATGCAATTAGAAAGGCAAAGAATCCAGTTAAAGAAGCAAAGAATGCAATTAGAGAGGCAAAGAATCCAGTTAAAGAAGCAAAGAATGCAATTAGAAAGGCAAAGAATCCAGTTAAAGAAGCAAAGAATGCAATTAGAAAGGCAAAGAATCCAGTTAAAGAAGTAAAGAATGCAATTAGAGAGGCAAAGAATCCAGTTAAAGAAGCAAAGAATGCAATTAGAGAGGCAAAGAATCCAGTTAAAGAAGCAAAGAATGCAATTAGAAAGGCAAAGAATCCAGTTAAAGAAGCAAAGAATGCAATTAGAAAGGCAAAGAATCCAGTTAAAGAAGCAAAGAATGCAATTAGAGAGGCAAAGAATCCAGTTAAAGAGAGCAAAGAATGCAATTAGAAAGGCAAAGAATCCAGTTAAAGAAGCAAAGAATGCAATTAGAAAGGCAAAGAATCCAGTTAAAGAAGCAAAGAATGCAATTAGAAAGGCAAAGAATCCAGTTAAAGAAGCAAAGAATGCAATTAGAGAGGCAAAGAATCCAGTTAAAGAAGCAAAGAATGCAATTAGAGAGGCAAAGAATCCAGTTAAAGAAGCAAAGAATGCAATTAGAGAGGCAAAGAATCCAGTTAAAGAAGCAAAGAATGCAATTAGAAAGGCAAAGAATCCAGTTAAAGAAGCAAAGAATGCAATTAGAAAGGCAAAGAATCCAGTTAAAGAAGCAAAGAATGCAATTAGAGAGGCAAAGAATCCAGTTAAAGAAGCAAAGAATGCAATTAGAAAGGCAAAGAATCCAGTTAAAGAAGCAAAGAATGCAATTAGAAAGGCAAAGAATCCAGTTAAAGAAGCAAAGAATGCAATTAGAAAGGCAAAGAATCCAGTTAAAGAAGCAAAGAATGCAATTAGAGAGGCAAAGAATCCAGTTAAAGAAGCAAAGAATGCAATTAGAGAGGCAAAGAATCCAGTTAAAGAAGCAAAGAATGCAATTAGAGAGGCAAAGAATCCAGTTAAAGAAGCAAAGAATGCAATTAGAGAGGCAAAGAATCCAGTTAAAGAAGCAAAGAATGCAATTAGAGAGGCAAAGAATCCAGTTAAAGAAGCAAAGAATGCAATTAGAAAGGCAAAGAATCCAGTTAAAGAAGCAAAGAATGCAATTAGAAAGGCAAAGAATCCAGTTAAAGAAGCAAAGAATGCAATTAGAAAGGCAAAGAATCCAGTTAAAGAAGCAAAGAATGCAATTAGAAAGGCAAAGAATCCAGTTAAAGAAGCAAAGAATGCAATTAGAGAGGCAAAGAATCCAGTTAAAGAAGCAAAGAATGCAATTAGAAAGGCAAAGAATCCAGTTAAAGAAGCAAAGAATGCAATTAGAAAGGCAAAGAATCCAGTTAAAGAAGCAAAGAATGCAATTAGAGAGGCAAAGAATGCAATTAGAGAAGCAAAGAATGCAATTAGAAAGGCAAAGAATCCAGTTAAAGAAGCAAAGAATGCAATTAGAGAGGCAAAGAATGCAATTAGAGAAGCAAAGAATGCAATTAGAAAGGCAAAGAATCCAGTTAAAGAAGCAAAGAATGCAATTAGAGAAAGTTTTATCTGAAAACCCACACAAGGAAATTTGTCATAAGGTTTGGGCTGTTGAGGGAGATGAAAGGCAGGAAAAAAGACAGTAAAAAAGCAAAATATTTCTGATGAGGAATGAGTGTCACTGACTTCGGGCAAGAAGTTTTGACTGAAATCATACTTCAGAATAAATAAATAAAATTTTTTATTTTTTCTGTCCCCTTCTCCTACATGTAGTTCCCTTTCCTCCCTGACTCTTTCAAATCACTACAATGATTGTTTAATATAATAATAATTTTCAATAATAATAATGAATCTGTTTTCCCCTTCCTCGTTTACCTTATTTTTCCTTCTCTTTTCATTCCTTTCTACTTGATCTCCCCGTTCCATTCCTCGTCCACCTCATTCTTTCTTCTCTGTTCCTTTCTACCTCCTCTTCCACCTTATTCGTCCTTTGCCTTCTTTTTGATAACTGACAAATGAAAATGCAAAGCACCACCAATAACTTACAAGCAGAAGAGGAATGACTCAAAGAAACCCAAAATAATTCTATAATTAATGAAACTCACCAGTCTGATGTACCAGGGTAGTGCCTTGCACAATCAGTGTGTCGTCGGGAATAACTGGGGGAGGAGAGTCCAGCACTGACACCTGGGAGGTCTGGAAGATCTCGCACAAAGAGGAAGTTGCTGAAGTGATCTCTGGCTGCATTGCCTGCAAAAAAATGCATCAAGGTGTGACAGAATACAAGCATTTTTCTCCTTGATCTTTACTAAGATGATCTGCTCTACACTAAAAAGTTGGCTGTGTATCCTTTACAGGACGTTGCAGAACCAACCCCAGTATTTTTTGGCTATTATGGTTTTTCTAGGCTAATTTTTACATTCGTTTGTTTGCCATTGCCATCTGAACTATCAGCTCTCGGTAAAGGACAAAAAAATAAAGAACATAATTAAATAGTCTATGTAACTGAAGACATAAATTCAACTGTATTATGAAACTAGTTTGAGGTTTTGAACATCGGATCAACATCAAGGCACATGTGAAAAAATCCCAGCCCTTACCAGGGATTGAACCCGGAACCTCTAGCACTCGAGGTGGACACCATGCCTCAAGACCACGCAGCCCCCTATTATGAAATTAAAATATATGAAACTCTAAATTGTATAGTTTTAAAACCAAGCTATATATTTGTAATTTTAATGTTATTTCAGTTTTAACATGAAAGAGCTGGACAACAATGGAATGAAAGTAAAAACTTGTAAGCAATAGCCAAGGAAATTAATGAAAATAAAATGGGACAAATTCAAGAATAGAGAAAAAATAAAATGTCTGGACAACGGCTAGTGTATCAGCGGTTACATATTTTTTAAAACATGGAACCAACTGCCTAAATCATGATGAAGAATGGACAGTGAATCACTGAATAGGCACTGAAATGGGATACAACTTGACTGAGCAAACGAGAACTACAAGAAAAACCCAAAGACAAACGTTCAGAGTCAAAGGTGCTGTACTGGATAAACGGAATGAAGGAGCCATATGTGACGTATAACAGTTAATTAAAGAGATTATTTTATAATGCTAAATTAACGTCTGTTAGTACATGATAATAACAAAGTAAACTGTTTGCTATTACATTAAATTAAACTGCAGCCAGGGACAGAATGGTTAGAATGTCATTTAGGAGACCTAAGTTTGAATCCCTAATACGTAATGTAGATCTTTTTCTGTCCGGGAAAACAAAGGTAAAAGTCCTAGTCTGCAGAGTTTATGAGGGCCTCACCAGCCATGAAGCCCTAAATCGTTAGGCTCAGTCAAGACCCTACCCCCATTATAACATTTTTAGTTGGTAAATAAAAGAAGTAAAGACAGACTAAATTAAGCAATTTGTGGGGGTTCCGGGGTCCCATTCTGAGGAAAAAAAATAATAGACCCACTGCCCCCAAACAAGCATGTCATAAAAGTCAACTAATTAGGGGTGTTTCCTTCAAAGTCAGAGTACATCTGCCAGAGAGTCGAGGAACCAACAGTCTGCTTACAAATAAGCCAAATCTGTAACATGGACGTGCACTCAAAACTCCAGTTCTGGGACAAGACTCGCCAGGTCCAGAAGTGGACCGAAACAACCGAAATATCCTGAAATATCCTGAAATATCCTGAAATATCCTGAAATATCCTGCTAGAGTTTACAGCCAGCGAATGCAAAGAAGAAGAAATCATCATCAAGTGCCTTGCTGACTGACACAGGCGATCAGGCCTCTCCACAATCTGCGATCCGCAACTGAGTGTGATGACACCCATGCCATGACAGAAGGCTGTCAAGAATCTTCTTGTATCTTCCTCTGTCTTTTTTCCCCACAGATATTTTCAGTGATAACAACATGTTCCAGTTTCCCTCTTCTCATAACATGACCAAAAAATTATGACTGTCTCTTTCCGATGTTTGTGATAAGTTCTTCTTCCTCTTTGCGTTCACCAGCTGTACACTCTGGTGGAAAGTTCTGGTTGTTCGTCCACTTCTGGACTGCAGTCCTGCTCCAGAACTTGAGTGTGTTGTGTGTGCATCAGTTTTACAGATCTGATTCACTTGAATGCAGACTGTTGGTTCCTTGCCTCTCAGGCAGATGCACCCCGACTTCAAAGGAAGCTCCCAATTAGTCGACTCTTATGACATGCTTTCGGTAGGCAGTGGGTCTATTCTTGTTTTCCCCACAATGGGGCCCCAGAACCCACACAGGGATGTGATAAGTTGTCCTCGAGCCTTCGTCTCCTTCAAAATATTTGGATTGTTCTTTTTAGCTGCCCAATGAATTGTAAGAATTCTTCAATAAAACCACCTCTCTGAGGTCTCAAGAAATTGTTTGGCCTGTTTATCAATTTCCAGGATTCAAGCCGTATGTTAAAACTGGCACTGAAGGAGAAAAGTCTGCTATAAAACAGTACATTTGCAAAGCATGTTTGTAACTTACCCTCAACAAATCATGAAGTTCTGGGCTACTATAAATGAGCACATCAAAGTCTATAGGGTTTTCTGTTGGTCCTAGTACATCAGTTAGGGACCTTTTCATGTCAAATACAGGCATCAGATTGCAGGCCACCTCTGGATTGTCCCATTCTGCTTGTGGGGGGCACCAGCCATGTTTGAACACACTGTCACTCTCTTAAACAAAAAGGTAAATTTCATTATTTTGGCTGCCAAGCTGGCCAAGTGGTTAAGAACACTACGCTCTCACTGGGAGACCCAGGTTGGAATCCTTGGTAAGGCGATGGATTTTTCTCTTGGGGGTAAAAAAAAAAAATCCTAACCTGCAAAGGCCGTGGGGACTGCATTAGCCATGCGACCCTAAATCCTGGGGCTCAAGACCTCCCTGTTTTCAACCACACAGCAAGTCCTTTAGAAAACGTCGCTCTCGTCACGGCACGCCTGAAAGACTCTCTTTCTCAACCAATTCTTCAGCACTATGTGCTATTATCGTCAATGCATCTTCAATGTCCTATATCCAGGTTCAAGCAGGTCAGCCTATGCATCCTCCATCACCGTTCTCTCCAGACCATCAAGGTACTTGACATGTCCAAAATGCCTCAGCTTTCAGGAGAGGATGCTATATTTCAGCCAGTTCTCCTTGATATTCAGGTCATGTAGGATGCCGACGATTTTCCTCTTTTTGGTCCACATATTCTAAGAATTTCCCTGTCCTACATCACCCTAAAAAGTGTACAAACAGGCAGTAAAAGAAACAAAGACTTTGGCTCTTGTGAAAGTAAAATCAAAGAATGACTGCCACTGTTGGACAAGACCTGAGTTAGGAATTTAAAGATCTTAGTGAAAATCTGACAGGAGCTTTTAACAATAAGAAAACCATAACAGAGAATTAAGAAGTTTTTAGCATTCAGAGAAAACATGATAGAGAAATAAAATGAGTTATGACATTGAGCTAAAACATGAGTGAGGCTTTTTAAAGAGTTTCAACATTTAGAGAAAAGAAACGTAAATAACTAGGGTTAACTTTCACCTGGTAAAGAAGAATGGACAGAGAAATCAACATACAATATACAAAATCAGGTTAGGTACCAGGACAACTAACACAGCATTGAAATACAGAAGTGTACCTGTGTCTACTATAGCAAATTTATGCTTGCAGAGTCAAATATTTACTCTTACTACAACTAACGAATAATTAAAAAATCACAATAGATCCCAGCATGGGTTCTGGGCCCCCATATTTGAGGAAAAGGAATAGACCCACTGCCTCCCTAACAAAATGTACAAGACAACTAATTAGGGGAGTTTCCTTCAAAGCCATAGTGCATCAGCCTGAGAGGCAAGGAACCAACAGCCTGCACACAAATACGCCAGATCTGTAAAACTGATGTGCATGCTAAACTCAAGTTCTGGAACAAGACCAAAGTCCAAAATGGATGAACAACCAGAACTTTCAGAGTTTACAGCTGGTGAACATTAAGAAGAAAAAATAAAATAAAAACAAAATGACGAGGAATGTAAGAAGTACTGAGATGAATCAAGTGTGAGGAGAATTCTGACTTATTCACAAATGTTGTTGCAAGAATACCTGCCCAGGGTAGCCATGTGCAGACTGGTCGACCCTCAAAGGTATTCTCCACCTCCATGCAGGCTTCCATAAATGCAGAGCCGACACATGACGCTCTGGTACTGGGCTCACCCAAGGAATCGTCATGTCCTGCACATGACTGTTTAACCACACATACGTATATTAGGACTTCCACCATGGGTTGTGCTCTTTAGGGATCCACAGGAAGCAGTCTGCAGACTTGAGACTCCGAGCATTGCATTCTAAAACTGAGGTGTTTAAAAAAAAATGATAATGTGGAAAACCCTAATAAATTTTATGCACGTTAGGAGGCACTGGATCTATTCCCCCATAAAATGGCTCCAGAACTGACAAGGAAACAACTTATCTTAACAATGTAACAAAATGGCAGCCTACCTGAATTCTGTAACTGGAAACCTGTCAGGTGTCTGTAGATTTCTTCTGCCAGATGAGGAACTATCGGAGCGAAAGCAGACGTGATTGATTTTGTGACATAATACTGTACTGTCTGACTTGACCTCCGACTTTCACTGTTTGCTGCATCACAATAACACCTGCAAGATTATGGCCGGCTATTTTATTCATGCAGGCAAATCAGAACAATAATGACATCAATCATCATGTTACTATTTTTGGCATACAATATCAGTATGCATCACTAAAACACGAGCATCAGTAAAACAGTTACATCAGTAAAATATAGATATTGGCAAAACACAGACTTCACAAACACAAATACTGGTTAAAAATAGACATGAATGAAAACACAAATGTTAGTAAAATACATCCATCGTAAAACACAAAAATCAGTAAAATAAAGATCTAGGTAAAATACAAATGTGAGTAAAACAGACATCAGGAAAAAAAGAGACATCTGTAAAACAGAGGTTTCAGGAAAAGACATATATGAATAAAACCACCACCTGTAAAACATAGACACAGGTAATATACAGTCAAAAAGAAAACACTGACATTAGTAAAACATAGAAATCAGTAAAAACAAAGACTTAGTAAAACACAGAAATCAGTAAAAACAAAGGCCTAGGTAAAATGCAAATGTCAGTACAACAAAGACATCAGGACATCAGACACTGGTAAAACAGAGGAACCAAGAAAACAGAGACATAGGTAACAAAACAACATGGTTGGCTGATGTACCTGTCTTTGGTGTTGCTGATGTAGAAACTGGAGAGATCTGAGTAGAAAAATTTCTCTAAGTGTTGAATCACTTTGTAATAATTGACATTTTCATAGGCATCTTCAATCTGCAACAGATACATAATAAAACTGCATTCAATGTTTAAAAAAAAAAGCTATACTGACTATATTCACTGCTGGCTAACGTACAAAGACTAAATCAGAAAGAGGCAGTCATCATTTCATGGTCACATAAAAAGTGAAAAACTAAAACATGACATCTGAAAAGATTTAGTTTAGGGAAAAAGAGAGGTGGAGGAACTGAGACCTGGAGTACAACTAGAAGAGCCTTATTACAAACGTTTGGGAATAAAGTCTTATGCAACATTGTTTAACCCATCAAAGATCCAATGGAGAGTGAGAAGCAACAAGGAAATTCATAATCATTTAAAATTCACCACTAAGTATGGGTATCATGAAGGCTAACAGATTACAATGGAAGTACTTAGAGAGAATGGCAGAAAACAAATAGATAAAAACTTCACAAACAAAAGAGCTGAATGGGAGTAGACCATGAGGCAGACTGAAAAGATGGTGGAGAGATAATAAACATGCCGATCTACACACACTTAGAGTCCCCAACTGGAAAGAGAAGGCCAGACACAGAACGAACGAACGAACAAACTTTATTTGATGAATGGAGGCAGGTGATACCTGCAGCGGTGAACCTCAAGGGTTCGGAATGCTGAAGACAAAGACAAGATGAGGGAAGGTAAGAAAAGAAAGCTTATGTCATAGTATAGGTGTTTGAGGACAGACTTAGTCTTAATCGAGGTTTTAACCTCACTGCAATCAGGTCACCCCAAACTTGCTCCGTTCCTGTGCCAATGAAAATCAAATGAAATGTCCCTGACTGTCCCATTTGAAAAACTAGTGAACAAACAATTAGTCCCGGCACAATCTAGAAATATATGCATGCAGTAAATGCATACGACAGTCACGACTAGAAATGCAGTTTGTTGTTGATGGAAGTAGTTGAACACAAAAAGTTGGCTAACCACATATAAAATTATTACATAGGTATTTCACCAGCCCCCATGTAAACCGGCTACCGGCCATACTGAATATCACAATTCAACTCTGTCCACATGGACAGTTATCCTACAATACTGAACACGTACTGCAGACATGCTCTCTACATGCAGTTTAATTTTCTGAGTTGGTATTCCGGGCAGAGAACAAGCTGCGCTGCATCACAGACTACATAGATGCCTGTGCCATTCTTGCCTGAAAACCCCAGGTAGTGAGAATAACAAAAGAAAAAGATTTCCCAATGGAGCACAGACTCAGGTGGATCATGCCAAGGTGTCCTCTCTTTCGTGGTCACCTGCTGAACCCTCCATGCCATCCCTATCTCTTTTTCTCTTTACTATTTGTTTATTGTAGGTCTCATTTTTTTCTTATGTGTGTGGGTTCTACAGAAAGGAGTTTCTATTATATTAATTACTTTTCTAACCATGTGTCCTGTCCAGTGCCAGCCTCTTTTCCTCACCTCTCGATTCAATGAAATTAGTTTCTCATTAAAGAATCTCTTGTATCATTTTAGTCCTTTATAACATCAGTTAATGAATTTGTGTTGTTTACATTAGTCTTTTCTCAAGTTTCTGACCCATACAACAATGCTGACTTTACTGTATTTAGTAAAATCTTGACCCAATGTAAACAAAACAAAACACACACAAATTATGTGATACATGAAATTCACAGGAAAAAAAGCATACATCACACACAACTGTGGGGTGAAGGAATTCAGATAACAATAGTTTTGAGATCCTATGGAGAAAAAGCAAGTAAAAAGTAGGAAGGGAAAAAAAAAGATGAAATAAGTTAAGCAGAGCTGAGTTAAAAACAAACATCACAACACTCAGGACGCTCCCAGTCCCCATCTTTGACAGCCATGGCAGAGTTAAATTCTACTGGGACCAAAGAAAGAAAAATAAGGCTGACATGAGGACAAGAAGCTATTGCAGAACATAACAAATGTACTAGAATTTTCCTAAACTACAACTATTATCAGGGAAGGCTCGCTCATGGGCCACTCAAACATCCAAAACCTACAACAGATTGCAACGAACGGCCATGCATGGAGAGTCGTGACCTCTGCCCTATGTGCCGCACTCGACACAAGAGGAAAGACTAACTAACTAACTAATTACCTGTTGCATGGTTGTGTAGAGAATATGTAACATATACTTGTCCAGTGTGGTCAGTCTGGAGTAAGGCACTATGTGAGACTTGGGGTCAAAATCAAACAAGTTCCCCAGAAGGTGTCGTATACATCTGCGCACCTGTAATAGATTCAACAACATTTGGTTTTTGTTTTAACCATCTGAGACAACAGCAGTGATTACTTATTTCCCTGCCATCACAATTCAACTTCAAATTTTTCTTGACCAGTTTTTTAGTTCAAACTTCTTCTTCTTCTTCTGCCTTCTAACTCCCAATGGAGAAAACGTACTCGACTATCGCATGCCCAATTGACATTTTTTTATCACTGGTTTGTCGGAAGTAAAGGCAGTTGGCATGACGCTGATGCCATCACCTTTCTGGTGCTGACTGGTCTATAAAATAGGCACCAAGCACCAAAAGTCTGATGCACCACGGTGAAGAAAGTATCTTTTCACTACTTTTATTTACAAGAATGGAGGGATTTCTGCAACTAAAGAAAAGAAGCAAATAAACAAATCTGACATAGTAAAATAACATCAAGCTGTTATATAATGTTACACAACTTTATAGACTTTTTCATGGGTGGTTGAATTTTGGACTGAAAGAGAAGAAAATAAAAACACAAAACAAGCACAGTAGTAACACGAAAGCCAGCACTATGGTTGCCCACCTTGAACACATCCTCCTGCAACTGCTGCAGCAAACTTGGCCCCACCATGATGTGTTGGTGCTGATGGCTATGAGCTACCCACCACCTCAAAATGTCCACACCATACGACCGGGATTCATTTTTATTCTGCAAAATCAGAGGAAAGGCACAGAAATGGGAGAAATATTTAGACAATAGCTGATATCAACAGTTACAAAACAAACAAAAACAGATGGTGATATTTGGACACCCATAAGGAGAAATGGACATAGAATCACCAAACAGGTAGTGAAGGTGAAATGAAGTGGAAAGAGAATCACCAAACAGGCAGTGAAGGTGAAATGAAATGGACAGAGAAACGAACAGGAGTGAAGTTGAAATAAAATGAAATGGACTGAGAATCACCAAAGAGGCAGTGTAGCCAAAATGAAATGGACTGAGAATCACCAAAGAGGCAGTGTAGCCAAAATGAAATGGACTGAGAATCACCAAAGAGGCAATGAAGCCAAAATGAAATGGACTGAGAATCACCAAAGAGGCAGTGTAGCCAAAATGAAATGGACTGAGAATCACCAAAGAGGCAGTGAAGCCAAAATGAAATGGACTGAGAATCACCAAAGAGGCAGTGTAGCCAAAATGAAATGGACTGAGAATCACCAAAGAGGCAATGAAGCCAAAATGGATTGGACTGAGGAAAAAAGGATGTTCAAGAGAAATCTGTATAAACAAACGTATGTTGATGGGTTAACAACGTGACATCACAGCCAAAAACTGCCAATTACTGCCTTTAATTTACCACTTTTGCGGTGTAGGCAGGGGGGTCTTTGAGCCTGAGGATTTATGGCCACATGGCTAGTGCTGTCGCCACGACTGTGCAGGTGAAGATTGATATCACAGCACTGAGGACAATCCCACATGTGCTCATTTTCAGCAGCAAGCACAGAGTTCTAATTCTCATGTTATAACAAACAGTCTTCTTCTTCTTCTTTGTGTTCACCAGCTGTAAAAGTTCTGGTTGCTCAGCCATTTGTAAACTTTGGTCTTGTTGCAGAACTTCAGTTATGCATGCACATTCACTTTACAGACCTGGATTATATGTATGCAGACTGTTGGTTCTTCACCTCTCAGGCAGATGCCCTCCGACTTAAAGCAAACATCCCAATTAGTAGACTTTTATGGCATGCTTGTTAGGAGGGCACTGGCAACTATGAACCCCTCTTTTAACTACAGTGAAAGGATGGAAAATGCAAGGATACGGACAGGTAATAAGATCTAACAGCCACTAAAAAAACAATAATACAGGGCACAGTAAGGGGGAAGAGGAGAACAGGCAGACACACACAAAAATAAGACCCGGGTACAGCACTTGACTGACTGGACAGGCCTTAGGCACTCATCCATGGATTTCACTGCATCTGACCATCGAAGGTGGAGGCAGCTGGTCAAGTAGTCAACAGCAACTGGTGACCCAATGACCTGCAGTGTTATGGGATGATGATGGGGGGGGGATGGGGGAGGGAAAGGGGATCAGTAGGTCTATTCAATAGGGCCCTGGAACCCACATGGGGAATTTCTCCCATATGAACTAACTAGCGACTACAGTTTCGACAATTTGCGGTCTTTTCGGCAATTTCCGTTACCCGGAAACCGTTCGCAACTTGTTTCGGGAAATCTAGGCCGGTTTCCGGATGGGTCCAAATCTCTCATGAAATTTTGCCATTGGTGGGAATTTGGACCAGCTATAAATAGCTGAAAACAGCAGGAGGGAACCCCATTAACAGCGCATGTCTACGACAGCCGGAAGTCCTCTGTTTTTCTGTTAGTCATCAGTTTGATTGAAAATAGCGGTAAATTCGAGGTTGGCTTTAGGCTTTAACTGTTACTCATCCTGGTAATGCTAGTTATAATTGAATTCTCCGTCCAATTTTACATTTGTGTATAAAATTTATTTCTGAACGGTGGCTAGGTAGATGTACAGTGACATTTTTCAGGCAATCGCTGGCTCAGCCAGTGGCTGTGTCTCATTGCCTGCCATCTTGTCCAATGACAGTCCAATGTAAACAAAGCCGATACAGAACTGCGCAGTAGGTTGCGCAGACTGCGCAGAAAAAAACTTCCTGTTTCTGGGTCACAAGTTTTAACGGCTGTTTCTTACATCTCATCTCCACAAAAACCTACATATCTCAGCTCAGAAATGACATACAAGCCTAAATGAGGTACCATTGGAAAGAAATTGTTTACAGCTATCTAACTGTGCTGGTTTTATTGGTGTAGAGGGCATTAAAAAAATTTTTACTGAAGTAGCTAAACTAACGTTAGGTATTAATTTGGTTCTCAACACCAGGCAATTGTTCATAGTCAGGCATCATATGCCCGATATACCACCAATGTAAAAGAGATCCTTTACTTACTTACATATAAAAACTAACAGAAACATTGGCATTGGTTTCTGTAAGAACATTTAGTATTTTTTCAATAAACACAACTGACCTGGCCACCATTGATGACTTCTGCTGGGTTAACCACATTTCCCACAGACTTGGACATTTTCCTTCCCTGTTCATCCGTGGCAAATCCATGAGTTATCAGATGCCTGGCCGGATCACAAGGAAACCATGTCAGATTATGTTAAGTAAACTGATATCACTGCACATTGGGCACACCAATGTGTGCTCAGTCCTCCAACGCAGCAGCCACTCCAAGTTACTTCTACTGATTGTTTTTATGAGAAAATGATTGTAATGTTTCCTATCTTGACCTCGAAGATGGCACTGACGTGCTTCACCCTGCTTTACTTCCAGGTCACGAAATTGTATTAGTGTCGGAGATTCATCATTCTCTACCAGCCTGGGATGTACAACGTTGATGATATCAGCTCTGTCCATCTTTCTTCCTATATGCATTGGTGCATTACTTGAACTTGGTCTGCACGTATGTGGAGCATTCATTTGAAACATGTTCCTGTTGCAATGAGAATAGCTGTATGTGCTGAACATGATCATAGTTATGTGATAAGTAATGACCAATGAAAAACAAAAGAACACATGCTTATTATCCTTTGATGCATAAGCAATATTTCAGACGGCTGAGAAAGTGACAAGGCTGATCCAAAATCCATCAAAAGAAGCTCAAAGAGCAGTGATTCAGCTACTTTAATGAGGACCAGTGGACAATCATAGAAGAATGCAAGCAACTTCTGGTTAAAAATGTGTGTCAGAGAAAAGAGTGACAGACTGAGCATTAATGTTTCAGAAAGGATTTGAGTTCATGGCAGATTTTCCACGGCCAGGTCAAACGCATATTTATTTGTTCACATCAGTTCTGCCACCATTCCATTTTCAGTCTGGAGGCGCGATCTTCACTTTGGATAAGCACTCCTAGATGCATACAGATATACACATGTGTGATTACTGAAAGTGCTGCGGGGGTTTTGATGTCAGGCGCTGGGAGTGGGGGGGGGGGGGGGAGAGAATAATGATTGATACAAATTATTTCAATTATTTCCTATTGATTAAAAAGGCAATAATATACTGAACTTATAATTAACTCATCATATAAGTACAGAAGAAGTCTACATTTGTAGCCACACACCACACTCCCAAACACCTTCACTTTGCACTGACTGTGAACATTATGTTTGTATATGCTCTGCACTTACATTGACTGAATACAAATATTTTTCACTGAACTTATAATTAACTCATCATATAAGTACAGAAGAAGTCAACATTTGTAGCCACACACCACACTCCCAAACACCTTCACTTTGCACTGACTGTGAACATTATGTTTGTATATGTTCTGCACTTACATTGACTGAATACGAATATTTTTCACACAAAAAACTACCCCTTTGAATCACGTGAACCAGATTTCACATAACCTCAATTCACCTGTAAGGCGCCTTTCCATTGACGACGACACTGGTGAGCAAAGATGTCTGGAACCAACCTTTGAACTGGTCGATGCCCTCAAGGTAGACATCTGCCTGTCCGCCATAGTCTGTAACAGTTTTCAAAGTTTACTGACAAACAAACCAAATAACACAGACAGAGAACGTAAATATGAGACTGATCCAAAACAAGAATATCTACATGAAAAGTAATTAAAGAACTATCATATACAAGATAATATGGGCCAGAGGTCTCTAAACTTTTTCAGGTGGTGCCCCCTTTAAGTATACGGCAAGACAACGCCTCCCCCCCCCCCCCACCCATCATAACAACATGTGATCAAAAAAAAAATGACAGCAAACAGAAAAATTCCAAGCACTGTTAACAAGAACTTTGAGAAAAACATCCACATAGAACAAAGGGTCAAAAAACAAATGAAACAATTACCCCCAATTGGTAACTTACTGGTGTCCAAATTTCAATGTGATAGTTGACACTGTTTTGTCTTGATGATATCTGCTATATGTGATCTGATGTTAGAAAGGCAAAAGGAAGATCACTCTCCACAGCAAGCTGCCAAGGCAGTTTTGTTTTCATGAATTAAGAGCTGGGAATCCAGATTATTACAAGTACAAAAGCACTCTACTTCAAAGTTGCTTGACCCCCCCCCCCCCCCCAAAAAAAAAAAAAACTTCCTAATCCCCCCCCCCCCCCTCCCAGGTCAGAGACTTCTTATATAGACAGAGAACATAAAGAACTGGCCAACAGAGAACGTAATGAACTGACCAACAGAGAAAGTAAGGTACTGGTGAGCAGATAAAGTAAAGAACTGAACAACAGAGAAAGTAAAGAACTGGCCAACAGAGAAAGCAAAGAACTGACCAGCAGAGAAAGTAAAGAACTGGCCAACAGAGAAAGTAAAGAACTGGCCAACAGAGAAAGTAAAGAACTGCCAACAGAGAAAATAAAGAACTGGCCAACAGAGAAAGCAAAGAACTGACCAACAGAGAAAGCAAAGAACTGACCAACAGAGAAAGTAAAGAACTGGCCAACAGAGAAAGTAAAGAACTTGCCAACAGAGAAAGAAAAGAACTGGTCAACAGAGAAAGTAAAGAACTGGCCAACAGAGAAAGTAAATAACTGGCCAACAGAGAAAGTAATGAACTGACCAACAGAGAAAGTAAAGAACTGGCCAACAGAGAAAGTAAAAAAACTGGCCAACAGAGAAAGTAAAGAACTGGTCAACAGAGAAAGTAAAGAACTGGCCAACAGAGAAAATAAAGAACTGGCCAACAGAGAAAGCAAAGAACTGACCATCCATCGCTGAGTGCATGCAGAGAGATATTATATAAAACAAAATTGTAGGTGGTTTTTTCCACCCAATGCATAATTAAATATTTATTTTTGACATTACAAGTACCTGTGTGTGAAAACAAAAATGGTTTTCATCTTTATTTTTCTGTCCCTTTTTAACATATATGCTGAAAATGTTATGAGAAACGCATTTAACGATGAGGCATGTGAGAGTTTTAATCCACTAAAAATTGGAGGTAACCCTATCCCAGAACTCAGATATGCAGACGACACAGTTCTTCTTTCCGACAGTGAGCAAGGTTTAGACAAAATAAATCTGGCCATCAAAAAGTACAGCAATCATGTCCTCAGTAAATACAGCCCACCAACCAGACATCACAATTGAAAATGACAAAATAGAAAATGTCACAGATTTCAGATTTCGATGACTTGGTCTCTTTAGTGAACAACAGTGACGACTGTTCGAAAGAAGTCAGACGAAGACTTGCTTTAGCAATGCAGAGATTAAACAGCATGAAGAACATATGGCAAAGCACCTGTAAATTAGTGAAAGAAAAAATCTTGAGATCATACCTTTCGCCTGTGGCAAATTATGGTTGTGAGTCCTGGATTCAAGATAACGGAGTTTTTGAATTAAAATGTTACTGGAAAATTCTCAGATTACCATAAATCAAGAAAAGGAAAAATATAGACATTCTGAACGAGTTAAACATCAAGGGGAACTGGCTTATAAACAGCATCCTGTCCTGAAAGTTGAAGTACTTTGGCCACATCAAGCGTCATGGTGGCTTAGGAAAGATGGTGATGTATGGTGCAGTTTGTGGAAAGTGAGGCAGGAGGTGACCTCCGGGAAGATGGATACAGGACATTGAAGATGCATTGGAAATGAAAGAACATGGGGCTGGAAAGTCAGCTAGGGAAAGGGATACTTTCAGGCGTGCCATGGAGTCAGCCACATACTGAAAAGGAACTTGATGATTCGTGATGATCTTAACTTAAGGGAAACCCTGTAGATAAAATATAAATGTTGTAACTACTAATTCTATCATCAGTGAACTGCATTTCTAGTTTCGGACTGTTTGTGTTGGCACTTCTGATAACTGCCTAATGCATTCAGTATCTGTGTATGCTACTAGGTTTGCTAAGACTGCAGTCTGTGTCACTTTTTTTCTCACTAACAATCAATATGAAATCAATCGATCAATTAACCAACCAATCAATCAATCAGATGTCATTTCCACAATGAAGGCTGGCTGCAATGGATCGCCAACATTCTCTATGAATGTGCACTCTCTCAGACTACTGTTCATCAATTTCTTGATGTTAAAACTTCCTACTTCTATCACTGTGTGTCTCTTGACTGATAGCCCTCAACTTCCCCCTTCAGTAGAGTTTTTACAAGAGTATTATGTCTTTTAATATGGCAGAAATATTTCATTTTGGTCTTTTCTTGTTTCTATAAGCAACTCTCTTTTCATTCTTGTTCTCTTCAGAGCCTCTGCATTTAGTTGTTTTCGCTTTTGTAAAAGACAGACAGACAGACAGACAGACAGGTACAGACAGACAGACAGACAGACAGACAGAAGACAGACAGACAGACAGACAGACAGAGACAGACAGACAGACAGACAGACAGACAGACAGACAGACAGACAGACAGACAGACAGACAGACAGACAGACAGACAGACAGACAGACAGACAGACAGACAGACAGACAGACAGACAGACAGACAGACAGACAGACAGACAGACAGACAGACAACAGACAGACAGACAGACAAACACATAGACAGACAGACAGACAGACAGACAGACAGACAGACAGACAGACAGACAGACAGACAGACAGACAGACAGACAGACAGACAGACAGACAGACAGACAGACAGACAGACAGACAGACAGACAGACAGACAGACAGACAGGGGGAAGGAGGAAGACAGTAAGAGAATGTACAAACTTTATTTTTAAACAGTCACAAACTGGGCATACAGGCTCCGTTGTATTTTTATCTATGAAGCAGAGAGAGCAAAAAAAACTTGAGAGAGAGAGACAGAGACAGAGAGAGAGAGAGAATTAAAAGAGAGAGAGAGATAGAGAGCAAGAGTATTCTGTCAAAGATAAAAATATCTTCAAGACACTGCACTAATATTTGCTTTACAGTGACCCAAAAGAAACAAATTCTCCCACACCCACACACATTCCCCCACCCACACACATTCCCCCACCCACACACATTCCCCCACCCACACACATTCCCCCACCCACACACACTCCCCATCCACCCACACACATTCCCCCACCCACACACATTCCCCCACCCACACACATTCCCCCACCCACACACATTCCCCCACCCACACACATTCCCCCACCCACACACATTCCCACACCCACACACATTCCTCACCATGACTACAATGCTCACCTTCAGCAGCACGTGGTTCGGAAGCAGTTCTTCTACGGGCAGCCTCCACCAGCAGTCAGAGCCATGTAAGCACACCAGGCTGATAACATGGTCCATAGTCTCTCTAGCAGAAATGGTTTTGTTGTAAAAGCACAATTAACTCCTTCATTACCAGGGAACTCACAGTAAATTCACTGATTACCGTATTTTCTTTAAGTATAAGACAATATGTTTTTTCAAATTTTTAAAAGTTTAAAACCTGTGGTCATCTTAAATGCGGAATATGATTACATTTTTATATTTTAATTCTGGGCTAAAAATAAATAGGGGTCATCTTATACCTGGGATTGTCTTCTTCTTAAAGTCCACGCCGTGGGGCGTTGGTAGTCATGTCCATCCACAACCTTCTGTCTCGTGTACTTTCAACCAGCTCTGACTGAGATGATCCTCCATGTCACAATGTCAAACTGTCCAGCATCTGTTCTCTCTGTCTCCCTCTGCCTCTGCTCCCTCCAACTTTCCTACTGTCACAATGTACCCCAGTTTTCTTCTTCTGATCACATGACCAAAGTATGTAGATTGTCTCTTTCTGGTGTGGGCAATCAGTTCTCTCCGTGAGCCAGTTTCTTTCAAGATATTCTTATTACTTTTTTCATCTGTCCAGGGTATTCTCATCATTCGTCTATAAAACCACATCTCCGCAAGCTTCCAAATAATTTTTTCACTATTCTACCAACAGTCCATGATACACTTCCATATATCAAGATATGATTTAAATAGCTTTAAAGAATTCTCTTTCTCATCTCAATTGACAAAGAAAGATTTATAAAATACTGTTCATTAAAAAAACGGGACTGTTCCATTAGCCCTGGGGGTTGTTGTCACACCAGGCTGATGACGTCAGCACCAGCACCACGGCCTATCTAAAGTAGGTCATCTTCACGATGTACTACTACTGTCACGATGTACTCCAGTTTTCTCCTTCTCATCACATGACCAAAGAATGTAGATTGTCTCTTTCTGGTGTGGACAATCAGTTCTCTTCATGAGTCAGTTTCTTTCAAGACATCTTCATTACTATTTTTTTTCCCCGGTAAAACCACATCACCACAGATCTGAATAATTCTTCACCAAAGTACCAACAGTCCATCATTCATGTCTGTATTTCAGGATAGGATTTATGTAGATTTTTACAATTCTCTTTCTCATCTCAATTGACAAAGAAAGACTGTACAAAATATTCTTCATTTTGTAAAATACTGCGTTTGCTTGAACTTTTTTAATACATCTTCCATCTGATGTTATCAGGGTACCCAAGTACTTAAACATATCCACTTGCTTGAGGTTTGTCCCAATTACTTTGTTGCTGCATTTTGGAGAGTCAGTTTTCTTTGTAATTACCATTCTTTTTCTTTTCCTCTCTATCAGCAGGTCCCTTGAGAATTTCGTTCAAAGGCACACCTGTAAGTCTTTTTCTCTAGCCAATTCTCCAGCCCTATGTGCTTTCATTGCCAACACACCTGTAAGTCTTTTTCTCTGATTCTCCAGCCCTATGTGCTTTTATTGCCAACACACCTGTAAGTCTTTTTCTCTGATTCTCCAGCCCTATGTGCTTTCATTGTCAACACACCTGTAAGTATTTTTCTCTAGCCCATTCCCCAGCCCTATGTGCTATAATTGCCAACACACCTTCAATGTCTCGTATCCACCTTTGTGGTGGTCTGTCTCTGCCTCATCTTCCAGAAACTGTACTCACCATCCCATTCTCTTCAAATGTATTTCTGAAGAAAAAAAAAACAAGTGAAAAACAAATCTGAACATACCTGGTAATTAAAGGCTCCCCTGAAAACTTGTGATAAAATATGGGAATAGGAACACCCCACGACCTTTGCCTTGAGATGCACCAATAGGGTCGAGACATCAGTTCTGCTACCATTCCATTTTCAGAGTTTGGAGGCGTGATCTTCACTTTGGATAAGCACTCCTAGAAGCATACAATGGTGAGACAGATATACACATGTGTGATTATTTAAAGTGGTATGGGGGTTTTAATGTCAGGCATAAGGAGTAAGGGGGGGGGGATAATGAGTGAAACATGTAACAGGTAATAATATACTGAACACATAATTAACTCATTAAACAAGAGACAGAACCAGTAAACATTTGTAGCCACATAAACACAGATACCCTTCATCTATCCACCTTGTACAATGACCACTATTACTAGTAGAACTACAACTGGTACTACTAGCATCAAACCCCCAATACTACTATCAACACACTACTACTACCAACACACTACTACTACCAACACACTACTACTACAAACTCACTACTACTACCAACACACTACTACTACCAACACACTTCTACTACAAACTCACTTCTACTACCAACACACTTCTACTACCAACACACTACTACTACCAACACACTTCTACTAAAAACTCACTACTACTGCCAACACCATCTCCTCCTCTTCATCTTAAAAAAAAAAAATTTGCTCCTGCTTCCAGTTTCTTCTTAGTTTCATCACATATCACCTGACTCAGCATTAGCATCCATAGAGAAGAAGAGGCCAGGCAACTTTTCAGCAAGTGAACCTCACACTTGTTAGTAAAATGTGAACATACATATGAACATTTCCTGTCCTTGGACTATCAAGTTCCTTGTCAACCCTGCAAGGGCGATCCTGCTTCCTCACATCTCCAATAGCATGTATTGTAATCTGTTATAACTGCTCCTTCCATCGAAGATGAACTGCATTTCTAGTTTTGGATTGTTTGTGTTGGCACTTCTTATGCATTCAGTGTCTGTGTATGCTATTGGGTTTGCTAAGACTGCAGTATGTGTCACTTTTTTTTTTCAACACAAGGGACAGGAAGATGAACTGCATTTCTAGTTTTGGACTGTTTGTGTTGGCACTTCTTATGCATTCAGTGTCTGTGTATGCTATTGGGTTTGCTAAGACTGCAGTATGTGTCACTTTTTTTTCAACACAAGGGATAGTTATGAACTGTGTGGTTTTTATTAGCACAGGAACGGAACAACTATGGGACGGTGCTATACAGTTAAAACTGTGAATACCTGATTATATAAGCATGTATTTCTTGCAGAGGTTGGGCTAAGTCATCACACTCAAGTCCAAGTCAAGTCAGAAGTCACTGCCACCAAGTCTCATGTCAAGTAGCAAGTCACCAAGAATGCTTCCAAGTCTTGAGATAAGTCAAGTTACTTTGTGTATCAAGTCTCATGTCAAGTAGCAAGTCACCAAGAATGCTTCCAAGTCTTGAGATAAGTCAAGTTACTTTGTGTATCAAGTCTCATGTCAAGTAGCAAGTCACCAAGAATGCTTCCAAGTCTTGAGATAAGTCAAGTTACTTCGAGTATCAAGTCACATGCAAGTTGTCCATAGGACAATAAATCGAAACGTAGGTTAATCTATCTTGTTTTATATAAAGACATCTTAAATTGTGACGTTGATCACGAAATCTCACAGTAGCCGGCCATGAAGAATGAGTCATCTAAGCTAAAATCACAAATCGAGTCGCTGGACAAAACTGCTAGATGAGCCGCAAGTCATAAATTACGCAACTCAAGTCGCACTCAAGTCCAGTTCGTGCGACTTGACTTTCTACCCCTGATTGTTAGTGTGCTGAAGAATTTCCAGGCAATGACAAAAGTCCATCAGAATCTTCTCTTGTCTTCCACTGTCTCCCCATAAATCTCAGCACCAACTAGCTACAGTGATTGTCATTCATGTTACAGCAACAGTATCCATTCCAGCAACCTACCAAAGCAACTCGTTTCAGAGCTTTGACATCAAAGAACCACTGCTTGCTGGCTCGGATGATGACTGGCTGCTTGGTCCTCCAATCGTACGGATAGCTGTGTGTGAAGTCCTCAGCTTTGATCACATGAGGTCCAAGGGCAGCAATCACTGTTGAAAATATATCAGAGTGATGTTTCCTGCTCATCACTAGTCTTGTAATAAGTAATCTACATTCATTAGCTTTGTCTAGATAATCACAGCCAGCTACTCACTTGGCTGAGGTTTATGAATTATGCAATATTTGTCTTCAAAGCCACATTTCCATCATCTCCAATCTCTTCTTAATTTGTTCCTTAACATTTCAAGATTCTCTGCTATCAAGTAAACGACCCCCCCCCCCCCCCCCACACACACACCATAACACAACTTCCTGTGTACTTGAGTTGCTAGGAAAAGAGTTATGGAGCTACACCTTTACTAAACATTTAAACAAAAAATAAAATAGGAAAGGGGAGGGGGGATGGAGACAGGAAATTAAAGAGTAAAAGTAAAGATAGAGAGAAAGAGAAGAAGATGAAGATCAGAGGGGAGGGTTAGAGACAATGCAGGAGAAGGGAAGGAAGGAGCAAAAGGTAGAAGAGTGAAAGAGGGAGGGAAGAGAGAGAGAAAAAGAGAGAGGGTGAGACATTAGAAGAGGGAATCTCGGGGAATTACAATACTGATCGCCAAACACACTGTAAAGATAAAACCAGGCCAAAAATAGAACTGGGAAATCCAGCTGACGGTCACTTTGCTTAGCTCCCACCAGGGCCGACTCTATTTATAAATACAACCGAACAGAGCCCCACCATTTCCCAATGTAATCCTTTCTAGAAACCACGGCCATAAAACTATTTATACTATTAATTCTGCCAGACTCGCTAGAAACAAAGGCACATGCACACGGGAGACAGCAGCTGCTCCTTCCCGCCCCATGCCACGCCGCTGCTGTCTGCATGTATTCATGGGCTGCAAAACAGCCTGCCCTTCTCTGGCCTTTAACAAGCCATTTTGGCTGAAAATAGCCGATAATCAGCTGCCCTCACACCTGAAACGACCGTAAACAAAAGTAGCCAAAACTAGCCAAATGGCCAAAAAAAGCCAAACAGCTCCCCAAAAATTGCCTAACTGCTGAAAATTGGAGGATTTCCGACGATCTCATTGCGGCGGTCAAAATTCATGGCTTCTCACGGTCAAAATGTCTTTTTCAAGCTGAAAATCACTGTAACTGGTCTGAGAAAAAAAAAATTGGGTCAATTCAAGATTTCCCGGTCCACTTCGAACCCTGTAATAACAGAAGTAACAGTATCAGAGCTGAACAAGTCATATGTACATCAGACTTCCTCATGTGATTTGTGACCACATTCTGATAAACAGTTCTCGTTGTCATCTGACCACGATTGCAATGTTAATGTACTTTCAGTGTGTCAGCAATGAACTATATCAAAGCACTCATAGCTCTTGGTAATTATCAAGCTGAGGAAGTCGGAGGTGAATATGAGAAGTACAATTAAGCACGTCTGTCAGCGCATGTTGAATTACCTTTAAACACATGTGTTCTGACCTTGCCACCCGTCTCTCAACCCCTGATGATAATAATTTAACACTCTCTTTTTGACAATCAGTAAACAAAATTAAGGAGTTTAAATATAACTTTGATAACAACAAATAGTAGATGCATTAAAGAATGAAATGTAGGACTGCCCAAGCAAAAGAAACCATACCCAAGATAATGAAATTAAAATGCCACATATATTTGTCAATGAAGGCACCAAAGAGTTATCTGTAGCTAGTCTTTATGGATAGAAGAATCACAGACAATCAGCAGGTTTTCAATGTCTGTGTCCACCTTTGTACTGGCCAAAGTATTTCAGTTTCTGAGACATGATGATGTTTATGAGCCAACTTCTTTTTTTATGTTCACATCTTTAAAAACATGATTAGAGTGGCAAAACCTCCCAATACAAGTGAAATCCCTGAGCTGTGAACAGTTCCTTGGCATACGGTAAATGACACTACTCTTCAACCCGTTCACAACTCACAGGTTACATGATCAAACAAGATGCCAGGTCTGTGCTCTAGCAATCAAAGTGCTGAAAGACAGTCAGCCAGCCAGAAAGTGCACTACAACAAACAGACTGCCCCAGTAAGTACATGAAGAGAATAAGAGATGCAACCCTGAAGAAATGCAGCGCTAAGATACAACATCATTGGTGGGGCATGATAAGAAAGTTTAAAAAAAAATAGCCCTGTGGTTGAGCAGCTGAGACAAAGATTTCTGTGACACCGTCTATTTCTCTACATCAATGCAATGACTCTAGGGGGTCTATTACCTGCATCATCAGCATCGACTCCAACAGTTTTCCCAAGCAAGTCACTGTCGACACCTGAGATGTAGGTTCCCCGCTCGTCAACATGACACTCCTTAAAGTACACACACATAATTATATTTTTTTATTACTTTTATTTTATGATTACAAAAATATCTCAATGGCTTGGCCACAAGGCATAAATAATGAAGACTAGCAGACGTGTAATATTTTTGGTAAATTGAGGTAGTTTTATTTTTTATTTTTTAAACGAACTATCTATTTCTTTTTTCTACTTTCTCTAATGAGCTTGATGCTGTTCTCACAGAAATTATATTTCATATTTTATAAGTCTATTCTGAAATACTAACCTTGAAGACATGTTTTCTTCAGTAAAATTTTCATGTACGAAACAAACAAAAACAAAAAAAAACCCAACAACATGAAACAACATTTCAAGTGACTAAAATTACATTTTCTTAAACAAATAACTTATTTTCTCTTTCTCCTCTTCTATTTTTCCTCTTTATGCTCCTTTTTCTCTTTCCGTGTCAGGATTTCTACATAGATCTTGAAAGCCTTTGGCGTGTGCTTTAGTACCTTTATTTCTATTATACTATTTATCCATCATTTGCAAATTTCACCTTCAGTTTCTTTTCTTTTTTTTTCTGTTGCATTCATGCACCACTGTCAGTTGGTAATGATATGTGGTCAAACTGCCCTAACTGCTGTCTTCTGCCCCTGGCATCACACCAAATTGATTAATATTACCACTTCACATTCTGTCTCTCTCTCTCTATTATGTCAGGTATCTTCAATTATGTTCTACAAATCTTTTTCTTTTGTTATAAATGCTTAGCACTGAAACTTAAAACTGGAATAATGTCATTTTCGTTGGAGTGCCATAGTATTTTTGTTTGTGGCAATATTACATTTCATAAACATCAGGGCACTCAAATTATACTTTGTCTGCTAAGAACTACCAGCAAGCTGCATATTATTTGAAATGACACCAGATTGAAATAAAATTGCCAGAAACCACCAGGAGCTGCCGTGGTGTAGCGGCTAGATGCTTGTCTGAGGATGCAAAGGTCATGGGTTTGATTCCAGGAGGAGCCGGACTTTAAAAAAAATGATCTTGGCTCCCAGGTCAACTCCACCTTAAATGGGTACTAGGTAAAAGTCCTGAGAAATAAAGGCGGCCAGCATGATGCTATCCATGTCTATAAAATATAGGTCTAGACTTATATGCCCAATGCACCCGAAAGCGTGAAAAAAGGTCCTAATTTTTTTTTTTTAACTTACCACCAAAAAAAAAAATACATTAAACTCTTTGAGTCCCAAACAAAGCATGATGTGTGAATCATCGTATTTGCTGAATCACCTTCTTAGCTAAATATGCTATTTTACTTATGTATTTGGTCAGAACTCACTCAATAAATCTGACTTGTCCAATGGTCTCTCTCTAATACAGTTATATTCATCATCATCATCATGTAGCAGGTCCTTTGCAGAACGTCGCTCTCATCACAGTCTGCCTGTAAGAAACTCGGTCTCTTGCCAGTTCTCCCGCCTCATGAACTTTCACACTCAAGGAGTCACTTATATCCTGTACCCATCTTCGTGTCGGTTGGCCCCTGCCCCTCCTTCCTGGTACCATGCCTTCTGCTATAATTTTTTCCAATCCGTCGTGGCGCTTGATATGACCAAAATATTTCAGCTTTCGAGAAAGGATGCTGTTTATTAGCCAATCTTCCTTGATGTTCAGATCTTTTAGGATGGCAATATTTCTCATCTTCTTTGTCCAAGATATTCTGAGAATCTTTCTATAGCATTTCAGCTCAAAAGCCCCTATTCTCTTTCTTAAGGACTGAGAGATAGTCCACGACTCACATCCGTATGTAGCCACAGGGAAGATGCATGCTTTCAAAATTCTAATTTTTATCTCCTTGCTGGTGCTTAACCATAGACTTTTAAGGCTGTTCAATCTTTGCACTGCTATGGACAGTTATATTACCACTTTGAAAGTAATTCTTCAGTGGCATCTCATATGAAACCCTGTTATCGTACTTAAAGAGTTAAGTCAACATGGGTGTACTGAGTGCTGCAGTTGTTACAAGATCACTTATCAAAACCATACATAAAAGCCACATGAAATTTATGGAGCTTAACAACAAAAGAGATTGTCCCCAAAAAATGTTGGAGGAAAACAGTCAAGGAAGACATAGAAAGATGCATTAGAATTCTTAAATAGCTACACATCAAATAATAATATAAACAATACCAATATAATCAAACTATCAGATTGAAAAAAGATTGAACAGCCATGACTGCTAAAATCTGCTCCCACACTCGTCATCTGAAGAAGAAGAAGAAATGCTTTTTTTTTTAAAGGTGAAAATCTTACCGTTTTTAAACCGTGGGCAACTGCCACATTAAAGTCATCATGGCCATGAGCTGGTGCTGTGTGAACTAGTCCTGTGCCTTTCCCAGATGTCACATGACTCGATGGCAGAAAAGGGAGCTCTGCTTTGGTGAGAGGGTGCTGGTAGTCTACTCCATGTAGGGTGAAACCTGCGAGGTTTATGACATAAAATAAAGCCCCTTACACGGTATTCATACAAAAGGAATAGGGTGTTAAGCCCATACCATGGCAGAGCTAGAGGTCACCAATACAAGTAAGCCCATACCACAGCAAAGCTAGAGGTCACCAACACAAGTAAGCACATACTACAGCAGGAATAGAGGTCACTAACATAAATAAGCCCATACCAAGGCAGAGCTAGAGGTCACCAAGGCAAGTTATGGATAAATGTAATATCTGAAGCCATGACTACCAGCATTTATGTAGCACACAAGGCCTACATCATATGCTTTTATGTAATCTGACACTGAAAGGCGCAATACTATCTGAGAAAAAAAAAGAAAGAAGGGAGGGAGGAAAAGAAAAGAAAAGAAAGAAAGAAAGAAAGAAAGAAAGAAAGAAAGAAAGAAAGAAAGAAAGAAAGAAAGAAAGAAAGAAAGAAAGAAAGAAAGAAAGAAAGAAAGAAAGAAAGAAAGATAATGAATGAGTGCTACTGTGGTCACTAGGCATCTGTTCTTTCCCAAGGCAATGTTATGATCAATTCTTAACCTCGAAACTGTACTAGTCCAGAAAAAAAAAAATGGGTTTACAACTGATGAAGAATCGACATTACAGCATTTAGGCAATAACATAAGTGCTCAATCTCTCCCAGCAGAAGTTATAGGGTATGGGGTGCTCTTGCCACTGTTGCAAGCTGGCCAGCTACACAAGTGAATCATCCTCATCTGGGGTTACTTCAGCAAGGTCTATCTATAGTTGCTTGCCTACTCCAAGAGCCAGCCATAATTGAAAATTCCTCACAAGATGAGTCCCCATGCATTTACCCCCAAGTGGTACAGAACCATCCAGTCTAGCTGCTTGTTTACTTCCCAACATACCCTCCTACAATGGAGAGAATATCTGAAGGATGCTAACTACCCAGGCCTTGCTTGCATGCAGCATACCTGTCTCTACCTTTCTCAACCTGCTCTGTGAGTCAGCTACATTCATGATGTGTGGGTGCTGTTGGTTCTCAAGCTTTCACCTCCATTCTTAAACTAGATGTGATATGATATAGCAGGGTTTGTTGCACTAAGTGACGTTCATTCGCTTTTGATATGAAATAATTTTTTTTTAAATTTTTTTTAAAATTTGTGTTCTGTTTTGTAATGACTCTGCATCTTAGATTAGCAAAGAAAAAAAAAAACATCATTCAGATGTTAAGCAAGGCAGCACAGATCAATGAGAGTACACAACAGCAGTATGAAGCTCAGCATGAGAATCTTCTGTAGTTAAATGTCTAGCTGTTATTTCCATCACTAACACTAGTTTACTCTAAACCATGAAAACAGATTCTTTATTTCTGCATAGTTTGATCTATAAAAAAATGTTTGTTGTCTGTTCTAACTGCTGCTGCTAACCATCAAGTACCAACAATCTAGAGACATTTGCGAATACATATATGAAGTGTAAAAGAAAAATTTTAATGTGGTTCAACATACCTTCTACTGCCAACAGTGGAGTGAGTGGACCTGACAAAATGGACGCTAGTTTGTCTGTAAATTGATCCTCACATAAATAAACATCCTGAGACGTCTCATCACGGACAAACATGTACCTAGTGTAGACCAGATACTTCAGTCAATCATTCCTCAAACAAATACAAGATTTCAAGTCAACAGGGTAATCAATAACAAGAAAATTCAAAGCCGATAAACAGGGAGACAAGTTTACAAAACATGAAAAGAATACATTTAAAGTAAACAATAGAGTAAGCACATTGCATTGCTTCATTTTGCACCTTTTCAAGTCTTTCAGTTTGAGTATGGCTGACGGTGAGGATGGCTGGTATAGAATAGCATCACAAGACATCAGTCGCTGGCAATGAGCCTGTGAGTGAGTCAGTGTAGTGAAAGCTTGTCAAATTTTCATCCGCAGTGAGGTAGCCAAGGTGCAGTCAATACAGTGTCAGTTTATTATCTCTGAGGTCATTGTCAGTTGGTAATGAGACTGACATTCTTGACAGGTTTCAAAAAATTGTGGGACTGCAGTAAAAAATATGCATTCTGAAAAGACACTACTTCAAACGGGATTAAGATTGTAGACTTTCAAGGGGTAAGGGTTTTTTCCTGCCCACAGACAGGATGCTTTGTAAAAAAAAAAGTAAAAGTAAAAAGTAAAGGACCCTTTTCCACGCCTTTAGGTGTAGAGGGCATATAGGGCTAGACCCATTTTTTATAGACCAATCAGCACAAGATGGGTGATGTGGTCAGCATCACACTGGCCGCCTTTACTTCCCGGGACTGCACCCCATACCCACTCAAGGCTGGGTCGACCTGGCAAAAAAAGTCATTTTTAAAAACAATCCGGCTCCACCAGGGAGCGAACCCACAACCTTCTGATTCGAGGTGAGCGTCTAGCCGCTCTGCCATGGCGACTCCCTTTTTAAAAAAGAGCTTGTAATATTAATGTGATTGAAAATGTCCTTTTTATTTTTCTGTATTTTCTCAGAAATTAGTCAAAGGAAATGTATTTGCATTAAATATCCATATACTGAGCAAACATCCATACATGCAGACATACATATTTATATAACTAACTTGTATCATATGTTATATATAGACACAGTAATACAATGTACTAACACATTAACAAACGCAAAGTAAATTAGGAAAAGGCGAATGAGGCTAACTAAATATGTAAATCTTCTTCTTCTTCTTCTTCACGTTCACCGGCTGTAAACTCTGGCAGAAAGTTCTGGTTGTTTGTTCACTTCCAGAAATGAGTGTTGCGTGCTTATCCGTTTCACAGGTTTGACTCATTTATATGCAGATTCTTGGTTCCTTGCTTCTCAGGCAGATGTACTCCGACTTTAAAGAAAGCTCTTAATTAGTCGACTCTTACAACATGCTTTTTGGTAGTGGGTCTATCCTTGTTTTCCCTACAATGCGGCCCTGGAACTCACACTGGAAAACATGTGAATAAAGCTGATTAGAAATGGGAAAGAAGATACTTACTTAACTTTAGGATTGTAGCAGATGGCCTGATTAAATGGAAGAGTCCATGGAGTTGTGGTCCAAACTAATGCGTAAACAGGAGAATGATTACCTGAAAGTTACACAAACAAAAACAGATATACAGCCTGAATTAGTAAGTTTTTTATTAGTTTTAATTTCCTTTGACTTCCACAAATTTGCAAGTGCTATGAAAACTCCTCTTGCCTTGTGTATTCATATTTTAATAACTCTATCGGTTCCTTCATCTTTATCTACATTACTGCCTAAATAGGTATATCACTCCAAGGTACTTTAAGCGATAAGTACCCAAAATGAGAGTGACTTCCCTTCCCATTGATGTCTCAATCTGGTGTAGCGCTTGCATTATGTCGCAGGGGTTTGAGGCGTAGCGAGTCATATTTTCTCCTTGGTGTAAGCAGCTGGTAATATAGCGTTTTCTATGCTGTAAGCTTTTATTTCCCAAAACATGTACAACTGGGCCTAACCCTAACCCCCCTACTCCATAGTCTTAGCCTATGTCCCGTTACTGTATGCTTCTATTATATGCTGCATACGGTCGTGCAACCTAGTATACACCCCTACGACATAGTGCAAGCGCTACACCAGATCGAGGCATCAATGGGAAGGGAAGTCACTCTCATTGTGGGCCGCTCAACATGATTAGAACCCACTCCACTTCTTGGAAAGGGATATCACCAAGTGAAATTGGATTACTATTTGCCTGATTTATTCTCATTATCTTTGTTTTACCCCCTTTGGGTTTTTAGACCTAACTATTGTGATCTCTGATAAGGTATTTTTAATTTAACTGGCATCTGATTTTGTGATGTGAATTAGTTGAGGGCTTAGGCTCTACTGGGAGATGAAGACAGAAAAGGAAGACAGTGTAACTGATGTGTCCAGATGATTAGCTTTTTGACGATACTTAACTTCAAACATTAAAAGAATAAATCACAAGACACAACAGTTAACAGAGACAACATTTCAAAATCAACTATGAAAAAAATACCTACCAATAGTCAGCCTTAAGTGATCTGTCTGATTGGTCACCAGAAACTTCACAAGAGTTGATTTGCTGACATGGTTAGATTTGTACTCCAATTCTGCCTCTGCTAAGGCTGATCTGTGGACAATTGTATTTTAACAAACTATAATACAATGTTTCCTGTTGTAAATGTAAATAATGCAGACACAATTAATAAATTGCACAATTTATTACCTGGCATATTCCGCTGTATCTCATCAGCTACAGAATTCAAAATCAGTGACTGATTACCATGGTAACTTCAAAAAGATCAGGTGATTAATATGAAGTTACCATGGTAAGCACGTGACTGATTTTGAATTTCCGGCAGATAGATGTACAACTCAACAATGTGGTTTATGCATTTCAACAACAAAAAAGGATTCATTCTGTGCTTCATTACATGTTGATTTAACTTGTGCAATGTGTTGTTTGTGTCCACATTATTTAAACTATAATATATTTTAAAAAATTAGAAAAAACACTTTAAAAATTTTTTTTTTTTAAATTATATGCTTTTATTTAACACACATCACACAATCAATGCACTAAATAGACAAAAATAACTTATCGGATAATTTAATGGGAACAAAAGATCAAATGATTCTTTTCACCAAACTCATTAAGAGTTTTATATCACGCTTAAAAAAACACTTGTGTGGTCCCTTTGAAAGTAATATGTATATAATTACATTGTAACTGAATATATAACAGAAGTAAAATGAATCAAATGTACACAGATAATGGGTTATGCCTCTGACATTTTAAGCTGAATATAATATGTTGTTAGCAAGGCTAAGAAACAATTTTTTAAACATTTTTACACGGCCAAGTTACACAAAATGACATAAAGACCATATTTTTGTAAAACATAATCATAATTAGCCCATCTAAATACTATGCAATCACAAATATTACCAGAGCTGTTATGCAGAGGAAGCAGCAAATGACCAAAGCTGTAATGCCAAGAAAAATCAGAGTAGCGGCAAAACTGGCATAACAGGGGCAACAAGTTAAACAAACAAACAAGAGGAGACAACTTCTGTGCAATGTTTTTTCTTGCTGGTCTTTAATACAGATGAATCTCTGAACACTGTATGAATAACACTGGACAGCCAAGAACATTGAGCTTTGGGGTAGCCTATGAGATGTCGAGCTGATATCCCAGTTTATGGCCCACAGTGGCTTCTGAGCACTGACAACTCAATAGCTTTGGTTTCATCAAATAATCACTGTATTTGACAGGTAGGTTATAGTAGTGAATGTACAGAGTTCAAATTCCCCTGCCTTTAGTCAGGAAAATTATCATAATATGTTACATCAAATATACAAGGCTTATTTATTTACACACCAATGTAAGTGAAGCTAAACTTAAAAAAAGAAATGACATTATTTTTAAAATATTTTCTTCTAATCACATGGATGTGAGTTGTAGACTATCTCACAGTCATTAAGGGAATTAACTGGAGCTTTTGAACTGAAATGCTGTAGAGAGATTCTCAGAATACCATAGGAAAAGAAAAAAGATATCCTGACATCTTAAATGATCTGAGATTCTCAGAATACCATAGGAAAAGAAAAAAGATATCCTGACATCTTAAATGATCTGAGATTCTCAGAATACCATAGGAAAAGAAAAAAGATATCCTGACATCTTAAATGATCTGAGATTCTCAGAATACCATAGGAAAAGAAAAAAGATATCCTGACATCTTAAATGATCTGAGATTCTCAGAATACCATAGGAAAAGAAAAAAGATATCCTGACATCTTAAATGATCTGGATTTCAAGGATGACTGGCTAATAAACAGTATTTTGTCTCACAAACTGAAATATTCTGGCCACAACAGGTGTCATAATGCACTGAAGAGAACAGTAGAAGAAGACATGGTCCCAGAAAGGGGGGACAGGGTCCAACCAGCATGAGGATAGGCACATGATAAAAGTGACACCTTGCGTAGAAACATGCAAGAGGCAGGAGATCCGGTGATGGGGTTTCTTTCAGGCAGGTTCTGAAAAGAAAGATGTTCTGCGAAGGAACTGCTACATGATTACGATTACTACTTCTCAATACCCTGACATCAATTTTAGGCTAAGTCAATACAGTAGTTAAAATTGATTATCAAAATTACACTTAATATGGAATCCAACCCATGACTACAGGCAGGTGCTCCCCTATTGCTGCCCCCATACAATTAAGAAACAATGTTTAACTTACTGAGATGACGGGGACCAGTACACAGGCATATAGTTCCTATATATGTAACCCTGAAATAAATGTTAACAAAATTATGTTATTAATTCAGTATTAGCAATTACAATTATACATTTTAGAATAAAAAGGAGAATTACATGATCTTACGCAGTCTTTTTTTTTTTTTTTTTTAACTACTATGTAACAAATTTACAGAGGAAGTCTAAGAAATGAGTCATTCTACTAACTGTCAACTTATATTCTCTAGAACTCATTACAATACTATTTACAGTCCTGGCCAGAACTTTTCATTTTCTCAAATAGTGTATAAAGACTTTGTATTATTAAGTGCTGACCTCCAACAGTGTGTCAATGGATTCAGGTAGAGAGAGGATCACAATGGGGAGGATAATAGTCTTATCCTAGGAAGAGGAAATGCAACCTGAAAATTTCACGTTACGGCAGGGCAGACCAGGCCCTTAGCCTTCCTTGTCTGGCAGCTGGTCTAGGAGGGAAACTCCAACAGGCAGACAGAGCACTGCTCTTCTGATCTGGAAGTTTCTACAGCATGCTTTGTTCCAAATGTAATGATGTTACCTTTCCCCTGGAGTAAACAAGGCAGGGTGAGAGAGGGATCATAATGCATAGACAACTTCTTTTTTTCTTCTTCTTTCGTTCGCATCAAATAAATTATCTATATCTGCAATGCTGTCTCTAGTATGAATTTCACTGTTTTATGTAATTCACTAAGCGGCACGTAAAGTTTGACTTCCACAAGTGTCTCTTTTGGCCAGAAGATTTGCCTGGAAGCGTTGAATCTGGGACAGTCTTGGAGGATGTGATCTGTTGTCTCAGGTGCCAGTCCACAGGTACACATGGCTGATTGGCTAATCTTAAATTTGTTGTACATGTGGCAGCGAAGTCGATTGTGCCCTGTTCTAAGGCGAAGGATAATGACTTGGTCTGGTCTGTCCATAATATGGTAGTCGTCTCATGCCAGTTTCGGTGGCATTCTGATTGATTTGATCATTCTCTTCTTCTGTTGATAAGAGACTGGTATGTCGGGTTGTTCTTCAGTTGGCATAGGCAACATATAGTATATAGAATACCGCCTAGGTTTTGTGCTATAGATAGGACTTTTCTTAACCCAAAAGGGGCTTGCTAGTCAAACTTGAAATAGCCAAGGGCTGTGATTCCTATGCCTATCCATAATATAGTACAACATGACTGTCTGGACAGACAAAAATGTGGCAACAACTATACAGTAACTGTGCACAACTATATGAACTTATAACACATACGTTTCATAATGTCTCAACACATTAATTCAAAACTATGTCAAAAGAACTCAAAAGCCACTTCAACATTTTCATTCAGAATTATTTCACAATACTTGCAGATGCTTGTCATGGTGTAAACGGCTGCAGCGTATGAACTCATACATGTTATTGAAAATCACAAGATGACAAGAAGCATGATAAACACATCAGTTGGCAAGGCACTAGATGATGATTATCTTCAAAATACTGAGGGGTCACCTCGACTTTTTCCTTTCTGACTAACTAGTTGTAAACTGAATTTTTATTTCTTACCAATATTTTCATTCAAATAGGTTACAAAACTTGTACACAAAACATAAGAATTCAATCTAGGTATATGCGTGCACTTAAGACCCCGCTGTACACTAGGTATCAGTTTCTGAAACTTTTTGACACTTCCAATGCAGTTATCTTTCTTTATTCACTATTTTGTAACTACTTATTTTTGTTTGTTTTGGTGGTTGTAAGTGCGGATGGCCGCAAGTCACATGAGTATTAAGTCAAGGAAAAGGTGTACAGAAAAAAAGTTTTTGTCTCAAAATAGTAATTGACAAGTAAAAAGACCACTTCCTCAACCCATTAAATCACAATTGTAACAAAATACTTCATACAAAAGCTGTTCTAACCTTTTCAAATATTTGATAAAAAACTTCCAGCTGTCTGGCCTCATAATCTGGTGTTAAAGTTTTATATGGGTTGTTCCAGTCACCCATCACACCCCAGCGCTGGAAAGATAACTTCTGTTCTTCCAAAACCTTCTCTGCAAACTGCTTTGCTATTGTACAATAAGAAAAAACATTTGGTTTTAAACAATACATCAGCAATCTAACATTTTTACTTACTCAAAATATATTCGCCCAAAAACGAAAATTTCAGGTTTTAATTCAAAGCCCCCTCGTATTATCTACCCCATAAGAAATATTCGCTTACAGAAAAGTGATATGGTTTGGTCATTTATGTACCACATTTCCCCAAGTATAATACAATCTTATATATAAGACTGACTTTTTTTGGGGGGGAGGGGGAGGGCAACTAATAAAAATAATATGATTACTTAAAGTCAGCTATTGCCCATGTGTAACAAGCGATGCACTGTATGTTGTTACATCTTTTTTATTTGGTCTGAGTATACAAAAGAAATCTGGCTAAACACCTGATCATACTTAACTCTTTGGGTTCCAAACAACTCATCATACATTTCTTGGTAACTCTAAAGTCAACATAATGCTGTTGTTTTATTATTCTGAATTTTGAATTAAGACTTGACATGGGACACTCCCATAAGTGCTCAGTACCCATCTTCAGCAGCAAGTGAATATTGAATTCCGATGGCACCAGTAGCGTCTGATTGTATATCTGTCTCATCCTTCTCCCTGAGTGTTGAGTGTCGGCCAGATCTCCTGGTAACTTCTCGCAGCGCCATTCCCCTAGACCTAATGATCTATCTGCGCCTCTGAACTGTTTACTCGCTCCCAAAGGGCCCTCATAATATCTAACTTGTCATACATCAATTCACCACCAAGTGGTGCAGAGCCAGCCATACTATCTGCCTGCTTATTTCCCAACACACCGGCATGACCTGGAGAAAATATTCAAAGGATGCTAACTAACTGGGACCTAAAGTGATGCTTGCCACTCTGAAAGAAGCATGCTTGTTTTCACCTTTCTCAACATGCTCTGTGAGTCAGTTACAATCACGGCGTGTGTGTACAGCTGATTCTCAAGCCAGCGGAAGGCAGCATAGACTGCCTCCACCTCCATTCTCTAACTAGACATTGTAATATCATATGCAATGCTTTGCTGCACTTGGCGACGTCCATTCGCCTTTGCTATGAAACCCAATGCACTCAAAAAATTATGTGAGCAATATCTCACAGCTGCCTTTACTTCCAGAGAAATTTTAGTTGACTCATTTTAGATACAATCAACCTGGGAGCCTATGTCAATAAAAAATGCCCATATCAGGGAGAAACTTTTACTCAATCACTGAAGAAGAAAAATCAGAGACTTTGACTGAAATGCTACAGAACAATTCTTAAAATACTGTGGACTAAAAAGAGAAAAAACTTTGACATTTGACATTTTACATGATGTGAACAACAAGAAGAACTGGCTCATAAACAGCATCCTATCCCAAAACCGAGGTATTCTGGTCATGATGGCCTGGACAGAATAGTGATGGAGGAGGATACAGTTTACAGAAAATGATGTAGCGGCAGACCTCAGCAAACATTGATACAAGACACTGAAGATGCATTAGCTATGAAAGCACATAAGGCTGGATAGTTGGCTAGAAAAAAAGAGAGACTTTTGGTGTGCTGTGACGAGAGCGACGTTCTTTTAAACATCTGCTGATTGATGATGATCATCATGGAGAATTCAAACATGTGACCATGACTTATGCAGCAAGAATGTCCTCCATTGTGATATCATCGCTCCCTGTCTTGTCCTATCTTCAATACATTTTTACAACTTTACTGAAAACTCCGCAATTCACTCCCCAATTCCCCCCCCCCCCCCCCCCCCCCCCCCCCCCCCACAAATACAACAAATGCTGGCAGCTGCAGTAGTGTAGTGGATAGATGCTCGCTTACCAACCAGAAAAGAAACTAGATTATTATGGGCTGGAGAGAATGATGCGTGACCAGAGGGTTCAGCCAACACACTACGCTCAGGGGGTAAGGCAAGGCGGACATACAACCAGACTATGACTGGCACCATTAGTACTGGAACTCTGCGCTGGCTGCTGAGAATGGAGACAGAGCATGTATGGGAATGCCTCATGTGCTGTGAGGTCAATTCTTGACTCAACTCAACTTACCAACCTGGAGGTCATGTTTTGAATCCTCCTTATGTCAATTTTGTTTCTTTTTCAAAACTGACCTAGGCTTCCAGGTTGACCCAGCCCAAAAGGGGTGCCAGGTATTGAGAAGTAAAAGTAGCTGGCATGATCCTGGCCATATTACCTACCGAGTGCCAACTGGCCCTTAAAAACGAATCATTATATGCCCAATACGTCACTGGCATAGAAAGGGTCCCTTTTTGTGTTTATAACAAATGCCAGGAAATAAAGTTTACCTTTGGCTCTAATCTCTAATGGCTGTAAAGTCTGGTGTCCCCCAGACATATTTGCGATGGTTTTCATTTCAATTGGCATCCCATGACAATCCCAACCTGGCACATAGTGGACTTTGTGTTTTTTCAGAACTTTGTAGCGATTCATGATGTCTTTTAGAACCTGCCAAACAGGAAATATTAACCTGAAATATTACCATTTTATTACACATCTATAAAAATGAATGTGAATATAGATGGGAAAATGTTTAACCACGTCAATCTGGGACACTCAAAACATCAGATGGAAGATGTATTACAGTCATTACGAGCAAGATAGGTCAAACAAAAGCTGCAGTAGATGAAAAGTACCTGGTGTCTTTTTGACGCTTAAAAAGTAGGTTGGCATGTTGTGGTTTACAACCAGGCTGCGGTATCTGCACCTTTCAGCCCAACACATCTGATTTCAACAAGTCCCTAATCAGTCACCATGGAAGACATGCTTGTTGCGAAGCAGAGGGTCAATTATTTGTCCCCACAAAATTGGGCCATGGAATCTACATGGGGAGTAGATTATCTTATGTAACTAGTCCCTTTCACAGAATACCAAAATGAATCTTGACAACACCTGATGTGTAGAGAATCTGGACAACCTTTGATGTGCGGAGAATCTTGACAACTCTTGATGTACAGAGAATCTGGACAACACTTGATGTTCAGAGAATCTGGACAACACTTGATGTACAGAGAATCTGGACAACACTTGATGTACACAGAATCTGGACAACACTTGATGTACAGAGAATCTGGACAACACCTGATGTGTAGAGAATCTTGACAACACCTGATGTACAGAGAATCTGGACAACACTTAATGTACAGAGAATCTGGACAACACTTGATGTACTGAGAATCTGGACAACACTTGATGTACACAGAATCTGGACAACACTTGATGTACAGAGAATCTGGACAACACTTGATGTACAGAGAATCTGGACAACACTTGATGTACAGAGAATCTAGACAACACCTGATGTACAGAGAATCTGGACAACACCTGATGTACAGAGAATCTGGACAACACTTGATGTGTAGAGAATCTTGACAACACCTGATGTGTAGAGAATCTTGACAACACCTGATGTGTAGAGAATCTGGACAACACTTGATGTGTAGAGAATCTGGACAACACTTGATGTGTAGAGAATCTGGACAACACTTGATGTGCGGAGAATCTGGACAACACTTGATGTGCGGAGAATCTTGACAACACTTGATGTACAGAGAATATGGACAACACTTGATGTACAGAGAATTAGGACAACACTTGATGTGTAGAGAATTTTGACAACACTTGATGTGTAGAGAATCTTGACAACACCTGATGTGTAGAGAATTTTGACAACACTTGATGTGTAGAGAATCTGGACAACACTTGATGTGTAGAGAATCTTGACAACACCTGATGTGTAGAGAATTTTGACAACACTTGATGTGTATAGAATCTTGACAACACCTGATGTGTAGAGAATCTGGACAACACCTGATGTGTAGAGAATCTGGGCAACACTTGATGTGTAGAGAATCTGGACAACACTTGATGTGTAGAGAATCTTGACAACACTTGATGTACAGAGAATCTGGACAACACTTGATGTGCAGAGGACAGGTGGACTTTTAATCAAGGTGCCACTGGCATCACCAGCGTGGGAACTCTTTGCTGCCGAAAAAAGGAAAGAGAGCATATGTTGGAAAGTTCTCAGTGTAATTCTGTCAGTTCTTATTTATTTATATCTCTGTTGTTCATCCTGAATAGGATATTCACTGGGCTGTCAGTTTACAGGAGATCAAGACAAAATGATAAACACTCAGACATACCACATTTTTTCCGTGCATAAGACAAAATGTGTTTTTTTCATGTTGTTTTAGCTTAAAATTGGGGTCTTCATATATGGAATGTGTTTAAAATATTTTTTTTATTTTTTTTTAAAGGAGGTTGGGGGGTAATGTTATACATATCTTCTTATAGACGGAAAAATGCAGTATATTTTTCCAGCAAGTAAATAAGCAGTCAGATAAGTACCTTGTTTACCACATGGCCAACATGAGGCTTTCCGTTTGCATAAGGGGGACCATCATGCAGCACAAACTCTTTGTCCCAGTTCTGTTCACGCTGCCACTGATACAGCGACTGAAAGCCGTTAGTCTAAAATCCACAAAATGAAAAATACACACGTGAGTTCAATATAAGCATGCATATATTTGAAGGCAACAATACAGTAATACCCCGCATTTGTTTTTCTCATTGAATAATGAAGACAGAAGCAAGAAATGTCACAAACTTTAACTATGAAATGTCAATGTTCTGTATACAAAGTGGCAACTCATTCCTTTAAACTGCCCTTATCTATTAAAACAGAGGACTAGGACAATGTGTGTTACAAGCAGTGAATTGTAAAAGTCATGGTTGTAGAAGAAAAAAAAACTGCAATGAACATCCACAAATGCTCAAGTGCCATGTATGGAAGTTATGTAGTCAATCAGATTCCTGTTTGTTGCTGACTTCAGAGAGTTTAAGCTTCAGAAAGTGGAGAGATAGGCCTGAGGATGTTATTTAAGCTGTGAAGAAAGTGCTACGTGAACAGGAAAAATCTGATACAGGAAAGCTATGCATGTCCTCATTTCATGTCTGTGTTAAATGGACAAAGATTGTATAGAAAATTATAATTTATTAAAAAAAATAATAATGTAAATCATAAAATAACCTAGCATCTATTTTTAAAAAAAGTTAACTGGGTTCATGGTACTAGATCTAAATTTGTATAGATTACTTGGCACTTAATGGGTCATGTGATAAAACACAACTCTTAGTATCTATAGGTTACTGTTATTAACATGCATCTACGGAACTCATTATGTCAAAGGATTAACGGTAGACAAAACAAAACAAATGGAGATCAGAAACAGATAATCTTCTCTTCTTCATGTTCACTGTGTGCAAACTAAAGAAACACCCTTAATTAGTCAGCAGTCAGTCATTATCTTCTCCCATGGGGCCCAGGAACATAGACAAGATAGGGAGGACATGGGCTGAGCTACACGTGACAGCAAAGAATAAGATGATATGGCATGAAATGGTTGAGTGCCCATGTCCCACCAGGAGAATAAATGGCAGAAAAAGAACATGCTTCAACTACAGCTTCATCCAGAGTGACTAAATCTTCTTCTTCATGTTCACCGGCTGTAAACTCCCGCAGAAAGTCATGGTTGTTCGTCCACCTTTGGACTTTAGTCTTGTTCCTGAACCTGAGTGTTGTGTGCACATCCTTTTACATATCTGACTTATTTGTATGCAGACTGTTGGTTCCTTGATTATCAGGCAGATGCCCTCCGACTTTGAAGGAAGCCCCCAGTTAGTCGACTATTACAACATGCATGTTGGGTGTGCAGTGGGTCTATTCCTGTTTTCCTCACAATGAGGCCCGGAACCCGCACGCACATGCTTTAAATCCTATCAGACATTTTCGTTTTAAATTTATATATAAGTAAATGGTTACTTCTACCAAGCCAGATAAAAATAATACTTTATATTGAACAACACAACAGATGATGAACACTTGCTTGTATCATTACATGTGATGATGTGAATACTGTCAACACACACACATCCTATAGTATATTAATCACTGGTAGTGGATAGATCCATATTCAGGCTTTATTATCTACTTCTCCTCCATATTTTCTACATCTCCATTTCAAATGCCATTATGTCTGTCCTTTCTGCCCTAAACCCCACTCTAGAACATCTCTCCTCTCCTTTCCTGGCTATACCACTGGATCAGATTTCATTTCTTCTCTCCTTCTTCAATGCCATAAACAGTATCAACTTTCACTCCCCCATCTCTGTCAACCCATACAGAGCAATCTTTGCTTGAATTTAATTCTTTAAAGATTCAGAGTAGTTATTTAGAACCATGCATTCTATTTAATTATATTTGCATTCTTTTTTTTTTTCAAACAGATCCTTAGAACACCAAGAAGAGAGATACTGACATCGTAAAAGATCCGAACATTGACGAAGATTGGCTAGTATACAGCATCTTGTCTTGGAGAATGAAATATTTTGGCCATTAAAAACTTTTTTTTTAAAAGAACATTAGCAAAAACAAGACACAAGCAGGAAAGAGAGACAGGGGCCAACCAACACTAAGATGGGTACAGGATATAAGTGATTACTTGGGTAGGATAGTGCTGAAGGCAGGAGATCTAGAAGAGTTTTTTTTTTCCCCAGCACACTCACTGTGAGGACAGCAACCCTCTGCAAAAGACATGCTTCAAGATGATGATGTTATGTCTATTATTATGGCTGAAATATTCCAGTAGACTAGATTGCAAAATAGTCCTCCCTAAGATGCCGGCACAAGTGGTTTATGATTCCACTTTTCTCTTTTTCTTTCCTTCAGCAAATCTCTTTTCATTCTTAGTCTCTCAACCCTTTGGGGACAACTGGGCTGATCTATCAGCCCGAAAGCAGCATAGCCAAAAAAAATGGCTGGGCTGATCTGTCAGCCCATCAATTTAAGCCTTGAGATTGGCTGGCTGGTCTTCAAACCAGCTAATCAGATCGCTTCTCTTACTTCTTGCACATGAGGGCCGTTCAATGGCGGCTTTCGTGAAACTTTGTTGCCTTCTGCAATTTTACATCAATTTTGTGGGGTGTCCAACAGTGGTGAAAAGGACTGTTGCATCATAGCAACCAAAATATAATAATAGGGAGTAAAAGGAGTAGAACAATGTGCCAGAGGTGTCTGAAGGGCCTATATTTGCCTTGCTTCCCAAAACACAAGTGTTAGGGCTTATTCAGGCTTCACTCATAAAAAAGGTTAGTCTAATTTTCAGTTTACTCATGTTTGTCACAAGTAATTTTTTTTTAATGCATACATAAGTATGCAAACTTGATAGCTAATTTGAATAAATGTTGCGATGTCAGTGTTAACCCTAAAGACTGTGTTAGTTTATTCAATATCCTACACAAATTAATATTGTTTTGTTTTGTATATATTAATCAAACGCTTTAGTTTTTATAATTTTGTGTGTGTAAACTAAGACCCCCCCCCATCCACGAAGGCTCCGTCTTCTTAGCACTGAAACTCCAAAAAAGCTCCATCTCCAAATGGTTAAGAACCCCCTGTATATGACCGTGTTTGTTTCTGTGAAATACTGTATACAATCTAATGATCTATTCTTCTGTTGATCCCTTTTTTCTTCGTGTTTTTTTTTTTTTTCAAGTCACAAACTGTAGTTTCAACTTTTAACTAAAGAAGATAAAACAGAAACATTGACTTCTGGATACTGATAATTAATCTGGACCAGTGTGAAAATAAGAAAGTGACATGTTTATATAATGTTTAAATTTAGTTAAAAGTTCGCGTAATCCACCTTTTGTATTTCCAGCTCTCGTTGTGCTGCAGTGCCATTCTTCATTGACAACGGGAAAGAAGTTTGTGGCAAATTCAACGTATTGCTGTATCGTTTACTTTTCGTGTTTGGCTTTTCATTGTTTGGAATGCTATTTTTCTGCCTGATGTGTAAGCTTAAAACTCGCTGAAAACTCAGTAGCTGCTTGCTGCGCCCGACACGGTTCATAATTTCTAATACCAATCAGTGGCTCGAAGTATCTGGACACTGATGAACGAGAGGGTCACAGAACCCTTATTGTTTACAATTTAAAGGACGCTGACATCTTGTAGCTCCGCGTAAACTGCTATCTCGGAGTTTAAGTTCAATCTGCAAAAACATACTACATTTAGTAATTTTAATCAATAACCCAATATTTTGATAAAATGCACTGCAGTTAGTCAACTTTTACTTTGCACAATCTAAATTTAATTCTATCATCCTGTTCGGGTATTTAGGTAATAATATTTAAATGTGACAAGGTTATAGGTCAGAGGTCGAGGGTGAAAAGGTTATCAATCGATTCCCCGTATTGTCCATGCTCTGTAGCATTCAGCAATCGCCAGAGTTCAAACGACCAGCTCAGCTGGCTGGACACACATTCTGAGACACACCAAAACCTTAGTCGTCAGAAACAACACAATTCATTCAGTAGTAGCATGTCCCTCGCGGAACCTCGCTGCCATAACAACCCTCCGAATTAACACATTGTTTTCTCGACGATCCGTCTGCACATTGAGTCTAGTCTGTAGGTTTGCCTTCTTACGCGTTAGAAATTTTAGTAAAATAAGTCCGGTGGTTTGTAATTTAAATTAATAGTATTTAGTTACTGTAATTTTGAATATTTCATTGTGTGTGAGTGTGTGCGAGGGGCATTGCTACTGGATATATATTATATGATGACATACTCATACAGGACATAGATTAGAAGTCGCATTGTATGTTCACTGACTATGGAAGCCCACAAGGCTAGACATGAGAGACTTTCAGCGTGCCGTGAAGAGAGCAATCTGCAATCATTGCTGCAATGTTCTGTAAAGGAAAAAAACATGCTGATTGTTTGACGATTGATGATGTGACAGGGGAATTCTGTTTGTATTAGCTTATTAACTATTATTATTAATATAATATTATTTTAATTTGAACATGCCTTCAGGTTATAAAGAAAGAAAGCTTAAAATTAAATTATTTAGGCAGTTGACAAAGTTGATAGGTAACTATATTATACTATAGTACTTAGTACATGATGGTTGGCAACAGAATGCGTTTCAAGTTAAACCATTCTAGTTACACCTATAATGATATTGAATATATATATATATATATATATATTCAATATTCATTGTATGGAATTTCCATTAATAGCTATGCATTATCATTAACTATTAACATTAACTAATGAAAGTTAATTTTAATTAGTAATAATAATTATTATACAATTAAAAATCAACTGTCCATAAACAAATAATATAGTATTATAGTATAGTCATAAACTGGTATCTCATGTCATGTGAATATTTTTTTTAACATATCATATATTTCACACTAAGATTAACTTAGTTAACTATTAGAATTAGTTACTTAAACAAATTTTTACCTGATCAGAAACCATCTAACTAGTTCACCTATCTGCATGTCTTAAACAAACTTAATAAGACTAATAATTTCATTTTTTTTTCTTTCAGCATTCAGGATGGAGTATTATTCCATAATAAACATGGTTTGAGGAAACTCGAAGGAAATTTATTTTGTGCCTGCGAACAAGATTAAACAATTATGTTACTTCGACTCCCAAGCATCAATCATATAGTCTCAGGAAACCACAATATTGGCTACGAAATCCACCCTCAGACTAGAGACGGAGGTCCTCATGAAGTTACTGATACAAATTTTATTTTCAAAAGTTTTGAACAGTTTCAACAAACCAACTTTACCACTGTTGAATCATCTTCGGTGACTTCTGCAGCTATTTATGACACCACTGAAGTTGGTAATTCATCAGTATCACCAACCATGCAACCACTTCTACCTTCCCTACCATCAACCATCCAGACTAGCTTGACGTGCGTTTACATTTCAATGTTTTCCTTAATTTTTCTGCTGGTTTACGTGCAGCTGTGGATGATCTGGTATTACAGGCACAGACGTCTAAGTCACCAAACGTTTTTCCTCTTCTTGTGCCTAATTTGGGCAGGATTGCGGACAACCTTATTTTCATTTTACATCAGAGATAGCGAGGCTGTAAATCATTTGGGCATAGGTGTGTACTGGCTGCTGAACAGTTTGCCAGTGTGTCTGCAGTTCTGCATGCTGTGTTTGCTTCTTCATTTTATTTTACAGGTAAGTGGCATGTTTGTTTCGTTAATTGTACTGAGGGAAAGAGTGGATGTAAAGATTGTCTGTGCACTCTATCCAATGCTTTGTATCTGGCTCCTTGCCTCTCAGACATATGCACTCCGACTTCAGGGGAAGCCCCCAGTTATTCGACTCTTACGACATGCTTTTGAGTAGGCAGTGGGTCTATTTTTGTTTTCCCTCTAATAGGGCCCTGTAACCCACACGGGGAACTCTGTGACGATTGATCACAGAGCATTTTCATCAGATGGCCTAACCGTCTCATCTGTTGCATGGATTGTTGAGCGAAGAACTGACATCACATCATTTAGGACATTCCCATAAGCCCTTTATCTTCAGCAGCCAGCGAAGAGTTCCAATTCTGATGGTGCCAGTAGCAGGTTGATTATCTGTTTGTCTTGCCTTTCCCTGAGTGTAGAGTGTCACCCAGATCCCTTGGTCAGTGAGTTAGGTTAGTCCTAGCTGTATCATTCTCTCCAGATCATCCATAATGGTCTGTTCATGCCTCTGCATTGTTCACTTGCTCTCAAAAGACCTTTACCACATCGAGCTTGTCATGCATAAATTCACTACCCGTTTGTGCAGTACCAGCCAATCTGTCTGTTGTTTCATTTCCCAATACTTCTGCATCCTTTGAGAAAATATCCAAAGAATGCTAACTACCCGGATCTCAGAAGTGATTGCTTACTACTCTGTGGAACATGCCTGTCTCGACCTTTCTTAACATGCTTTGTGAGTCATTTACAGTCTCGACATGTGCGACTGGTTCTCAAACTATCAGAAAGCTGATGTGACTGCCTCCACCTCCATTCTCAAACTAGATGTGGAATTATCATACGCTAGACTCTGTCGCACATCCATTTACTTCATAATGAAATCCCCCATCCTCACACTGCTTCTGGATTGTTTACTAATGTAATACTGTTACAGAAAACATTACATTTTTATATCTTGAGACAAAGTGCAAATGTTGTTGGTTTCATTTTTATAAACCAGAAGCTATTCCATGGATCATAAGGTAATATTACATTGGTCCCCTTTACTTCCTGCAGCTTCCTCTGATGTCATATTCCTATAGACCAGTGGTTGAGTAAGGGGATTCTTTTTCATGTCCTTATATATGTTGGGCATAGAGTGCTAGACCTAATTCTTATAGTGGTGGGTGATATGATAAACATGACCTCAAACACCTTTATTTCCCAGGGCTGCGTGGTACCCATTTAAGGCTGGGTCAACCTGGGAGCTTAGGTATTTTTGAAAAAATAAATCCTGCTCCATTCGGATTTGAATCCATGACCTTCGAATTTGCAGGCATCTATCTGCCTAGCCACTACACCATGGTGACTTCCATGCTTAATATCACAGTGCCCTTCTTTGCTTCCTTGATCCTCAACTTGTGTCATATTATTTTAGACCAATGGGTACTCAGTTGGTCGTGTGGTTAACATCACAGTGACCTCCCTTACCCCCTGAAACCTCTACTGCTGTCTATTTTTGGGCTTTGAAGTTATAGTCACAAGGACACCAAGCAAGCCATTGTGCTAGGAGGCCTACTTTTAAAAAAATGTGGTCTAGACTCCCAGATTGACCCAGGCTAAAATAGGTGCTAGTATTATCCTGTATAGAAAGCGACAGCATTATCCTGGGAAGAAGGGGACAGTATTATCCTGGGAAGAAGGGGTCAGTACTATCTTGGTAAGAAAGGGAGAGTATTATCCTGGGAAGAAGGGGACAGCATTATCCTGGAATGAAGGGGACAGTATTATCCTTGGAAGAAGGGGTCAGTACTATCTTGGTAAGAAAGGGACAGCATTATCCTGGGAAGAAGGGGACAGTATTATCCTGGGAAGAAGGTGTCAGTACTATCTTGGTAAGAAAGGGAGAGTATTATCCTGGGAAGAAGGGGACAGCATTATCCTGGAATGAAGGGGACAGTATTATCCTTGGAAGAAGGGGTCAGTACTATCTTGGTAAGAAAGGGACAGCATTATCCTGGGAAGAAAGGGACACAGTATCACAGTGTGGTGTTTGTATTTGTTATTCAACCACTGTTTGGTATAAATTTCTGTAACCTGTGGTGCTATTTCAGTGGTTGAAATAAATTTTGTCAGAATTCTATTGTGGTATTAACATATCCCTTACGTTCTTCTTAGGACGTAATTTTTTGTTATTTGAAGCCCCACTCTGGCTTTTGCCAGGGGCCGCAATATAGGCAGGCCATCAATATGGCCAATTGTCTGAACGCGGTTTCTGGGACCTCTCCACGGTGATCCTCATCTGCATGGTGGCACTTTGTGTCATTGGGTGTTTATCGCTTGTGTGATGTCCTGGTGGGGTAGAAAGTCAGTCAGTCATTGTGGTATTCAAAGTTGTCCCTTCGTGGGATGCAATATTTCTTTATTTGAAGCTTCACCCTGGCTGGACCATAAATATGACTATTACTAATCAGTCATCTCCTTGTGAGATGCAATTTTTCGTTATTTGAGGCCCCACTCTGGCTTTTGCCGGGGACCCTGAATACAGCTGGACCATACATATGGCCTAACGGCTGAAGGGGATTTCTGGGACCTCTCCACGGGTAATCCTCATCTGCATGGTGGCATTTTGTATGATACACCTGGCTTATAGTGACACCTTTTTAGGGATGCTGGGTGGCTGTGCTTGTTTGTACACTTGTTTCTGTAGTGAGGCGCGTTCGGCACTTGGAAGTGGCCAGTTAAATTCCCGGCATGGTAGCTTTAGTTTTTAATTTTTATATTGTCTAGTGTGTCATCTTGTTTCTCTACCTCCTTTTATGAGTGCCAGTAAGTTCTTGTATATTTGTTTATAAATATAAATTAGGTCTAGCACTATATACTCAATATCCCAAAAGCTTGAGAAGGGTCTTTTACTTAAATTATTTAGTTTTGTCTCACTTCATATTCTTTAAAATCTGAGTTTTCTATCATCTTCTTAGTACATTGTGGCAATGTTTCTTCGACTTTCTATCCAATATTGATCTTTCCTGTGAAAGCCCATGGCTGATGTGGCTTCAGTGAGCTGTTTATCAACAGTGACTGGATTAGTTCAGATAATGAGCACTTCAGGTATAGGCTCATCTGTTGAGCTGACCTCTTGACATCTTTTCGTTTTATCTGTTTATTCATCTGTCCCAGGTCAGTATACCTGGACAGCTGAAGGACTCTTCATCTGTCTACTGTTATCTGTTGTTTCATGGACTTGGCTTGTCGTTGTGCAAATATTTACTTTTTTCTGCTTTTAACTCTTTCACTACCAGAAAACACACTGTGTGTTTATTAGATGCTCTGTATCAGACATTATATATAGAATAAACAGACTGACAATGTATTGATTGGCACTCATAAAAAGAAGTAGAAAGATAGAAGGACACACTAGACAACTTAACATTTGAAAACTATAGTTACAATGCAGAATTGAACCTGTCAACTCCAAATGGCTTATATCTACAACCGCAAGGTTTTACCCTTCTGTTTATTTATCTGTATGAGACATGCATTTCTAAACATTTTTGTCTGCTCCATTCTTCTGTAAGGTGAAGAATTTCCTTTTTTTTTAAAATCTTTTTTCTATATCAATCTTTTTCTATCTCAAATGTTACTTTTATGTATTTGGTTCAGCTGTTGCATTATTTGAATACATTGGGGGTGAAAAGATTGTTACCCTAAAGTCCATAGGCTCAGTATATGATACTCAGTATCAATTTATCTGGCACTTCTCCGAATACCGGTCCCAAAATTATTGTTTTTAAAAACACCCACTAACAACGATATGTAAAGTTAGATTTATCCGACACAGATTAGCAATAACGTTTTAGCGATTCATGAGCTGGCACATGTAGATGTTACCTGCCAACTTATATATTTTTGTTTCTAGTTTTTAATATTTCTATTAGATGACCTATTGGGGCCCTTTTAGGGTATGTTTTTTAACCTTGATAATTTGGGACCGGTATTCAGAGGAGTGCCAGTTATCTTCTTGGGTCTGAACAAGTTAAATGAATGTATGTTTTTAAAACAAGCCATTGTGGGCTGTGATGAATGCAGGCTGAAAGTATAAAAATAGTAATTTGGATATCAAAAACACTAAAGTGAGGAATGTCTGGTTTAAGAGATTAGATAGCTGGGGTCTCTTTGAGAAAACCAAGGTTCAGATCATTGGTTAAAATTTGGGATTTTTCCTCTTGAAAGGCATCCACCAAAATTTCTTGCCTGCATAGCTCATGACAACTGCACCAGCTCTGTAGCCTTAAATTCTCAGGCTAAAATGAAAACCTACATCTAAGCCAGGTACGCGGGTACAGAGAAAACATGGAGGGTTGGGATCTCAAGATACATGATACCAGATGGCCAAACCAGTTCAGTCTTTGTTTTTCAATAAATCTTAAAAATGCATTATTCCCAACATTCTAATATTTTATTTTATTTTACGGTCTTTTACTGTTATGTTGACTGCTTTTCTCAAACATCTAATTGCGCAAATCGTTAGTTTCCATTCTTGTTCTTTTGTTAATGCCCAGGTTTGGCAGTGATAGCACAGTATTGGTAAATAGATTGCGTTTATGATTTGTCTTTTAGTTTCTGTTAGTATTACTGGGTGTTTCAGTACTAGAGAAATTTGATAAGTAACACTGTTTGCTTGCTGGATTCTGGACTCAATCTCTCTGTCCATTCTGCCATCTGATGTGAAGATGCTTCTAAGATAGAGGATTTTTACACACACTCTTTTAATTAGGCCTTGTGAGCAATACAATTTTAGATAGAGCAAGTGATCTCAAAGTGAATATGAGTATTTTGTCTTAGTGCAAAAATTGTTTTAAATGAAACAGTTTATGATTGCTGCCCTTGTAAAATTAAGAAGTATCATCCTGATTATTGACTTCCTTCTGGTTTTTTAGGTTCACTGGAAAATAAACTGCTCCATTTTCCTTCCTTGTTTGTATTCAGTATCTGCCTCTTGAATTTCTGAAGGTGCCCTTGACCCAGTTGAGTCATCTTTGTTATACTTTTAGTTTTTAATAAAAGTAATTTGACCTATTTGTATAACAATGAGGTGTGTCAGAATTGTCAGCCTAAGGAGAATGCAAACATGTTTAAATGAGGGGCTTCCAATGAAAACCTTAAAAGTGTAATTGGCATAGAACTTACTATAACCATCTGATTTTCTTGTAACCTATCAGTATTGTTCTTAAGGATGTCAAGATGATTAAGCAAATGACATCACATGGCAGTGAAGTACAATGAAGTCATATTGACAGTTTAAAGATGTCCGGTTCACTTTACAATACAACGGCATGGTTGCTCTAGTTGCTTTCACACTTTTAAGGTTTTCATTTGAAACTATTATTTGTAGAGTTAAGATTCTTTTCATTGTTAGTGTTTCTAATATTTTAAAATATAGCTTGGGTAGCGACCTTTTTTTTTTTTTTTGAAAAATATTTTTTTTAAACTTGTATATTAGCCCTAATTTTCTTGCTGAATTAGGAACAATTATACGGTCATTTCCTTCTCCTTAAAAATTTAAAAAATCTGTACCATTATTTGGACCAGGTCTGCTCTCATAGATGACACCATATTTATGACCTAGTATATGTGCATGCTGCACATCTAGTGTCTGTATCTGTTGACAGGTTAGAATATTAGTAACTAATGTTGACCAGTGCCTTGTTTCTGTGGTACACAATAGTGAAACAAAAAATTGTTGCATCATATTTTATGTGCTGCTGTAATATACACTTTATGGCAAGTACTGGCACCTTTTCTTATCTTGGAAAAAAGCCATGATAGTGACACTGCATTGACACCGGCGCCTGAAATTAATAAACCACTTCCTGATCTGTAAAGGGTTCTGCCATGGCTGTAGTGTCTAGACCTCGCCTCAGGACTCAAAGATCATACGTTCAAATCCACATCCAGCTGGATTTTTTAATAAAGAAAAAAACTTGGTTTACAGGTAAACTCAGCCTGAAAAAAAGTACAGTGTAATGCCTGGGAAGTAGAGCGGCGTCGCGTTGAACACATCATCTGCTGAGTGCTGATTGGTCTATAAAATATAGGTGTAGCCCTATATGCCCAATGACGTGGAAAAGGGTCCTTCAAGAATCTGTAAAGCCCAATCATAAGCAAAGCCACATTTGGCTGCGAATTGGTTGAGAATCTGTACTCCATTCGCAAAATATAGACACAAGAAGAAACAAGGGAGGCTACTACCACAGGGAAGTTGCATGCCTCTGTTCTAGTGTGTCACCTCACTGTCCCTCTGTCAACAGATGAGTGTGCATTATTGTGTCAATTCCTCTGGTAAAAGAAACACAATACTAATAATTATTTGAAAACCACCCAGTGAATAATTGATTTTTCCACACTTATGTGGGGTATTTCATTAGCTGTTTTAGAGCAGAGTGGTGTGCCTTTAATGAGCCTAAACCCAGCAATGTATGCAATAATTGGTAATCATGGGAAAATGAGTTATTAGTTGATCTTAAACTTTTTGGCTTCCATTGTAAATACATTGTTCGAAATTACAACTGTTTTTAAATTAAATAAATTTGCTTCCTGCTAATTGGTATTTTATTTCAACTTTTCTGCAGGTTGTGTTAAGAGCTAGAGCAAGTTTTGAGCCAAGACAGTGCATGTAAGCTGTGATTTTGTTGTGTCTGTACATCACGTGAGAAATCCTTACAGTAAGGCTCCATTTGATCTCTGACATTGATTGTCATTCACCATGATAGAAGTCTTTCATACTTGCCTTCCACTTCTTCGTTAATCATTTCCTTTATTTACCCTGACAGCTAAGTTCTTACAGTAATGAGAGTTGTGTAATACTGGTTTTTGGTCCACTTTCTGGTCCCATATTTCTGATCTGGTGTGACATGATTTGATTGCAAAGACTATACTTCAAAGAACATTGGAGTGTAGTTGAAGAAGATGGGGACTAAAAAGAAGCTGGAATAATAAAATCAAGAAGGAACAGGACTTAGTTATCATACACAGGTTCAACAAGCAGAAGACAGAGAAAGATGGCAGGTTTTTGTGTGTTAGTGCTTCCATCGATACACCTCCATGACCCTAACGGGTCAAGGATTTTGTTATGTATGTATTTCTGGCTTCAGAATCTCTTCAGAGTTAGATTTTGCCGTTCTCTTAGTTGTCTCTACTTTTCTGAACTTTGGAGAACAGGGTCTACCACGTGAATGTGAGGTAGGCTTGAGCAAGAGAGGCTAAAAGACTTAAGTCCGTATTGTGTATCAGTGCTCAGTTCTCCCATTGATACAATTTTAGTTATGCTATTCTCAGAATGGTTTGCCTATGCAGTTTCCTCGCATAAACTGGATTAAATGGTTTCATTGACTAAGCTACTAAATTAAGTGTTTGATGTATCACTGTGAGCTGTGTATTTCATGTGGGATGCCTTTCATCTATGCCATGGTGGTTTGTGATGATATTCAGAACAAGGCTTGTGGTTGGTCTGCATTGAGGTTGGCAAAGTGCCTTATGCAGTAATATTGCCTGTGTGCCACCTTTTCATGGCCGACCGCTTCCATTTGTGACAGATTACAATTATGGTGTTTAAATAAGAAGATAAGGGGTATTTTGTATGATTTTCACTGCTGCAGGAACAGCAGTGATGGGTGACGTATTTGCAGTAAAGTTACAATATTGACAACAGCTGCTGTGCTAGAACAGGTACTAAGAAATGAGGGTACTACTCATGAAAGTCACCCCATTTCACTGGAAGTAGCTCCTACTGCCTGTCCTATGTTTAGGGATGTTATGATATGTCTCTCTTTGCTGTCTATGCACAGCATGCTAAACAGTGGCTCGAGCCGTCGATGCAGTTGACACACTGTCTCGCAGATGAAAGTGCGCAACTTTATTTTCTCAACTCTCTTTTCTGTGAGGGACCGTTGTTTCTGGAATGTCTTCTCATGAGTAGATCGCAGGCGCTGGAGGAGCCTGGGTGCAGGAAAAAGTTCTGCAGGGGAAATGCCGAAGGCACAACAGTTCATGAATTTCGAATCATTAATGTTTATGTATTTTCACACTCTTTGGTGGTGGCTGTCGTCGATGGTGTACGCACTTAAACCGTTCACACTGATGAACACATGACACCCCTAGATTATAGGAGTGTCCCGGGAAATCATATACAGAATCTCGTGTCTGATGAGATGGGGTGACTTTCATGAGTTGTACCAAAATGGATTCTTTTCCTTTATTTCACTTCATCTTGGGGGAGATTTTGTAGGGAATTCCCAGAAAGTCCAATAGTATAGGGGTGATAGGATGTGAAGTAAACACTGACTAACACTAACTGACTATTGGACTTTCCTGGGAATTCCCTACGAAATCTTGGAACTCTTGAGATGGAGTGAAAGAAAAGAACCAAGAAATGTTCACCACATATAGTGTTGATTAAATAAATATTTCATCAATATACCTCATGGGGTGATAAAGGCATCTTTATTTTCTACCTGCAGAGTAAAAATAACTATTCCATGAAAATTAATTTAAACCTATATCTGAATGTTCATTGCTAATGTAGTTATCATTGTTCTTTTTGTGTGTGTGTGTGTTCCACAGGCATTCTTTGCACATATTTATTGGGGCATCAGTTCTGCTGTACACTACAGTGAGTTTTGCCTCTGCTGTTTTGACTAAACAGTACAAGTTTGCACACTCTGCTGTGCCTATTTACCTGGGTTTTATCCGCGTCATCATGTCAGAAGTCATGTTTTTTATCTATGGAGTTTTATTATCGATTTCAATCTTCAAGATGGCAAAGGTGGCATCAACTCAACGAGTGCTAGAAGCAAAGGTTTGTAACATTTGTGTTTATTTAAGACAGGTTAAAAGAATCGGGCCAGAAATGTGCTGCCTTCATACAGAAGTGAGCTGTTCAGTTCTCTTCCTCACTAGTTTTCCTGTCAGTGGCAGTGTTAGTGGTGTTGTTCACTGAGTTAGAGTATGCCGACAGTGAGAAACTTAGAAAATTTTAAGAAAGCTAGAAAACATTGAGAAACATAGACTATTGAATGTTAAATTAAGAATTAACATCACAGCCATCGGGTCACTCCCATAGGTGTTTAGTCCCCATCTTCAGCAGCAAACAAAGACTTCCTATTCCAACGACACCAGTAACTGCCTCGGCCAGATCCGCTGGTAACTCCCCGCAACACCATTCTCCTCAGACCGTTATGATCTATTTGCACTTCTGCACTAATCAATCGCTCTCAGAGGGCCATCACAACATCTAGCTTGCCATACATCATTTCACCACCAGGAGGCAGTCTATCAGCCTGCTCATTTCTAAACACACCAGCTGAGAAACCTAGAAGATCATGTGGGAGCTAGGAGACAGAAGTCATTTTTAAAATGATAAAGTTGCCTTCATTAGCAAATAAACAGTGTTTTTCATACTGAAGGGAAAAAAAGCTAACTTGTTTGATAATGGGGACTACCTTTTATTAAACTTAGATCACCTTGTGGCTTCTAGAACCCAGTTTTGATGGAAATAAAAAGAAGACTCAAACACCTTAACAAGTATGTCATAAAAGGCGATTAATGAAGAGTTGACTTAAATCTAATTAGGCTTGGCCGAAAGGCATAGATATAGCAGTCTCTTTAAACCACAGCCTGTACAACTCTATTTTAAGAGTGAATACAGAAGCAGACGATTTCTATCTTCAGAAATCTAAAGTTCCTGAAATCTGTACTTTGAATTAAAAGAATATACAAAATAATAAATTAGTCATTTCTTTTTAATGCTGTAGCTAGTCAGTTGGAGACTAGATTTAAATTTCACCAATGTACTTAGTTTAAAAATGTTTCTGTTATATCACTTTTTTTTTTCAAACAGGGAACAACTATTCGTAAGGCACTTTTGGCAGCCATCCTGATAACACTTCTTTTCCTTACTCGTGCTGTGTATAACCTGATTTCAATGTGCCCTCCTTTGAAAGGAACGCCAAACTTTAGTTTTGACTGGGTGAATATCAGTGATAAGGTATGTGGTTGTTTTCAGATGTTTATCACATTTTTTTTGTGTTCACTAAAAGTGTTGTCAAGATGATAAAAACAAAATGGTTGTTTTAAATGTGACTTTCCAGTGGTCACAGAATGTTCCAGTATTCTGGCTTCTCTTAAACATGGCCACAAAATTAATACTGTCTCCTTCTGTTTTGCAAACTACTAGTTGTAAATCCAATTGATGACTAATCTTTCCTGGCCAGTTCTGAATAGTTGATGGAGTACCAGACCATATATGGGGGCCGGAAAAAACCCTTTACTGGATGCGCATGTTAAAAATTACTCAGCAGTTGGAAATCATTATGTAAAAGCCCTAAAAAAGTGGAGTTTGTTAAAGTGGTGTAGAGAGCCCGAACTGGGTAGAAAGCCTGAACTGGTGTGTAAGAACTTCACAATAAGCAGTTAAGCAGGTAACACCTACAAATATTTTTAAAATGCTAATAATACCAACAAAGAAACAAATTATGTTATCTTTTGAGAAACAAGTTCGCTTTCACTGGCTGTAAACTCTAGAGGAAAGTCCTTGTTGTCTGAACATTACTGGACTGTGGTCTTATTCCAGGACCTGAGTGCTGTGTGTACATTTTATTGGATCTTGCTTATTTATGTGCAGGCTGTTGGTTCCTTGCTGCAGGCAGATGCACTCTAACTTTAAAAGAAACACTGCTCCTCTCTACGCAGGCCAGGCTCTGGTTTGGAACCTTGTACTATGATTATTGCAGAGCGGTGTAGATAGGTCATGGTGCACTGCTGCCTGTTCAACATCCCAAGAGACAAGTAAAGAGGGACAGCTTATTTGAAGCATTAGTGTTGTCACGACCCATGCACTGAAAAACAATGATCGATCACTTCTATCATGCTTGCTTTTTGCTTTAGGCTGTTGGTGTTCAAATCTCTGGCATTGCTGAGAGACACGAGACAGCATAGTGACCATAATCATGAAACTATGTGATGATGAATGTGCATTTTTTTGTTTAACAGCAGAGAACAGCTGAGATTCTGATCCTGAAGTGTTAGGAAATGAGGCAAGATCATCCTCCCTCCCTCATGGGTCATTTTCCATGCTGGATTGCCTTGACAATAAACTGCTGTTGGTATCTGAATCATAATCTTAAACCAGATGACACAGAAGCCTGTTGTTTTTCAGCCTGGTGCTGGTTATCAGTTACAAAAGACCATTATTTTATCATCAGAGGATAAAATCAACATAGCAAATTAGTTATGCCAACTAGCTCATGAACACTGTTAAAAAGGATACTGTCTTCAAGGTCTGACTTCTGTTCATGCAGAATTGGGACATATATATATTCCCATTACTGTTGTATTTGACTGCTAAATTTGTTCATTACCAGTTTCACTTGAGATTTGTCACATTATTGTGTAGGCATCAAATATGTATTGTGCAACATTCATTGCATACACTACTCATTGCATCATATTCTAGATAACTGCAGTGTAGTAAAATCAAACGCACACATCTGCAGTGCATCAGTTTGTTTTCTTAATCTAGGTTAGTGTGTAGAGGTCAGAATTGGATTGGAGAAAAGTTTGTACGTTGAGGTACCACTGTATATGCATTTGCAGAATCAGTTTTTGTTTTACAAAGTGACTTATTTTACATTGAACATTTCTTTTGTTATTTCAGGCTGACGTTGTTGTCAGGTTGCCAGAAAGCATAGGCTATGTGTCATTTGGTGTGGTGCTGTTCGTGTGGGAGGTCCTACCCATTTCTGTTGTTGTGCTTTTCTTTCGAGTGAAGCGACTTAGTACAGGCCAGGTATGTTTTCAGAGTGGCCAGAATTAGTGAGGACGATTGTTATTAAAACTCTTCTCAGTCAGCTTCCTCACACAAAAGCAGCAGGCCTTTAATTTAGATATGTTTTAACATAACAGACTCGGCAACCATTTGTATAGAAATTTCAAGATTAGCGACTCGCATGGACAGGCAGGCCAGAATACCAAACATGTGCTGCAGACATGTTCAGCGCAGCTTTACACTATTAGTTTTGTATGTTTTATTGTTTTGTATCACAACTTATCAAACTTTTTTAAATGCCTAAATCAAGAAATAACAGATCATTGAAGAAGCCAAAAAAAATGACTTACGTGTAGTATTGTGTGTCAGGAGCGAACTAACTTTGACCACTCAATCAGTACAATTGTACAGCGAAGTTCATACTAGTGACAACATTGCAGATATAGATAATCTATTTCAAGCGAACGAAAGAAGTAAACAATGGTTTAGAAAAAAACAACAGTAATAGAAAGCATGGTTCTTTGAAGTGAAAGCAGTGAACACAAGATATTATAGACACTCTGTGCGTGTCAATGTGAACACATGAGACGGGAACTGGTAAAGAATTATATGTCATTCAAACGAGCTTTGTTAAAATTGTGCATTTAGTATCAAAATAATTATAATTGCGTCTACTTGTTCTATTGCAGTTATTAACAAATTTCTCCACACAAATCAGTGGGCCACGGGTGTTTTTCTTTGATAATCCTCGACGTTATGACAGCGATGATGATCTGATCTCCCCGCCTAGTTCCAGCAAGTAAGTCGCTCTTTGGTTTCTGAAAATGTAAGGCGCATTGAGTCATTTGACAACAACTGTCTTATTTTAATACCAGAGTATCTGCCTGATAAGTTTTTGTTGATGAGGATGACTTAATCCATTCAGTTTAAATTGTTTTCTAAAAGTTTATGTTCTGTCTCATATTTTCTGTTTAACTTTTTTTTTTTAGTTATTAATTTTCAGATCTGAAGAACAGAATAAGACAGGCAAAAATTGTATGATATTTAGATGTCTTTGGACGTTTTTGAATGAAAAGAATTTCATGTTACAGAGAAATATTTTCAAACATGTTTGTGAATACTGGACACTGAGTGGAGAAGCCACAAAACACTTATATAATAAAATGGGCTTTCAAAACTGAGAAAACTGGCATGCCATATGAGTTGTACACTGAACTAACAAATCTACATTGTTTTTAATTAAGCTATTTGACCATCATTACTTTTTGTGGGATCTGCTAGTGTTTGAGAGAGCATATATTAAGATAGCAGCAACAAGAAACTGAAGAGTGCTTCTGTGTGCCAGTAAATTAGTGACAGTTTCATTTTGTATAAAATTGTGCTCTATATCTTATGATCACTTCCCATCATCACATGGGTGCTGGTTCCCCATTTGACGGGGGGGGGGGGGGGAATAGAGCCACTGTCCCCTTTACAATCAAAAAGCATAAAAAGCCTCTAACTAAGGGTACTTCCTTCAAAGTCGGAGTGCATCTGCCCGAGAGGTGAGGAACCGTCTGCATACAAATAAGCCAGATTTTAAAAACAGATGTGAGTGCAAAGCTCAAGTTCTAGAACAAGACTAAAGTCCAGAAGTGAGTGAAAAACCAGAATTTTCTATTAGAGTTTACAGCTGGCAAATGTGAAGAAGAAGATCGTTTCCCATACGGAACTGCAAGATACCATTTAACCTTTAACCCCAGAGGTAATACTTGTTGCAGCTATTGCAGGTGTCCTAATTATAACATTTTAGGTTATTAAATGGGGTATTGCTATTGGACTTGCTCCGTTGGCCTGCCATAAAAAAATTACATTTTTGAAGTCACTGGCCGGATTGGTTAGACTTTCATGTAGCAGCCATGAAGGGGGAGACTTTTGATGGACTCTCGCAATTACTTAACACTGTAATTGGAGGATACAGGATTGGCAAGCCAAATTCACTAATTTGCAATTCAAATTCACTCTTCTGCAAATCAGCTGGCGAATCTTGCATGAATGTTGCAATAATTCAACTAATTAGATATGTATTTTTTTTTATTAGTAAATATATTCTAAGTATCATATTTGAACTCAGTAATTACCTACCTTGTTTCAGCATGGATACCACAGGTTCACATTCCTACAGTAGTGACAGTTTCCTTGCCCAGAGCGCTGGACGAACACCAGTCAACAGCTCTTTAAGGACTATCATGGGTGCTTCCCCTTTATTGAAGAGCTATCCCAGAGCAACCTTAAGCTTACCAGGCACCAGTCCACTTCTGGGTTTCAAAAGAGGCAGCAGTTATGGCGCAGTGGCTGGAGAAGGGTATATTCACACAGGGTCAAGATCTGCTTATGGCGCTAACAGCAAGTGATCATGACATCTTTGTGATCTTTTGTAGTTTACTACTTATTTACATTTGAAAATGAAATAAGATGTATGCTTACCAAAGAGTACTCTATGAATGCTCTAAATTCCTTTTCTATACAGCATTAACTATTTTCATTTAATTCAAAATATCATTAACTCTTAAAGGCTGGGGTACCTCCTTTTGGAATAGTATAAAAATGTTCATGGTGATATGTAGTGGGCAACCGTCAGTCCCTAGGGACCATAGAGTTTTCCTGCTGTTTTGGGAAGATTTTCTGCTACGACTGTCCACATAAAAACGGTAATACTCTATTATACTGACGCTGGTTTTGTTACCGATGTCTCCTCTCTATAGTTTGCTACTTTTGGCTTCTTGTAAACTCTTGACAGTCCATCTTTCACTGTCTGCCTCCATAGGATTAAATTGGTTTTGGTTGACAAGCTATCACAAGTGCTGCAAACTCCTGCCCTATTTTTAATCATCGTGGGATGATCATAGCACTTGTAACCTCAACATAATTTTAAAACAATTGGGATTCTTCTTCTTCTTCTTCTGCCTTTCTATCCCCCAATGGAGCATAGGCCCTCAACTAACTCACGCCAAGTCGTTCTATCCTTCGCCATTGCATGGAGCTCTCCCCCTGTCCTCCCCATCTTTCTAACCTCATTCTCCAGCTCTCTTCTCCGTGTGTTTTTTAGCCTTCCTTTATTCCTATGCCCCTGTGGGTTCTAATGCAAAGACATTCTAGTTATGCTGTTCTCCTGTTTTTGCTACTTCAATTGTTCTATCATAGAGAGTTCTAACATTCCAGGTGCCAATTCTGGAGGTTTTCCTAGCTGAGAGGAGGTACGTCAACGATCCGGAGGCCTTACGGCTTTCTCCACACTGTTTCATACTTCTTCTATTTGAAGAGCCTCCCCTTATTTTGGTTGGCTGGATTTTACTTGCTTCTCTTTTTGACTTATCCATGGTTGGTTGGTTTTTGTGGCTATGGTTTTTACAGGATGAGGTAGCCAACCTCAAGCCCAACCCTACCCTTAGTCAACTCTTACGACATGCCTGGTAGGGATCAGTGTCACTATTCTTTGCTTCCTGTGAGGGCCGCGGTGACACACGGGCGACAATTGGGATAATTAACCCTTTTTCATTAACTGTTAGTAAAAACTCAGTAGAAAGAAAACTTGCACCAAGCCCTCACACTCTTTAAGAGTTAATTTTATATTTGCATTTAAAAGGATAATTGTATTGCCTGAATGTGTTTGTTAATGTACTTACAGTATTCTTGCATGAGCAAGATAATTACGAAATTATTTTAGATTTTTGTTTGAAATGTTTTTAAAATTAAATATTTTCTGTAGTAAATCAAGATTGTACTAAAGCTGCTTTATTTGAGATGGGGAGAATGAAGTTGTCTACACCTAAACTGATTAAACCTATTTAATTAAGTCAGCATTCCAAAGTCTGTTAATTGAAGAAAATTTTTGTTGCATCACAAGTTGTTTGATCTTGGAAAACTGATTGATGATGACTTGGTTTTCCTCCAGTGGATAAATAACACACACATTCTTACAATACTAGTTTTTCCTTGTGGGTGTGCAAAATGTGTTAACCACATCTTCAAGGCGAATTTCTAAAGCTCTTGGAATCTAGTGTGCAAACCTAATTTGTGCAATAAGCTTTGTCACAGTAAAGATTATGATTACTACTATCTTCATTAGCCAGACTAGTGTTTGTTTTCACAAGTTCCTGTTGGAAAATAGAATGATGCCTTGATCACTGTCACCCAGATCTGCTGCATCAACATCTTTGTATCCTGTTTCATCATTGTGCAGCATCCTCTTTGTGGAATGTCCTTTCCATCACTGCCTTTTGGAAAGACTCTTGGTCTCTTGCCAGGTACAAAGAGAAATCTGTTAGCAGAAGCATGTTTAAAAGAATAATGCGTTACTGTCCTTCTACAAGATGTGACTAATGTGTGGTAATATTTTAAATAAAAGTTTGAAAATTGAAACTAGTTAGTATGTGTTCCCATACTGAGTTACACATAAATCATGAAAGCCTACCAGTTTTGTCAGTCGTCACCAAGTCCACGTAACACGTCGGAAACACACTGTCTGTCTATTGTAAATAAAATTCATACTGGAGGGAGAAAAAAGCCAAAATGGCAATCAAGAGGTAGTTTGAAAAGTAATGTCAAAAGATTGGCAAACAATGGTCTGCTGGATTGTCCAAGCAGACTAAGCAACAGAAACATCTTTGAGATCTGCTGCAGCCAACTTTCATTTTACAGATGGCACTGCCGATTGGTGGTTTTCTCTCAACCCCCGAAAGTGGTGGGAGAGAAAAAGAAAATAAGAGTTTTTTGTTTTCTGAGATCATATGTTACATTCCAGTTTTGCACATTCCAGTTTTTTAGGTATCTGTGCATTCCTGTCACCACTCTACTTTAAGAAACTTTTCTTACCATTGTCACATGAAGTGATTATGCCCTACAATATGTCCCACGAAATGATTATTCCCTACAGTATGTCCCGTAAAGTGATTATTTCCAACAGTTTGTCCCATAAATTGATTATTCCCTACAATATGTCCCATGAAGTGATTATTCCCCACAGTAATTTCCATGAAGTGATTATTTCCAATATCACATGAGACAGTACAGTCTTCAACATTACTTAGATTTGATTTCCACTGCAGGCATTTTTTTAAAACCATTTTCAGACAGTTGGAGCTACCATTGTGTAGCGGCAACATGGTGCATCCAAAGGTCGTAGGTTTCAAAAATGACCTTGGCTACCAGGTAAAGTCCTGGGAATTAAGGTGGCCGGCCTGTGACCACATCACCCACCGAGTTCTGATTGGTCTATAAAATATAGGTCTAGCCCTGTATGCCCAATACGCTTGTAGGTGTAAAATATGGTCCTTTAATGTTACTTTTTAGACAATGGTGCGTGAGTCGCACTGTGGAAGAGATGGGAGCCTTACCATGTCTTCTTTTTCTTTACATCCTCTTTTACTGCTTCGGGTGTCAAGGGAGATTTAAAGTCCTGCTTTGTGTTCTTCTGAATGCTTTGACCATAGAGTTTCTCTGATGTTTTCTTCCCATCTTGTTCTTAGTCTACCTCTTGATCTACATCCCTCTCCTCTTTTAGTATATGCCTTGTATGGTATAGCATTAGAAGGCGTGCTCTTCAGATAGGCAAACCATTTGATTTGCTGTCTTTGTATGTAATTTAGAATTGGTTCTGTGTCGACTTTATCTTGTATGACCTCACTCCTGATTTTATCTCTTCTGGTCACTCCTAGTCTTCTCAGGCATCTCATGCCTCACCATGTAATATTCCTAAAGGCAGCTTCAGGATACACAGCATCCGACCTCCATTGTGGAGAAGGCACACAATTTTTATGTCAAACGAGATGACATGTTCTTTACCATATGTCATTCACATGCAATAAATATTTTTTATCGTTAACTCATTCAGTCCCAGGTGTTTAGCATCAGAGACACAAGGGGAGTTAAAGACAAATGTAAATAACATAACTTGCATAGATAGAAACAGGTTATGATGGGATCCTTGGGACTGAAAGAGTTAAAGTCTCTTTTTACCACATAGTTGTCTGTGATATTTCTAATGAGAACATTGTTTCGTGACTCAACGTGAGCAGTGTGTCAGCTCTCTACCTATTTTTTATGAACAATTTTGATTTTAAAAATTACATTTTGTCATTTGCTGGTCTCATTTCATGTGAATATCTTACTTCAGTCATGGTATACATAACAGTGTACATAACAGTGCATGATACTTAAAAATGGTGTATGTGTTTATGCATACAAGTTGCTCTGAATCCTTCTCGTGACCGTTGCTGCCAGGATGATCCAGCCTACAAGGGAAATGTCCTGGACAGTAAAGGGGGTCAGCATGATGACTACTTAACTGATAAAGTGGCAACTGGTCTCTAAAAGTGAGCCTAGCACAATGTACCACAGACATGTAAATTATCTTTTGCTTAACTTACTTCTCCCACAATGTTGCCTCACATTTTCCGTATATGAATAAAACTAGCAATAGCTCTAATATGAGCCAAAATTACATGGTTTTTGTTGCCTCTATTGTCTTTTGTTCTTATTAGTTTATTTTTTTTGTCTTTGTTATGTGTATTTGTGATGACATTTTGTCTATTACTATTTCCTTATCAACGACCTTAGCTCTCAGGTGGGCCCAGACTTAATTGGGTTTCATGTAAAATCTTGGGAAGTGGAGATGGTTGGCGAGATGTTGACCACATCGCCCAATGAATGCCTATTGGTCTATAAAAGTCTAGCCTAATATGCCTGCAGGAGTGGAAAGGGATCCTTTACTTTTCTTACTTTTATTACTTCCTTAACATTCTGCCTCTGATTTGGCTAAAACAATAGTTAGTGGCAGGCCCATTTGTAGGATGTATGACACCAATGTGCAGTCATTTACTTTATACAACTACCTTAGAATTTTACAGAATATCAATATCTTTGTTGCTTTTATCATTTGCAAGTTTCATCTTGTACTGCGCATCATTAGGGCCCCATTTGCACATTTGTTTTATCTACTGTGTATTCAGTTAACTCTTTTAGGACGGCATTTTTTCTGGGGTTTGGACAGCATTAATTTTAAGCGGAATTTAGTACAACACGACAAAGCTAAAACCTTCCTGAAGAAAAAGTATGAGCTGTATCGGGACTTATAATTTATCAAAATAAAGATAAATGAGTGTAGAATAAATCTAAACTACTTAAATGTCAGTATAACATCAAAATATTATTAAAATCACACAACATTTAAGGATTTTTGACACAAAAAATTGTGTGCTAACCTTATTCTTTACTGGTTCAACAACACTGCTAGCCAATTCTAAGAATACACATGCCTTCTCTGTTCAATTATGTATTAGATAGTCTTTATTTGAAACAAATAATTTAAATACTTTGGGTATTATAATCATTTTTGTATGACATGTCAATTTTCACAACAACCGAAAATCGGAAAAACAGCTGATCGAAACATTGATCTAATTGAGAAATTTTGTAAAATTTTCATATCCTAAACTCAATTATCGCTAGTAGATTTGTCCCTTAGATATCAATCATAATATCAAGACTGTTGTCAGCATCTGGCAGGGATTCAACAACGATAGAGCAGTATGGACAGTTCTAGACCTTTTCCCTTATTATTAGTATAGAAAAATCACGTAAAAATTGTATCCCATCTAAATAATTTTTTTTTTTAAATCAGAAAATAATGCACTGACCACGATAAACATTGCAAATGAAAGTACATCCTGTTATTAATCCTAATTGTTAAAAAACTTGTTTTTACGTCTAAGGGATAGACTTAATCGCCAGTATACTTGCTAAACGTCCGTAAAGTAAAAAAAAAAAAAAAAAGTGAAGTTCCCTTTTCATGCCTTTCGGCGCATCGGGCATATGGGCAGAGCGTCCCATATTTTTACAGACCATCAGCACTCTGTGGGTAATGTGGTCAGCATTACGCCGGCTGTCTTTACTTTCCCAGGACAGCCCATCCTGGTACCCATTTTAGGCTGGGTCGACCTGCGACGTCCCATACCACGACAAAAATCCACGCAGCCTGCAGTGGGTTTCGATCGCGGTATGCTGGCTTACGAGTCGGACTCGCAACGCCTTAGCCACGGACGCCGCAAACGTCCGTAAAGAGTTAAGTTTAAATATTTTTTAACTGACATAAATAATTACACAACTTTATTGTTGGTAGTCTGTACATGAAGAGAGATTCTGAAGTTTAGCCAATAGAAACAGGGCATAAACTCGATGCCTGTGATGAGGGGCTTCATGCATACTAAATACGGTCCTAACTTCAACACATATCAAATGGACAGGAAAGAAGATGTCACAGCACACTGTATAATGTTCATAATTATTTGTTACTTAGGATTTAGGAATTTAAAATATCAACGTCTAATTATAAAGATCAGATATTCATTTTACGGCAAATAGCAGAACAAAATTTGAAATGTGAAAGAGATTTACATAATGATTTTGTGAATTTTAAAAAAAAGTATGATAATGTACATAAAAACAGTTTATGGAGTGCTATGAAGGACTTTGGAATACCAAAGAAGTTAATTACCATGACCAAACTATGTATGGAAGACACTAGTAATATGGTATTATGTAAAGGCAGAAAGTCAGAACCTTTTCAAATAACATCTGGTTTAAAGCAAGGTGATGCTTTGTCCCCACTTCCTTTCAACTTGGCCCTAGAGAAAATTATAAGGAAATTGAAACAAGAGTGTACTATAGGGGAAACTAGAAGAATACTTGGATATGCTGATGACATTGATATCGTTAGAGAAAATGAACTAGAGACTGTAAAAACACTGACTCTCTTAAAAGAAGCAGTTCACAAAATGGGACTAGTTATCAATCAAGATAAGAGAGAATACATGATAATAACAAGACAGGGAAAGGATATAAACTCTAGCCACATACAAGTCGATAATACGAAAATCAAATGAACGGAAACATATAAGTAATTGGCTGCAAACTTCAACTGCTCCAACATGCTGAGAGAAGAAATGCAATCTGGAAATAAAGTATACTATGCCTTTCAACATCTGCTAAAGTCAAAGTCTCTATCTCGCAAAACCAAACATTGATAAGACAGTTGGTTCCTTGCCTCACAGGCAGATGCACTCTGACTTCAAAGGAAACATCCATAATTTGATGACTTTGACTGCGTTTGTTGGGGGCTGTGAGTTTTTTCTTTTTCCCTCCCAGAACCCGCACAGTGAAAATAGTTGTGTAAAATGTCTTGTGCTGAAGTAAATGGTGACCACTAATTTGAAGTCGAAATGCATCTGGCTAAGAAGTAAGGAGTCAACAATCTACCTACAAATAAGCCAGATCTGAAAAACAGATGTGTTCCCAAAAGTTCTGGAACAAGACAAAAGCTCAGAAGTGAACAAATAACCAGAACTTTCTGCCAGAGTTTACAGCAGCAAACGCTTAGAAGAAGATATGAATTGTTATAAATACAGACAACATAAGAATACAGATGAAGGCTTGGAAGAAATGAACATTATGCAATACAAAATAATTTAACCAGTAACAAAACAAAACTAGAAACAGTATATAAATACATTCAATGAGAACAGATCACTGTATGTTTGTGTCACATGTTTTACACATTTAAAGGGGAACTAACCCAATCAGAAAATATCTTTGGTTTGAAATGATTATATGAAATATACCTACAGGGAATGTATTAGTGTGCACATCTGCGATGCCAGATATGTCGACATTTGATTATAAAAGTAAAAGGACACTTTTCCACGCCTTTAGGAATCTCAAGGCATATTGGGCATATAGGGCTAGACCTATATTTATAGACCAATTGGCATTTGGTGGCTGATGTGGTTAGCATCATACTGACTGCCTTTGCTTCTCAAGACTGCACCTGGTGTCCATTCAAGGCTGTGTCGACCAGTGATTCAAGGTAATTTTTGAACAAAGTCCAGCTCTGATTATGGTCCACACAATAATCAAAGAGATCTGGCAACACTAAAGGTGCATCACTGTACAGTTCATATAGGAATCTGGATAAAAATATCTGAGATATTGGCAAAACAAACAATAAGCAATTGTTAAATACAAAAAGCTACCATGAACACAAACAATGACTAGGAAAATAGCAAATAAATGTAATTATATACCTGGAATAATATTAAATGTAGCAACAACAGTTTAAAAGGAGAAATGCACATGGGGCTGGTTAGCTTAGGTAAGTGGGGGGGGGGGGGGGGGGCCATCTGATCACAGTTATTTTACAACCTGCTTTCTACCCAGTCTCTCCCACTCTCTCATCACTTGTACTGCACACAGACATCCTTATAAGTACTCCAGTCTCTTCCTGAGGAATATCCAGTACAGTGCACACACTGTGTAACACTGGAGGCACATAATGTAACACTGAAGACATACACTGTAACACTGGAAACACACACTGTAACACTGGAGACACACAATGTAACACTGAAGACACACAATGTAACACAGGAGAGACACACTGTAACACTGGAGACACACACTCTAACACTGGAGACACACAATGTAACACTGGAGACACACTGTAACACTGGAGACACACACTGTAACACTGGAGATACAATCTGAGATGCTGACATTCTGGAGTTAGTCTTTTGTTCACATTTTCTAATGCCCACTGGTACACAAGGAATTATATTTTAAAAGTACATCTTGTATTCTTCACATTGGAAATTCATGAGTCTTCAGGTCAGTAAAGGTTAAATGCCAAGGCTTTCTGGCTCATTGCTAAGTGAACAAAGTGACCAGGAAATGCACTGTTTATAATTATATAACAATGTCAAGCAATTTTGATGGGCTGTCCAGACAACTTGCGAAATGTCTCAATGGCGTAAATACTGCTAGATAACCTGTGTGAAAAATAACAAAAGTTTGTGAATGAATCTCTTCAATAAACTAATCAGTAGTAATACTTCTTTTTCTTTTTATGTTCACCAGCTGTAAACTGCGGTGGAATGATCTGGTTGTTTGTCCACATCTGGGCGAGTTCCAGAACTCGAGTTTTGTGTGCACATCTATTTTACAGATCTGGCTTATTTGTGTGCAGACTGTTGGTTCCTCACCTCTCAGGCATATGCATTTCAAGTCTGAAGGAAACGCCGTTACATGCTTGTTGTGGGGGGGAGAGATCTATTCTTTTTCCCCCAAAATCCAAACAAACAGGGAAGTAGTAATGCACAATTATTATGGCTGGAAAAAAAAAACTGATCTGTATGTAAGATCACCTATAAAATAACCAAGATCGTCTATAAAGTACCAATAGTAATAAAAGATTGTTTATTTGAAGACCATCTTCACTGCATGTTGGGCATACCTATATGTGCTCAGATCTTCTAAGTATCATCAGATCTTCTCCTAAGTATGGGGGTGGGGGGGGGGGAGGGGTTTGATGCAAAATGATGACTAAATAAGTCTTGTTTTCACGATGGTTGAACATTTCATCTCGAAATACAAAGTTTGCTGGCACACTTTTCGCTGTATTCATTGCTAATGACATGATGTGATCAACTGTGTGTGTAATCTCTTCAGGATCCATGACAATGGAATGAAGTTACATACATTATGCGGCGTCCTTGGCTAAGGCGTTGCGAGTCTGACTCGTAATATGTTTCTGAGTAATGTTTGTGTTTACATCTCGCAATAAACAATTATTAAGAGCTAACAATACAACAATTCTGTGCAATTTTTTTTTTTAGCATTCACCAGCTGTAAACTCTGGCAGCATTATATGGTGGTTCATCCACTTCTGTACTTTAGTCTTGTTCTAGAACTTTTGCATGCACATCCATTAATGGATCTGGTTTATTTGTATGCAGATCGTTAGTTCCTAACCTGTGAGGTGCATGTGTTTACCTAATGGACTTAACATCTAACACAATTTTATATAATGTCTTGGAGTTATAGCCCTTGTCTCTCATGTTTTTTCCATCTAGTCAGTATTTATTCACGGGGGCCATACACATGTCTAGTGGCCAGGCAAAACTTTCTATCGGATATCGTCAATTAAGTGATTTTTATGTATTCTTGTTTGTAAGTAAAATAAAAGTAAAGGACCTTTTTCCTCGCTTTCAGATGTATTGGGCATATAAGGCTAGACCTATATTTTATAGACCAAACGGCGCGTTGTGGGTCATATGGTCAGCATCACACTGGCCGCCTTTACTTCCCAGGACTCCACCTGGTACCTACTCAAGGCTTGGAGCCAAGGTCAATTTTTTAAAAAGCCAGGTTCTGTCAGGACCTGAACCCAGGACCTTCCAATCTGCAGACGAGCGTCTAGCCAGTACACCACGGTGACTGTCAATTCTTGTTTGTACTTGTTGTACAGTAGATTTATGTACGTGCTGATGAAGGCTCACTAGCCGCAACTTTCACTTGACAGCTGTGATTTGTGATTCTGTATAGCTGACCGGTTGTACTCTTAGTTAGGTCTGATATTTTTTCATGATATTGCTGAAGATAACACTGCTGAGACAAACCATTTCTTCAGCATTCTGAGACCTTGAGGCTTTTTGCTGCAGATTTTACCTGCCTCCATACATCTCTGTGACTGGCCTTCTCTTTCTGGTTTGTGACCCCCAACTGTTTGTAGGTATACTTGGATGTTAACTCTCCACCATCTTCTAGATGAGGTAGGTACCTCATGGTCTATGACTGTTCAGCTAGCCTGTGTAGAAAGTTGTTTGTTTTTTTTCGCCATTCTGTTACCTGTCATTTTTTCTGTATGTCCCAGCCATTTCCCTCTATGAGTGATAATGATGACCATGATGATTTAAACAGATTATAAATTTGATTGCTTTAAAAATCAAAAATAAGTCACACAACCAATAAATACTGGGTTTGTTTTGCAAAGTCATGTAAAGGAGATACGGCGACTAACTTTTTCTTTTTTTTTCCAAAATACCAAATAAAGTACTATTTTGAAGCATTTAATAATTTACCATAATTTGTTTGCCTATTTCTGTAGTTTAATTACCAGTTGGAAAGCAACATTATAAAGCCTACCTGCCAAAAGCATTGAACAATGCCACTATCTCTGTCCTTGTCAACTGAAATTCTGATGTACTGATATCTTCAGAGAAGAGAATTTTCAGGGCTGTGCCCATGCCAAGTATCTGAGAATATTTTAAAAATAAACAAAGACAACTCATTTGATTTCAGAATGTAAACAAAATAAGCTTTGTCTTTAGCTAACTATTATTGTTTTTTTTTAAATACAAAGTAGTTGAATAAGCTCGGTATCAGGGTAGGGCATCCTCTGTCAAAGGAAAAGTAAGATGTTTCCTCCCCTCTAGCCTACAGGATACTCTTGGGGAAGGTGGAGTACCTGTTTATTCCCCCTATCAAGGTAATGTGAAACCATGGAAGCAGATGGGGACTGACCTAGAGAGCAGCTGACAGACAGTTGCTGATCTTGGTCTCAAGTTTTCCCCGATGGACGCAGAGAATCACCAGTATGGTCACTGCCAAGAACGAAGGCAATGGCAAACTAACTTCTTAAAGATGCCCAAAAAAGTCATAATTTCATCTTACAAATCTTAAGATAAATGGTGTGCATATATATGTGGTTTCTAAGAATAATGCAAAGAATATCTTGGAAGGACAGCAAAACAAGGAATGGACTCAAAAACTTGGTAACAACTGACAAGACCGATGGAAAGAGAGTAAAAGGAAAGCAAAGAGAAAATACCTGAAAAGCCAGGCCAGATGGATGGGTCAAGACAAAACAAAAAAACATTGAACTGATCAGTGATCATGTGAGATGGTGAAACAAAATGAGCAAAATGTAAGTAATGATACTTTTTTCTTCGTGTTCTCTGGCTGTAAACTCTGGCCGAAAATCCTGGTCGTTCATCCACTTATTCCAAACTTGAGTATTGTGTGCACATCCTTTTACAGATCTGGCTTATCTGTAAGCAAACTGGTGGTTCTACACTTCTCAGGCAGGTATACTCCGACTTTGAAGGAGACAACCCCTAATGGGTCAACTTGTTGGTGGCAGTGGGTCTATTGTTTCCAGAAAATGGGGTTCCAGAACCCAAATGTGGAATGCACTAATACAAGTAGGAAGATAATATGAGATGAATAAAAACTACAAGAATTGGTGATCAATAGTAGTCTAGTTTGACTATGGTGACAACACTTGACTTGTTATGATTCATTTTTAATTACTACTTGATGGAAAGACAAAGGCATACAATCAGACTGCTACTGGTACATGAAATTAGAACTTTGCACTGACTGCTGAAAATGGGGATGGAACGTTTATGGAAATGTCACAAATACTATGATGTCAACTCAGCTCAAACCAGCTTTCAAATTACTCAAGAATCCAAACAGCTATATATTACTAAATGCATGTTCATACAGATTCTTTTTCTCTTCTCAAACTCAATATCAGACAGACCAATACCACTCTTTGCTTTCATTGTGGATTAACGACCTGCAACTTGCCCAGTGGTCATCAGCTGTCACATTCAAATAAGCAGATCGTCAGTTAGTTACTCAACAGATTATCTTAATTGCACATCAAACAAATTCAGTACTTAAATGCTTAGTACATCCTCTGTATATTCACTTTAGTGCTGTCTTGATTTAATCTTCATTTTTTTTTTTTTTGCTTCTAGTAAAATGATCTTATTTAGCATCACTCTTTTGACTTGCATTTTTTTTTGTTTTGGTCTTTTAGGAGGGGGGGGGGGGGGGGGGGGGGCTTTATGGTCATCATATGATTCATATAGATGTCATACTTCTCAAAGAGCAATTAGTATTTCAGCCTGATCCACTGCTCACCACCAATGATGGCAACCTAATCAGCAAGCCTATCAACTTAATCACTGCCTCCTACACTTGCATGCCCTGGCAGATCACTACACACATCTATGCTTTCCCCATAGGAAAATTACCTGCAGCTTGCCCCAAAGTCGGCACTTGTCACACTCAACACAGTCCATGATGCGAGAAATGTTGTGGAAATGCTGCACAAACTCAGCCTAGAAAACAGTCAAACAAAACTTTGAAATATGTATCGAAATTATTACACTATTTGTATGGTTCGTCTTATTCAGTCACAATTATTTGGACAAATCAGCTTTCTCTTCTGCCTTTTGTAAAGTGTTGCATATTCAATCACAATTAGTTGAATAAATCTTCTGCTTCTACCTTTCATCTCTCAGAGAGATTTTCAGGCAATATAAAGATGGTGGACATATTTAAGGCTATGTTCTAAATACGAGATGAAGGAGTCAGAGACAATGAATCACCTGTTGGAAATTGGTATTAAACGAGGACAAGCGGGCAGAAACCACTTCCAGGGCAAAGAACGAAGATATGCCAAAAAACTCCTACTGGGTACGTTGAGCATGGAGTCACTGAGATGGCTGCTGAATCGGAGGACAGCATACGAATGGGTCAGATCAATGTGCAATGATGTCGATATAGTTAACAAATAAAAAGTAACAAGTAACTTTCAGGCAGTAATAAATGGCCCAGTAATTGTGGTGATTTCTTCAGTAAACATCATATGTCCCTTTCAAGTTGGTACATTGCATTACCTCTGTTGTCTATATATAATGTTGTTTTTTTCCAGATGTATTTTGCAGTAAATGATGGTCCTGCATGGAAAGAGGTAGCTGAATTGATGTTTGGATGAAACTGAACCATATATTTCATATTTACCATTTACTGACTTTCTGGTCATATGATGGATAGTCAAGTTTAATGTTTTTAGTCATAGCAAGTTTCTGTTTCTGACAATAGTTACCTGTTATATTGTCCTCCACATATAGACTGAAAGGATATTCTGTCACCCTGCTACTGAGCTGAGTGCATAACACAACACTGTGAGCTTTAGATTTTAATTGGAATGTTTTTTTTACTGTACCCAGTGTGATTTGTGTTGCAACCTGCAGATTCAGAAAATGGCAAAAGGCCTGTTGCCAGAAAAATTGTGGTGCCATATGCGATTAACTGCATGTGCAACTACTGATCTGTTGTAACTGCTGCTTTCATCAATGATGAACTGCATTATTATCGTTGGGCTGTTTGTGCTGGCACTTCTGACTGCTGCCTTATGCATTTAGTCTACGAGTTTGTTGTTGGATTTGTGATCATCATTTTTTTTTCACAAGGGCCATGATGGACATTCTGTGTGGTTTTCACTGGCACAGGAGCAGAACTGCTATGAAGTGACCCATCTGCTATAAAGTTGGAACTGTGACGACCTGATATTTTAAACTTATTTTTACTCCAACCCAGTGGCATAAGAGAATTATTCTCAATGAGCCAACTACAGTTTTTCAAAAACACTAATAATTTACCTTTAGCTGTTTCTTCTCCATAGTGTTGCCCTTGAAGAGTTCTTTCTCATTGTAATGATCAGGAAATGACCTGGGGATATATTTTTATGTCAATAATGCGAACTCTAGGAGGGGAAAAAAGGTGCTAGAAAGTGAGTATGCTCGGGTATCATGAACCCACCCCATTTGTTAAGGGGTAGAGTTTTAAAAAAAAAAGGGTACAAAACTCTTGCCACACCAAGAGTTCTTTCCCATAGTAATGATCAGGAAATGACCTGAGGATATATTTTCATGTCAATAATGCGAACGTTAGGAGGGAATAAGAGCTGCTAGAAAGTGGGTGCTCGGGTAACTTGACCCCATCTCTCCCTTCCACCCCATGTTTGAAGGGGTTGAGTAAAAAGTAAGACTTTTCCTGACAGAGGTACATCAGACATATGATGCTAGACTCTTATTTCCATAGACCAGTCGGCTCTTGACGGGTGGGTGGGTTAACATCATGCTAGCCACCTTTACTTCCCACTTCCCAGGACTTTACCTGCTACCCATTTAGGTTGGGTCAACCTGGAAGTCAAGATCTTTTGAAATAAAATATGACTCAATGCAGATAGGAACCCAAGACCTTCAGGCTGGCAAGCTACTATGTTACTGCATCTCCCTAAAGGGGAAAAGGTGGGAAGGGAGACTGAGCCTCCCATTAAAACATTTGCAAGGGGTCTAGGTGGTTCCCCTAACCATGTATAGATAATTTTCTTTGTTTGTGTACAAGTATTTGCCTTCTTTCATATTATTTCAAACACTATCTTTATTTGTCAAAAGGACTCAACAGCTTTTACATGTTGATGCCTAAGAAGAATACTTGGTGTGGCAAGGCCACCGGGAAGAGCAGTTATTACAACAGTTTTTACGGTGGTCAGTCTCCGAAGGCTCAGGCGGCTGGGTCACGCCTGGAGGATGGCAGAGTTCCTAAGGACATCCTCTATGGTAAACTACAGATGGGTAGAAGATTTTTAGATTGGCCCCTACTACAATATAACAATGAGTGGGACTTGAATGACACAGGTATTAAGGTAGATTCGTGGAAACAAAATGTTAAGGATGTGGAAAATCAGGAAGGGACTGGGAATAAAGGAAGAAATGATCACAGAAAGATCAAGAGCTGAGCATCTGAGAAGAAGCATACTAAATATATGTGATGGCAACAATGAGCCTGAAATCCTATGTTATAATTGTGGAAGACTTTTCTTAATTTTGGCATATCTTGCTAGTCACACTTGCCATCGCCATGGGCTGTGAGTCCTACACCTCCCCATAGCATAATATAATACTATTGTCTTGAAAAACAGAAAGGTGCCAATAATAACATATTTATTTGCCCTTCAGCATATATTAATAATAATTATTTTTGCACACTTAAACAAAACCTGAGCCCTTTAAGGCTCCCACCAATCACCCTGTAGAAAACAATAAGGTGTTGAGCCTCCTGTTTTCTGTTTTCAACAGCAAGGTGCACACGCCATTTTGAGGTGACAGTTTCAATTCCCGGCATGGTAACTATAGCTTTCAATTTTTAAGTTGTCTAGTGTTCAATTTTGTCTAGTGTGCCCTTGTATCTTTCTTCTTCCTTCTATGAGTGCTGATGAATACACTGTCTGTTTTCTATGTGTCGGCGCTCCTGGAGGAGACTACAGATGGCAATAAACAGAAAGGCCTGGCATGAACTGGTTGACAGCCTATCCTCCAGGGGGACAAAAGGCAGAAAAGAAGAAACTCCACTTTGAACAAAACTATATTCAAAACATACATATATACGCCATCTTCATCTCTATGTTTTTCTGTACTACACGGAGTATCAGATTACGAAATGTTTCTGGGCCAAGCCTCTGTGCGGCCAGTGTTGTTCCAGTACTTCTTGTTCGTGTTGACCACCGTTAACTCCAGTGGAAAGTTCTGTTTGTTCAACTACTTCTGTATTTTAATCTTCTTCCAGAACTTGAGTTTTGTGCGCACATCCATTTGATAAATCTAGTTTATTTGTACGTTAGTTCCTTGCCTCTGATGCAGATGTACCCTGACTTCGACGGAAATCTCCCTGTTAGTGGCCTTTTACAACATGCTTGTTAGGGGTCAGTGAGTCTATTTTATTGGTACGTTGGTTCCTTGCCTTTGATGCAGATGTACCCTGACTTCGACGGAAATGTCCCAGTTAGTGGTCTTTTACAACACGCTTGTTAGGGGTCAGTGGGTCGATTCTTTTCCCCTCAAAATGAGAGATCTGTGCATAAAGTGGTGTTTCTTGCTTTAATAATCAAGTTCTGTTGGGATCTGATCTGTTTCTTGCCCTCCTTCTTCTGTATCTAAACGTTGATATTCTCTGCAATATATATATTTTTTAAACTATTCTTCTTCTGCCCTTTCTCTTCAAACAGAATATAGGCCCAACTAAGTGAAGGAAAATGCTGAGCCTAAGAAGTTTCAAGGCTACATGGATCGAACACTCACCATAAATTATGCAGGTAATGATTTTTAATTTTTGTCTCTGAGATGTCCATGGCCTTAGAGAGCCTAGTGTTCCAACATTCCTAATATTTTTCTATATCCTACCTAATAACACTGAGAAGGTCGAGAATACCATCTTTAAGATCACCATCTTCAGACTGATCCCCAGTATAGAAATCTTCCTGTGAACAAAATGCACTGGAAATCAAGTTATAGTTAAATAGAATTCAAGTTTTATTCCAATACAATTCAATTTCCAGTTTTTAAAAAAAAGTAACGATCCCTTTTCACGCCTTTAGGCGAATCGGGTATATGGGAAGAGCACTCATATTTTTAGAGACCAATCGGCACTAGGTGGGTAATGTGGTCAGCATTACACAGGCCATCTTTACTTCCCCAGGACAGCCTATCCTGGTACCCATTTTAGACTGGGTTGACCTGCAACGCCCCATACCATGATAAAAATCCACACAATTTCCAGTAAACTACAATTCACATTCTAAAACTACCATACTTGTATGTTTAACTTTCAAATCAGAAATACAGTGATATATTGGCTAACCAGTGACCCAACTAACAAATGTTTTGGCTTACAGAGATATTTTGGCTCTGTTTCTTGGCCTTGAACTACCATACTTGTATGTTTAACTTTCAAATCAGAAATACAGTGATACCCTGGCTAACCAGTGACCCAACTAACAGATGTTTCGGCTAGCAGATATGTTTTAGCTTTGTTTCTCAGCCTTGGCTAACAAATATTTTAGTGGATGCACACCATAACATAATTCAGTCGCCTTGTGAGCTGAATTTTTGCACCAATCAGCTTCCATAGTGCCTCAAAAAAAAAATCTGCTCACACCAGTGTCAGTGATTTGAATTTTATTGAGAGAATAATTATAGTAATTAATTCTTTACTTGTATAATTTCTATGATAATGAACAAATTATCTTTGTTAGCTGAGGTATCATTGTAAACTGACAAAGCTAAGAAGAAAAAACACAGACATTTGTATCAAGTGCCAGTGCCTGTGACATGTTTTTTGTGAGTTCTGGAACAAACAATACTTGATCAAACATCTCCTTATTTGTGCAGACTTTCTTCTTTTTTCTTCTTTATTTCTTCTTTTCATCTCCCAGTGAAGCATAGGCTCTCAACCAACTGATACCAAGCATTTTGTAGAACTTTTTCTGACTGGTTGCTGAATAAGCTACAGGATGAGGTAGCCACTGCTACAGTATGAGGTAGCTACTGATACAGGATGATGTAGCCAGACTTGATTAACTTATTCAGTCCCAAACAGTTGTTGCTTTAACTCCTTCTACCCCACGGAGTTGAGCTTAAAAGCAATAAATACTTTTGTCTCAAGCAGTTGAAAGAAGACACAGTGAGAAAGAAATGGTTAAACTAATGATTCACATACAAGAGGTTAATAGAACATTTGTCTGTGGCAGAAGACAGCTGGGGCACTGTATTATCTTTTGGAACGACCAAGAAACGTATGATGCATAATTTTATTTTTTATAAAGTAAAGGACTCTCTTTCCACGCCCTCAGGTGTATTGGGCCTTTGGGCTAGACCTATATTTTATAGACCAATCGGCACTGGGTTAGCCCTCTCAGTGTCTTAGTTCAATATTTGCATCTGATCTTCTTAGCCATACGTGGAATCCATTAAAAACCACATCTTTATCAATTACTTCCACCTTTACAAAATGTTAATTAAAGCCTTACATTATAACTACAGAAGGTTATCAATTACTTTTACCTTTACATTCCCCCCCCCCAAAAAAAAATATGTTACTGGAAACATAAAACTATAATTTATGACTTCCACTAACTGATCAGTGTATGAAAAAAATACAAACCTGGCTGAGATAGGGAACTGCTTTATCCAAGGCCCTTAGCTCAATTAGGTAAGCAAAATACAGGTTTTTCAATCTTTCAGGTCCTTGCCCATTGGTCAGCTCTGGATCAAATCTTGTTAGGAATTCGTTTAAGTTGTGGTCCCATGAACTGGCACCAATTCCAGCTTTAGCTGTTGACAAAATTTCAGTATATGAATAATTTTTTTACAAACCCAGCCACACCTGTCTTACAGCTTACTTCATAACCATTTTGTGGTGCCCTAATATAAATGAAGGTGAACCTTTAAGGCTGAACTCAAAGCTACGCGAAGGACAAAACTGGAGATAGTGAAGATGGCTCAGGTTTGAACTGAGTGACGACAATTTGTTTCTGCCTTATATGCCTCTCGGCGCAATGAGGACTGATTACAGACAGATGATGAAAAAGAGTAATGAAGACATCTTAAAAGAAACTGACTCACCAAGAGAACTGACTGCCCACATCAGAAAGAGACAATCTACATTCTTTGGTCATGTGATCAGAAGGAGAAAACTGGAGTATATTGTGACAGTAGGAAATTTGGAGGGGAGGAGAGGCAGAGGGAGACTGAGAGAAAAGATGCTGGACAGTCTAACATCATAGCCTAGAGGATCATCTGTGTCAGAGTTTACTGAAAGTACACAAGACAGAAGGTTGTGGATAGACATGACTACCAACGCCACATGGCACGAACTTTAAGAAGAAGAAAATGGTCCATATGGTTGAACAGGGTTTCTGTAATCTGTACTTTTGTCTGAATCTTACCCTTGATATGTTAATATATAGACTGTAAGTCTGAAGAAGAAAAAAAAAATTCTTTAAAAAAAAATATGTAAAAACAAGCATATTATTTTTTATAAATGCTGGTGTATAGTTTACGATTACAAATAAAACTCCCTTTGTAGGTTCAGGGTCCCATTTGGGTGGTTGGGGGGGGGGGGGGAGAATAGATCCACTGCCTCCTAACAAGCACTGTTGAAAGAGGCATTTAATTAGGGTTTTGCTGAAATCTGATGTGCTGTGCTGAATGATGCAGGTATCACAGCCTAGCTGTAAACAACAACAATGCAAAGTGCCAGCAATCCTATTAAGAGTAAAAGCAGAAGAAGTGATGTTATAACCCTGGGTTGGTCAAAATGAAAAAACAAATAATAAGGCTTCCAAATTTCATATCTCAATCACTCATTTTTTAGTGCAACTAATAAGCACAGAATCTAAAATCTGGAGAGAAAAAAAAAAATTTGATAACTAGCTGGTAGAAAGACCAATGGAAGTAAACTGATGTTCATGCATATGCCACTTTATTATAAAATCTTAAATCAACTGACCTGAGAAATGATAGTTGTCACTTAAGTGAACATTGATGCTAGTGTGAAGGCCTGAAATCAAGTGGAAAAAGACTCGCTTCTCTAAACACAAGGCTGAAAGTAAATGTTAAATTAAATAGAGTAATATTCTGAAATCAAGTATAAGGTATAAGGTAGGCTTTTGTTTGGTTGAAAATATACATTTTAAGTTCATAAGAAACTGGCTGAAGCTTTGGTAGTTAAAATGAACAATCCTGAGTTATGCAAACAAAATGAACATGTGATAAATTTGAAATTGCCATGGTAATTATATGGCTAATCTTGAATTTCCTGTGTGTTTCCAGGCAGGCAAACTTTCTTCGTAAAAAACATTGAAAATTACAGGTGAAATTGCAGATCTCTGTGGTATTCCTGAAGCTATAATACATGGTTCAGAGGTCCATGAACCCAGGCGGAGAGCTACCCGGCGAGGATACAAAACAGCTGCTATCCAATTCACCAACCAAGGACAGACTACCTTCTCCATAAGTGTTTGTATCTGACTGTTGTAAGTGTCTTCTAAATTAAGTGCCGCTGCCACCGTTTCCTGTCTCTTCTGGAAACCTTCAAAGGTATCAAAGGCAAAAGTGGCTGCATTTGACCATGTGTATAAGCAAGATTTTTTTTTAAAACCATGCTTTCAGTTCATATTTTAAAGCATAATTTTTTTTACTAATATCTATATCTAAAACTTGACAACAAAAGATAAACACTTAAACACCCAATTAACCATAATTAAATTGAAAAAGACATAACAAAGACACAAATAGAATAAATAATCACAAAATTAAAATTGGTATTTTTGAAAATATGACTAACAGTGATATCGCCTGCAAGGAAATATACACCATTTATTAAGCAGCTTAAAATGCTGCAACAGAACTTACCGTCTCCTGAATCAGTGTCTTTACCATAATGTTTCGATAAGTTCTGCAAGCTGACCTCAGGTCTAAAATATCACAAAATAACAAAATACCAAATCTAAATAATTTATAAGGTATTAAATGTAACAATATGCTAATTATAGATAACTTATAATGTATTAAAAATTGACAATATGCTAATCATATATAATTTATAATGCATTAAAAGTGACAATACACTAATAATATACAATTTATTATGTATTAAAAGTGACAATGACCTAATTGTGTATAATTAAAATGTATTAAAAGTGACAATACACTAATTATATAATTTCTAATGCATAAACAGTTACAACACACTAATTATAATAATTCATGTTATAAAAGTGACAATACACTAATTATCTCTCATTTACAATGTATTAAAATTGAAAACAATAGTGGCTAGGAGCCCATCTGCTATCCGAAAGGTCTTGGGTTTGAATCTCCATCAGGACAGATTTTTTTTTCTTTAAAACTGACACTGAGCTCTAAAGCTGACCCAGTCTAAAATGGGTACCACTTACAACCCGGGAAAGTAAAGACATAATGTTGACATCAATGACTGGTCTAAAGAAATTTAAGTCTAGCAACATATGCTCAAATGGGACACTACGTAAAAAAGGACCTTCACTTTTAACATGTTTTTTCCTTCATTTTTTCAAAGTGAAAATGCGTCTAGTATACATCACTAAATACACACTGAAAACACAGAGCCATACACAACCAGTGGATACTACCTTAGTCACCTTCAACAGTGGCCAGCTCAACTTATATATTTTGAAAAAAAAAAAAAAAAGTAAATTATATCCAAGTTTCTCCCTGTGTGGGTTCCAGGGCCCTATTATAGGGAAAACAAGAATAGACCCACTGCCTACCCAAAAGCATGTGGTAAGAGTCGACTAATTGGGAGCTTCCTTCGAAGTCAGAGTGCATCTGCCTGAGAGGCAAGGAACCAGCAGCCTGCACACAAATGAGTCAGATCTGTAAAATGGATGCACACGCAACACTCAGGTTTTGGAACAGGATTGCAGTCCAAAAGTGGATTAACAACCAGAACTTTCCACCAGAGTTTACAGCTGGTGACCGCAAAGAAGAAGAAGAAGATATCCAAGTTTCAACTTACTTAAAACAGTTTTCTTCATAGATGGACTTCCAGATTCTATGTGGCGATGACCCTCTGTAACCGGTGTAACGTTCAGGGTTACGAGAAAGATCAACATACTCTGCATCACTGGATTGTTCATCTGAAAGAATAAAAGATATTAATTTGACTTATTTAGCCAAATTAGTTTTTTTAAAAAAATTGTAAAAAGCATGGCTGGCCAACCGGTTAGAACGCTGGGCTCTCAAGCAGAAGACCTGGGTTCAAATCCTCGGTAAGGCTGGGCAATTTTTTTTTGTCAGGGGGCAAACTGCACAGTCTGTGGCAGCAGCACTAGTCATATGGCCCTGAATCCTCAGGTTCAAAGACACCTACCCTGTTTACATCGTGAAAGTGGTAAATACATGCAGTAACGGTAGTAAAAAAAAAAAAAAATTAAATTTTCATTTTTATGTGTGGTTCTCAGTAATATAACGTCAACGTCCTGTAAATATTAGGCAGCTAACTATAATGAAACAAAACATTATTCCTTTCAGTTGAGATGTAGTGTACCAATGTGATTTCTGTACTAAGTGTTAATTAATTCACAATGAGAACTGTGCAGTTATATCAATATTGAATTCAACGCTTCACTTGCAGTGGATTCCGTCTCACTGCGGCATCAAAGGCAATGAAAGCGCAGATGCTTTAGCCAAGGAAGGCAGTAACAAACTACAGACCTACCAGCCACTATCTTTTCCAGAAGTCAAAACTCTCATTAAGAGAAAATCAGAAACAGACTGGAAAAACAACACTGGTTATGACTACGGAAAAGATTTTCTGAGGCACTTGAACAGAACAGACCAAGTCACAGTTTTTCGCTTACGCACTGGACACTGCAGACTCAATAAACACTCATATAAATTAGGTATGAGCCAAACAGCTCTCTGCCAGTGTCTTCGTGCTGAACAGACTCCAGAACATGTCCTGCAAGACTGTCCTCTCCTGGTGGAGCTGCGGAGCGACATATGGCAACACCCAGTAGAACTGACAACTAAGCTTTGGGGAAACCTAAGAGACCTTGAAAAGACATCCCAGTTTATGACCCACAGTGGATTATGCGCATGACCAGAGATCGCTGAAGAAGAAGAAGAAGAATTCAACGCAGTACAAAATCAAATTGTCATGCAAAACAACCTACGCTAAACTGAAAACTATCACAAAATACAAAATTTAAACAAGAATCTGAAAAAAAGGGGAACTCCATCAATTTTGCAGTACAATTGGAACTTACCATCAATTTTGCAGTACAAGGGGAGGTCACTATCAATTTCGCAGTACAAGGGAACGCCACTAATTTTGCAGTGCAAGGAGAACACACTGTCAATTTTGCAGTACAAGGGGAACTCACCATCAATTTCGCAGAACAAGGGGAGCTCTCCATCATGACGCCTCCAGGTTTGAAAATCGTTTTCCCTTTCTGCACTGATAGATTTGTCCAAGGCACTCAGTTCAGTCTCTAAAGCACAGCTCTCCTCAAAAATTTCATTAGCAACCTTGAAATACTGGAAATATTAGGTTTCATAAATTAGCAGAATCTTGATCTCTGAACATTTTACAGACCCAAAGAAGTTGTATTAAAATAAAGCAAAATACAATATTTCCTCTGCCTTCTATCCCCCAATGGAGCATAGGTCTTCAACTAACTCACACCAAGTCATTCTATCCTTTGTTATTGCATGCAGCTCTTCCCATCTTTTTCACTTCATTCTCTGGCTCCCTTTTCCATGTGGTTTTGGTCTTTATTTATATGCCCTTGTTTGTTCCAGTTCAAAGACATTCTAGTTATATTGTTCTCAGGTTTTCTCTGTCCTATCCAAAACCAGAGTCTTTTCTTCACCTCTTGGTCCACTGGAACTTGTTTAGGCTCTACATTTGTGATTCTATAATAAAATTGCATTCCCTCTATTATGTGCAGGTACCAGTTAATGAATGTTTGTAGTTTATTTGTAATTGCCTCAGTTGTTCACCATGATTCTGCTCCATGCAACAGTACTGATTATACATCAGAATTGAAAATTTGAAGTTTACTATTAGTTTACATTTTTTTTTTTTGTTGACCTGCACAAATTTCCTAGTGCTATGAAAGCCCCTCTTATCTTTTGAATTTGTATTTTAATATCTCTATAATTTCCCTTCATCTTTATCTACATTACTGCCCAAACAGGTGTACGACTCCACGTCTTGGAGTCAGATACCATTAAGAGAAATTACAATATCGCGTTTGAAAAAAAAAACATTCTAAGCAAATTATGCCTCCACATAGGAAACACAAATAAAAGAGTTGAAAGAAATTAACAGTAATAATTATTATTACTTTTTTTTTTAATTTAAAAAAAATGGCAATTAAATAAAATGTGTAACATAACCTAAATTTCCATGCCTTTAGATGTTTTGGGCATATAGGGCTAGACCTACATTTGTATAGACCAATTGGCACTTGGTGGGTGATGTGGTCAGCATCACGCAGGCTGCTTTTACTTCCCAAGGTCATTTTTGAAAAAATGTCCGGCTCCGTCAGGACTCGAACATACAACCTTCTAATCCACAGGCAGGCATCTAGCCATCACCATCACTGTGACTCCTATATTTGAAGTATAAAGTGGAAAATCAAATGTTCTTATGTATGAAGCCTACAGAGGAACTTATTACATGATCCTATATTTGAAGTGAAGAAGGTCATTTTTTAAAAATGTCTGGCTCCGTCAGGACTCGAACATACAACCTTCTAATCCACAGGCAGGCATCTAGCCACCACCATCACTGTGACTCCCATATTTGAAGTATAAAGTGGAAAATCAAATGTTCTTATGTATGAAGCCTAGAGAGGAACTAATTACATGTTCCTATATTTTAAGTGAAGAAGGGAAAGTTCACATTTGAAATTTCCAAGCAAATGTGGCAACTAAACCACAAAGAGTCAGTGTGTCTACAGTATACCTTTGACAGACTGACCATCTCTTTCTTGCTCTATTACCAGATTTTATTCAACTGTAGGCTTTAGCCTCAAAAAATTTCCAGACCACTCAGTTATTGTCTTCATAAAAGCACCATTGAGTCATCCTTATTACTTTATTGTAAAGTTTGTTTCTGATTAATGGGTGATAAAGATTTGAATTACTAAAAAAAACTCTACAACAAATAAATAAAAATTAAAAACATACAGCACAGAATTGAAGAAATCTGCAAAACAATCTACCTTCTGTTTCTGTTCTTCATGGCCAGACTCTACCTCTAGCTTTCTTTTAATAGGGACCTCTTCCTGTAAACAATCAACTTTAAAATTAAATCAAATAATGCTTTATGAACTAACAAATACAAACAGACACAACAGAGAAACATATTGCAGTCATTATACAAAAGAAAAGTAGCTATGAAGATGACTATGTACAAGGTAGTTATGGAAAACTTTCTGATACTCAGAAATATCAACTGTGAGAGAGTCTTCGAGTCCACTGAAATTGCAGGAGAACATAATTTACTAGTTAGTGGTGCTTATAAGATAGTAGAAATAAGCAAAGAGAATAGGACTCCACATTCATTTATTGTCCTGTTGTGCTCCGATATATCACATAGGATTCGCAGTCAATTCCCCCATTTCATTCAATCTTGTGCAGTCACTTCAACATCATGGATGGAATCCAGACCAGCATATTTAGCTTCTCTCTAAAGATAAGAAGACTCAATGGATAATATAAAAATTGAATACTAAATTGGTTAGAAATAGAATTTGACCCCACCACCTCTAAATGATGACACAAACACATACACAAAATACTATCCAGCAAAATAAAACAAAAATCAATCAAAGCAATGCTGTTGAGAATCAAACAACCATGTTCATTGTCATAGAGCAGATATTTTGCAGAATGTCACTCCCAACATGGCATATAATATCTATTACCTGCTAATTTCTGTATATTTCATGTATCTTCTTCTTAGCATTCACCCACTGTAAACTCCAGCAGAAAGTTCTGGTTGTTCATCCACTTCTTGACTTTGATCATATTCCAGAACTTAAGTTTTGCGTGCACATCCATTTTACAGATCTGTCTTATCTGTAAGCTAATTGTTGGTTGCTTGTCTCTCAGGCAAATGCGCTCCGACTTAGTCCTTCTTCAAGAATTTACATCACAGCACTCAGGATATTCCCATATGTATTCGATCCTAATCTTCAGCAGCCAATGAAGAGTTCCAACTATGATGGTAGCAGTAGCAGTCTGACTGTATGTCTGTCTTACCTCTCCTCTGAGTGTGGAGTGTCGGCCAGATCCCCAGATCACTCCCTGTTGCAGCATTCTCTTCATACCCTGATCATATAATTGTTTCTCTGCACCACAGTCCTAACATTCTGAAAACCCATTCTAGTGAGTAGTTTTGAGCCAACAAGTGTGCATGAAATTTAGGACAGCAGTAACAAAAAGCAGTCCTGATTATTTTACCTCTGAGCATAATTCAACATGACAGTCTCTGACGGAACATCTGTTATCTTGTGGCCAGAATGGACAGCCTTTATTTAAATTCACCTGAATAAACATGACAAGACAAATACAGTTGTAGATATTAATGGGATTGTAATTATAATTGTTTTCCAAACTAAAACTAAATTCTACAGCAGATACTATCTTATATGCTAGGCTATATTATATTACAACAGAGTGACCAGATTCTTGTTACTGCTTTTTCCCAGAAATATCACCTACATTTTATTTGTCTCTAGAACCAAAAAGTTGGATGCTACAGGGAATCAAAGCTAAACCATTCTCTTGGTACCCCTGTGTTATCAGGGCTGATCAGGGAAACAAAGAATAATACCAACAGTTGTTGGGGTGTCAAACTGGCCCTTTACCAAGTCAAGAGCACATGATATGGAATGACCACTTACTTTCCTTCCCAGAAAATTCACAGACAGTTATGAAAATTACCTGGTACCCCTCTGTTTGTGGGTTCTGCCATTAGGGAAAATAAAAAGAGGGGTAGAACCACTGTCTCCTTATCAAATATGTCCAAAACAAAGTGATAAATTAGGGGTGTTTCTTTGAAGCTGCAGTGAATCTGCCTGAAAGTTGAGGAACCAACAGTTTGCACACAAATAAGCTAAATTTGTAAAATGGATTTGCAAGCAAAACTCATAAAGCCTAGAACAAGACTCAAGTACAGAAGCGGAAGAACAACCAAAACTTTCTGCTGGAGTTCAAAGCCTGTGAGCACTAAGACGATCTGGTGCCTGTTAGATCTGATTCATCCAAGACTGTTTTAATCTCAAATTCCCTTATCAACTATCGAAAGTAAAGGACCCCTTTCAATGCTCTTAGGTGTATTGGAAATATAGGGCTAGACCTATGTTTTATAGACAAATCAGCACTTGGTGGGTGATGTGGTCAGCGTCACACTGGCCACTTTCACTTCCCAGGACTTTACAACATACCCATTTTAGACTAGGTCTGCCGAGAAGACATTTTTCTATAAAATATAGGCCTGGCCCTATATGCCCAATATGCCTGAAAGTGTGAAAAAGTGCCCTTTACTTTTACTTTACTTACTACCTAGGAGTCAAGGTTATATTTTGAACAAAATTTGGCTCGATGTGGATTTGACCCCACGACCTTAAAAGCCCACAGGCGAACATCTAGCTAAATCACCAAGGCCCCTTCCACTTATTAATGATAGCAAAAACAAATCACTTTGACAGTACTCTTACCCTAAAAAATCTGAAGTAGTTTCTGGCCAGTAAACTCTTCAGTCGAGGAAACACTTTGTTATTATTGAATAAGTCCAGAGTCTCAACTTTACATGAGCAGTCGTTCACTTCTCCTTTCAACTAAATGAGACCAATTACATTTAATTTGAATTTCAACAATGCACATGCAAAATTTTAAACATACATTCACAGTCTAACTCTTTTGGTCTCATAAGGTTTTATACAAAAATCATGATGATTTTTCATTAAATATTACCATTACAATTCTAACCAGCTGATATGATGTTTGAGAAATTAATCTAATGAGCTGTGAATAAAAGGCTTCATTAAAATGGGAAGCAGAACAACGTGCACAAAATAACACAACACAAACTGACGTTTCAGCCAGGGTCTTTTTCACCATGAACTGAACTACACAACAAAAATAAAGGGGAGAGTACTCCAACTACCAAGGGATCCCATTAAAAGTTATAAAAAAGGTAATGTGGAATGAATATAATATAATAAAGGAAGGCTCGAAAAGTAGTCATAAAAATATTAGTGATAATATATAATAATAGTAGAAATAAAAAAGTGGTAGAAGTACAAAAGTTAATAATCCATAACCAGTACTGATAAGGGATAGAATAAAGTAATAATTCAAAATAAAATATAATAAAAAAAGCATAAAAATAATATCCAAAAAAATAAAAATAATATGACAATAGTAAAACTGATTAGATGAAGGTATGCTAGACATTGGTGCCTCCTGGACTAAGGACACCTAGACAGTGGAAAAGGCAATTTTCCAAAGCGAGATGCGTGGTATGATCACCAGAGCAAGATTTTATTAATGTGACAGATATATCTTCTTCTTCTTCTTCACCTTCACCAGCTGTACACTCTGGCGAAAAGTTCTGGATGCTCGTCCACTACTGAACTGCAGTCCTGCTCCAGAACCTGAGTGTTGCGTGTGCATCAGTTTTACAGATCTCATTCTCTTGAATACAGACTGTTGGTTCCTTGCCTCTCCAGCAGATGCACTCCGACTTCAAAGGAAGCTCCCCAATTAGTCGACTCTTACGACATGCTTTTGGGGAGGCAGTGGGTCTATTCTTGTTTTCCCCACACTGGGGCCGCGGAAGCCACATGGGGGACAGATATATCATCTTTGGCTTTGTGGTCAGAGCTGTTAAATGATGTTTGAATTATGTGGGGGAAAAGTCAGTAACGCAGCATGCATAATTTGGCGCTGAAAGAGTTAACATTTCAAAATTATACATTCCCCATGTGGGTTGCAGGACCCCAAAGTGTGAAAAAACAAGAACAGACCGGCTGTATCCCCAAGAAGCATGTCGCAAGAACTGACTAATCAGAGGTTTCCTTTAAAGTCGTAGTGCATCTGCCTGTGAGGCAAGGAACCAACAGTCTGCATATATATAAGCCATACTGGTAATATGGAATCAATGTGCACCCAATACTCAATTTCTGGAAAATTTCACGTCCAGAAGTGAAAAAAAACAACAACCAGAAACAAACACCAGAACCTTCCACCGGAGTTTACAGCTAGTGAACGAGAAGAAGACAAAGAAATTATGCCAAACACAACTGCCGACAAACAGCAACAGTATAAATAGAATATTCATACTAATTCTACCCTTCTTCTTCACTTCCTCTTTTACCGCTGTGGGTGTCGAGGGAGATATAAGGTTCTGTTTCTAGCTCTTCTGGCTGCCTCGACCATAGGCACATCGTGCTGTTGTAGAGTTTCTCTGATGTTATCCTTCCATTTTGTTCTTGGCCTACCCCGTGCTCTACGTCCTTCTTCTCTTCCCATGTATGTTTTGTATGGTATGGTGTCACAAGGCATTCTCTCTAAGTGGGCAAACCATTTCACTTGCTGTCTTTGTATGTAATCCAGAATTGGTTCTGTGCCGACTTGTTCTCTTATGATCTCATTTCTGATCTTATCTCTTATGGTCACTCCTACAGCCCTTCTCAGACATCTCATTTCCGTGGTTACTAATTTTCTTTTATGGTTTGTTGTGAGTGACCATGTCTGGCACTGGTAGCACAGAGTTGGAATAAATATGCTTTGAATAAGATGTCTCTTTGTGCTGACTGGGATTGTCTTATGCTGTAAGAGGGGGGCTAGCTGTCCCAATACTTGGTTTGCTTTACTGCATCTAATGTCAATTTCTTTATCCAATTTCCCATCTTCGGTAAATGTAGTTCCCAGATATTTAAACTCAGATGCCTGTTTAATGCCTTTGTATTCTATTGTTATGTTTAGATCTGTCTTCTTTTTTCCTATTGACATTACTTCTGTCTTTTCAGTGTTGATTTTCATATTATTTGTTTTACATTCTTCATTCATGGATGTTAGATGTTGTTGCAATTTCATGGCTGTATCTGCTATCAAGGCCTGGTCATCTGCAAAGAGTAATTCGTTGATCTTACTAAGATCTTCATTCATGGGCTTGGCATTCTTGCATATACTGTCGATGTAGGTGATAAACAGCAGTGGTGATAAGACACACCCCTGTCTTACTCCAGATGTCACTGTGAAAGGATGAGATGTTCCCTGATTTATTCTAACTACACTTCTACAATCCCTGTATAAACTTTTGCACACTTCGATGAGGTGTTCGCTTACTCCATATCTTGCCATTATTTTCCATAATAATTGTCTGTCGACTCTACACTACCAGTGTCAAACATGAACCAGGTCAAAAAACTATTTGGCTATCTTCCAAATAATGGTCCCAAATTATCGAGGCAGAAAATATACCCTAACAGGGCCTCAGTCACGTGTCAATTGCGCACTTCCTGGGACTATACCGCCACCGCCGAGAGTATCCCCCACACCGTGTGAGCGGTGTGGATTGGGGCTAAACAAGATGGCTGGGACTCGCGAGCAAATAAAATGAAGGAAGCTGCAAGAGATGCGGTAGCTGCTGCTCGTGAGTCCCAGCCATCTTGTTTAGCCCCAGTCCACGGCGTGTGAGCAGCGTGGGGAATACTCTCGGCGGTGGCGGACGTGTGCAATTTAAGTCGCCGGAAGCGGTTTCTGGGACCTCTCCACAGTGATCCTCATCCACATGGTGGCACATTGTGTCATCGGGTGTTTATCGCTTGTGTGATGTCCTGGTGGGGTAGAAAGTCAGGTCGACCCAGCCTTGAGTGGGTACCGGTTGCAGTCCTAGGTAGTAGAGGCGGCCAGCGAGATGCTGACCACATCACCCATCTTGTGCCGATTGGTCTATAAAACTATAAAAATATAGGTCTAGCCCTCTACCCCTAAAGGCATGGAAAAGGGTCCTTTACTTGTTACTTTTTTACTTACATGTACAATAGCTAGCCTTAGTGGTAGTCAGGGTTTCAACTTTAATGCAACCGGGTGACCTGACACTTGCTCCATTCCTGTGCCAGTGAAAATCGAATGAAATTTCGGCTCTCCTGCGAACTTCTACCCGATATTATGGCGGCCAAGAAAATAGCCTAACAGGGCCTCAGTCGTGTGTAAAATGCAGACTTTCTGCCAAGGAACAAATCGCGGCAAAACTAGGATCGGCTCCAAATAACGAAACAAATGCTCTAACAGGGTCTCAGCGATATGTTAATTTTGCAGGTCCTGTTTCTGCGACTATGCCGCACCGCCAACAGTAACCCCCGCATGGCTACACGCGGCGCAGATGGGGGCTAAACTAGATGGCTGGGACTCACGAGCAGCAGCTACCGCATCTCCTGCAACTTCCTCCAATTTATTTGCTCGTGAGTCCCAGGCATCTAGTTTAGATCCCCATACTGTCGGCGGTGAGTTTAACTGCGTTTTGCGCATGACGAAAAGTGTGAGGACCACAACAACTACGCTAATCTGCGTCGGAGCGCGTGGTCTCCCCGCCATGTCGCTATTATCGTTTGTAATGTTGCATGTCTCGAAATTGTCAATGGTCGCTATTATCGTCTGCAGTAACGCTCAAAATTGTCAACGGTCGCTATTATCGTCTGCTACTATCGTCTGCAGTGCTACGTCTCTTGAAATTGTCAAGTAATCCTAGTTTTGCCGCGATTTGTTCCTTGGCAGAAAGTCCGCATTTTACAAACGACTGAGGCCCTGTTAGGCTATTTGCTTGGCCGCCATAATATCGTGTAGAAGTTCGGAGGACAGCCGAAATTTCCCTTACTGTCCTACTTAAAAAGCTGGTACAATAGCTAATTGTACACATAAGGTCAGTTGCTTGGGACTGAAAAGGTTAAATACCATCAAAACACTAATTCTGACACAGAATATATGCTTTATCAATTGTACCTTACAAAAACATCGGTCGGCAATGTCTCGACTCCATTTGGAAGACGAATATTGTGAATTAGATTGTTCCACTAAGAAAACTAAAAATAAAGTAAAAGCTACATAAACTTCCATTTTCAATACTGAATAACCGTGAGTTGTTTAACGATTCAATTCATATGTAAGCCTGATGAAAGAGGCAAAACGTGTGTGGGTGTGTGTACGTGCATACTATCAGGTGTTTTGACAGTGCTTCAAGAAGGCGAACACTCCTCTGATGTACGATGTACATCCTGGTAAACATTTTAATTAACAAATATTTTAAAAAGTAGAGAAGCTGACGAAACAAACTGTTAGAGTTTGGAACTCGGTCTATGTCGGAGTCCTTACAACATTTAGCTCGGTTTGCATCAAATTACCCAAGGTGGTGCAGAACCAGCTAGCCTATATGTCTGTTCATTTATTAACACACCAGTATACCCTGAAGAAAATAGCCAAAGGATGCTAACTACCTGTGACCTCTGAAGCTATGCTTGCCACTCTGAATGGGACATGCCTACATCTATCATTCTCAAAACGCTCTGTCAGTCAGTTACAATGCAAAAATTTATATCTGTGTGTTATGTTATGTTATCACAATCGACGTCTTTTTAAATTGGGCATCACCATAAGTGGTCAGTTTACCGATGCAGCAGCCACTTCAAGGTACCTCTACTTACTGTTCCCATGAGGAGTTGGTTATAGTATCTCCTGTCTTTATCTCTAAAACGACATAGTCGTGCTTCACCAAGTTTAACTTCTCGGTCACGAAGTCGTGTTAGCGTCAGAGATTCGCCATTATCACCCACCTAATCTGTACGGTGTTGATGATATCAGCTCTGTCCATGCTTGTTCCCATTTGCATTGGTGCATTACTTGCCAGCTGGTCAGCTCCTTTATTACCATTTACTCCTGCGTGCCCAGGTGTGTAGATCCAGTTGAGGGGGGTTAACTGCGACTCCCAAATGCTTTTTAACCATTCGAAGCGGAGACTACCTGTAGCGATTTTCTAAAGCATGTTTATAGAGTCTGAAACAATTACCGCATGTGTAGCCGCTTGTTCTGCTACCCAAACGAGTGCTCTGGTAGCAGCAGCTATTTCCATGGTCATGCTTGACGTAGTCGTCTGGTAAGCGCCGCTATCCTCTTTTATTGTTTTTCCCATCCTTTGTGCTGTGTATGCCCTTGCTGATCTTGTCCCGCGCTTCACTGACCCATCTGTGTAAATGATCTTGTCTTCTGAGCGTAAGTGCTGATCAATCAGAGCTCTAATCTCGACTCTGCACAACTTGGTGGAATACTGATGCACGATAAGGCAGATCTGGTTAGTGCCTTGTGGGAGAGCGTGTACAGTTCGGAGGAGCAGATGGATCACCACAGTCTGGTGAGATTAATGCAACGGGAGTGACGAGAGATTCTGGCAGATGCTCGAGGCTCGGATGAAAGGCAAGACGGATGTTTAATCAGAATTCTACTGGCACCATTAGTATCGGAACTCTTCACTGGCTGCTGAAGATGGGGACGGAGCGCTTATGGGAATGCCCCGAGTGCTGTGATGTCGGTTCTTGAATCAGATCAAATCAAATCTCGGCGTCTACGGTTGCAGGTATCTGATTCGTGCAGTACCTCCCCAGTGTTATGACAACCTTAGACAAGTCGTGCAGGTCTACTGGTGTATCCGTCCATTCTTTTTCGTGACTGTGTGTAAGTATAGATGGAAGAATGCATGGGCGTATGAATGGAGGGTCAGATATATGATTGTATATATATTTTTTAATAAAAGCATTTGCTATCTATGCTTTTGTAGTTTTATTTTATAATTGTCCCGTAACCTTGCGGTTCTTTGGGTCCTCAGTTGCCGTTGACTGTCTGATCAGCTCTCTCCAGTATTGACGGACAGATGCAAGAGACTTTATAGTTGCATGCCTAAGGCCTGTCCAATCAGTCAAGCTCTGAATCCAGATCTTTCTTGGTCTGGCTTTTCTTCTCTTCCCCTCTATTGAGTCCTGTAGTTTTTTTTTTTTTTTTTTTTAGTTTTTTTTTTTTTTTTTTAAGGGGTTGTTAGATTTTATTTTATGTATGTACCATTGCATTTTCCCGTCTTTTCTTTTAGTGTAGTTAAAAAAAGGTGAATAACAGCCAGCGTGCTTGGTATCATTTTTGGTGTGGTCTCTTTTATGTCAAGAATTTGGCGGAAGGATTTCATTTCCAATCAAGAAGAACGGAGCACTGATGGGTTAGCCCTAGTTTAAACCCCAAAAAAAAGTATTTACAGCGTTTTCTGCTTCTTTTGATCTCCAGTTTCCCAGTTGCTAAAACTTTGTCTCGACTTGCTAGTATCATAACGTGGTGGCCTCCCAGTATGTACCCCGCGGTCCCATTGTGGTAGTGGGGTGTTAGACCTACCCCCCCCCCCCCCCCCCCCCCCCCCAAAAATGCAAACTAATTAGGGGTGTTTCCGTTGAAGTCGCAAATAGTTACATAGGATGTTTATAGGGAGTATTTGAGGCAGAGGCGTTATGAGACGTCGGGAGGCGGAGGCCTTGTGGGGAGTTGGTAGGAGGCGTCGGGATGAGGCCTCGCCTTCTACAAGGTCAAGGGTCAGATTGGGACGGTTCCCCCACCCCAAGCTAAGGCAAATATCAATGGCGACCCCCCCCCCCCCCGCCTCCATCCTTAAAGATACCATTTTCCCTTTGGGGCGGCCTGGGGGCTTCCCCTATATAACACTAATAGAATAATGTTGTTGAGTGGGTGGGCCTCTCTTTTCCTCTAGTCACCTTAGAGCTTCTCCTATATCAGACTAATAGAAACTGTTTTGTTTGGGGATCTAAACATCATCATCATCTGTAACTCTTCTTTATGCTGTCCTATCCTTCTCTCCATGTATCTCTCTCACTAGCTATCTCTCTCTCTCTCACTATCTATGTATCTATCTCTCTCACTATCTATCTATCTATCTATCTATCTATCTATCTATCTATCTATCTATCTATCTATCTATCTATCTATCTATCTATCTATCTATCTATCTATCTATCTATCTATCTATCTATCTATCTATCTATCTATCTATCTATCTATCTATCTATCTATCTATCTATCTATCTATCTATCTATCTATCTATCTATCTATCTATCTATCTATCTATCTATCTATCTATCTATCTATCTATCTATCTATCTATCTATCTATCTATCTATCTATCTATCTATCTATCTATCTATCTATCTATCTATCTATCTATCTATCTATCTATCTGTCTATCTGTCTATCTGTCTATCTGTCTGTCTATCTGTCTATCTGTCTATCTGTCTATCTGTCTATCTGTCTATCTGTCTATCTGTCTATCTGTCTATCTGTCTATCTGTCTATCTGTCTATCTGTCTATCTGTCTATCTGTCTATCTGTCTATCTGTCTATCTGTCTATCTATCTATCTATCTATCTATCTATCTATCTATCTATCTATCTATCTATCTATCTATCTATCTATCTATCTATCTATCTATCTATCTATCTATCTATCTATCTATCTATCTATCTATCTATCTATCTATCTATCTATCTATCTATCTATCTATCTATCTATCTATCTATCTATCTATCTATCTATCTATCTATCTATCTATCTATCTATCTATCTATCTATCTATCTATCTATCTATCTATCTATCTATCTATCTATCTATCTATCTATCTATCTATCTATCTATCTATCTATCTATCTATCTATCTATCTATCTATCTATCTATCTATCTATCTATCTATCTATCTATCTATCTATCTATCTATCTATCTATCTATCTATCTATCTATCTATCTATCTATCTATCTATCTATCTATCTATCTATCTATCTATCTATCTATCTATCTATCTATCTATCTATCTATCTATCTATCTATCTATCTATCTATCTATCTATCTATCCATCTATCTATCTATCTATCTATCTATCTATCTATCTATCTATCTATCTATCTATCTATCTATCTATCTATCTATCCATCCATCCATTCATCCATCCATCCATCCATCCATCCATCCATCAGTCCGTCCGTCCGTCCGTCCGTCCGTCCGTCCGTCCTCCCGCCCATCCGTCCGCCGGCCCGTCCATCCGTCTGTCTATCTATCTTCTTTTTGAGAACAGCTTTACGCCAAAGGAAGTAGTGCTGTCAAGCTAAACTGACAAACAAGGAGCTGGTTCCGATCAACAGTAGGAGTCCGACATCAAGGAACAATTGAAATAGGGGGTCGAATTATAACACACAAGGTTTTACAGATGGCATCGACGGGTTGGCCAGGGAAGAACAAAAGCTAGTCGAACTTGTAAACCTGCTTGATGAAACATCGACCAAGCATGGTTTTTAGATAAATGAGGATAAGACGAAAGTAATGACTAGTTATCCAGCTGGCATAACTACACCGATCTACGAACAAGTCAGTCATTCAAATATCAAGGACCCATTTTAAGTAAAAAAAGGGTCAATTTCAGAAATCAAGTCAAGGATTGTCCTGACAACTTTCTATTCATATTGTGTATACTGTTATGACCATAAAACATCCTTTACAGATAACATTCAATGGCTGTGTAAGTGAGAGTGTTTGGAAGGGACGTAAGTAAGATGGGCCACGGTATCAGAATTGTTTCCCTTTGAAACTAGAGATTGTTTTGTTGTTCTTTGTTTATAATTTGGTGGAATTTGAAACTAAATGTTTGTGTGGGATGAAGTGTTGACTCTCATACCAGTCCTTTTTAGTCACATCTTAACGTGTGTGTGACAATAATTTTCTTCTTCTTCTTTTCTCTACTCGTGGAATGCCTAGCAGCGTCAAGGCGGGAAGAGATAACAGGAACGAGCCCTTCTGTTTCATCAGTTCTCGTTATGCCTAGTGGCACATGAGGTTTCAGAGAGGACGTAGTTAGTGCCTTGTGGGAGAGCGTGTACAGTTCGGAGGAGCAGATGGATCACCACAGTCTAATGAGATTGATGCGGTGGGGAGTGACGAGAGGTTCTGGCAGATGCTCGAGGCTCAGAGGAAAGGCAAGACGGAAGTTTAATCAGAATGCTACTGGCACCATTAGTCATCATCAGTTCTCGTTATGCCTAGTGGCACATGAGGCTTCAGAGAGGATTGTCCATGCTTTCCTGTCCTGTGCAATCTTCAGTGGAGTTTTCCATGTCAAAGATGCCGCACTCAGGTCACTTTCCATCGTTTGTCTCCATGTTGTTTTTGGGCGCCCCTGTTTTCTCTTTTCCTCTGGTGTCCATGTGAGAGCTGTCTTGGCAGGTATATTAGAAGTCATTCTCATAACGTTGCCAAGCCATTTCCATCTTCTCTTGGTAATCATACTGTCTAAAGTTTCTTGGTTTGTGACTTGAAGTAGTTTAGTGTTTGAGATTGTATCTGGCCAGCAAATTTTGATAATTCTACATGTAGACATGTGTGGTGGAAGGTGGACAGCTTGTGTGCATCGTTTTTGGTCATTCTCCAGTATTCCGCTCCATAAAGAAGAACTGGCAAAATGATGCTCTTGTAGAGTCGGAGTTTCGTTCCTCTGCAGTAATTGTTGGATTTCCAGATTTGCCTATCCTTCCAAAAGCAGCTCTAGCTTTGTTCAGACGTGACTGTATGTCTTCCTCTGTCCCTCCCAGTAGGGACACCACACTGCCAAGATATGTGAAATGTTCTACATTTTCAAGTGATTGGTTATTTATGGTCACTGGTTGTTGGTTTGGACTGTTTGTCATGATCTTAGTTTTCTTTGTATTTATTCTCAGTCCCACCATTTCTGCTGTGCAGTTTAGTCTGTTACTTTTCTCTTGTATATGTTCATGTTTATGTGATAGGAGTGCTATATCATCTGCAAAATCAATGTCCTCAAGCATGGTGAATGGAGTCCATCGTATGCCTCTTAATGTCCTGTCTACTGTGTTCTTTGGTATCCAATCAATCACAAGGTTGAAGAGGATAGATGACATAACACATCCCTGTCTTACACCCGTCTTTACTGGGAAATATGTATTGTAATTTTTTATACTGCAGGAAAAGTCTTCGTATAAAGTACGTTTCAGTGTCTCTAATATTACTGCAGTCCATATTCTGCATGGTTGACCTCTGGATCTGTTATCTCTGTATCTGAATAACACTTCTCTGTGAGGTTCCTTATTTGTTGCCAGTCTTGTTACATGACCAAACCATATGATCTGCCCTATTTGTTGCCAGTCTTGTTACACGGCTAAACCATTTGATCTGCCCTATTTGTTGCCAGTCTTATTACATGGCCAAACCATATGATCTGCCCTATTTGTTGCCAGTCTTGTTACATGACCAAACCATATGATCTGCCCTATTTGTTGCCAGTCTTGTTACATGATCAAACCATATGATCTGCCCTATTTGTTGCCAGTCTTGTTACATGACCAAACCATATGATCTGCCCTATTTGTTGCCAGTCTTATTACATGGCCAAACCATATGATCTGTTGTCTAGTATTCCAGTCTAGGATGTCTGAAAAACCGACTCCGATTTAAAGTGGCAGTTACAAGATTAATATTATTCTGTGCTTCTGCTATAGATTAAAATAACACACAGACAACACGTAAACTGACATCCAAAAATATACTGTTAAATTTACAAAGTATGCAGAATACCAACATTTATTCATGCCCCTAGTTAGTAATAAATACACAGTATAGACAATAACAGATCACCACCACGAAGTAAAATGTCCCATTAAAACGTGCAACATCTATGTGCAAGATCACTGAATGCCTTTCTTGCCAGTAATAATACTGTCTGAAATAACCCACGATAATGTACTAGTGTATGAAAAGAATGAGAAAGCAAATAGTCTCAGTACAGGCAATGCTTAAGCATGTGCAATGATTGCATTCAGGAACACACTCTTCTTTGTACTGTCTGCTTCTGCTTCTGCTGCTGCTGCTGCTTCTTCTTCTTCTTCTTCTTCTTCTTCTTCTTCTTCTTCTTCTTCTTCTTCTTCTTCTTATTCTTATTCTTCTTCTTCTTCTATGCTCAGTTGGAAGATAAAAAGCAGAAGAAGAATAAGAACTAAAACTCAACTTTCGTGGGATTTATAGCCCCCCTCTCCCCGTTGCTTGAGTTACTGTGTCACGGCTCCTGTCTGTCTATCATGGTGCTGAGTAATAATTAAAGAATAATTGATGCAGGTAACCCGATTGTGGTCCCATCCGTGTATGGTGAGAAACACTGATAAAGCAGATAAAACTGTCACGTGGAAACATTTCCATTCAGATGCTTGTATAGGTCGTCTGCACACTCCACTAGTTTCTGGACGGCTTGGGAAAGGCAGCACCGATAACATCCACTGAAATGGTCTTAGCATTAGGATAAATTTCTACACTTCCTCTATCAGTAGATACCAATGAAGTAGAAGAGTTAAAACTTAGTTTTCCGTTGAATTAACAACCAGCCAGGTTTGTTTTTCCTCCTTCCTTTCACACGCGATACTGCGTCATTGGTATAATCTGTCGTTTATGCCATCCTCTTTTAGATTCCAGGGCCCTGTGTCGGGGGAAACAAGAATAGAGCCACTGTATCCCCAACATGAATGACGTAAGAGTCGACTAACTGGGGGCTTGCTTCGAAGTCAGACTGCATCTCACTGAGAGGTAAAGGACAAACAGTCTGCTTTCAAATAAGCTAGATCTGTTTTAAAAAATGAAAAAAAAAAAAGATGTTTGCAACACTCGTGTTCCGGAACAAGACTTAAGTCCAGAGGTGGACGAACGACCAGAACTTAGGCCAGAGTTTATAGCCGCGGAACGCAAATAAACAGAAGAAGAAGAAGGCGACAACGATGTGTATGCCATGCGTGTTTCTTATTTGTCCTCTTAGTATTAGGCTACCGCATGTAAACTCCAGTGGAAAGGTTTGGTTGTTATCCACTTATGTAATTTGGTCGTGTTCAAGAACTTGAGTTTTTCGTGCACATCCGTTCTACAGAGTTGGCTTACTTGTATGCGTTTTGGGTTTTTTGCCTCTTCGAGACACTCCGATCTCGAAGATAACACCCCTAATTAGTCACCACTCACGATATGCGCGTTAGAGCAGTGACTCTCAACCTTCCTAATGCCGCGACCTCATGTTGTGGAGACCCCCAGATTATTATTTTCCTTCACAACTTCAATAAATATTTGTTTTCCCATGGTCTTAGGCAATCCCTGTGAAAGGGTCGTTCGACCCCTAAAAAAGGGCCGCGACCGGCAGATTGACAACCGTTGGTGCTAGAAGAAAGTAGTCCTCCCCCCCCCCCCCCCCCAACATACACACACACACTCACACACACTCACTGGAACCTCTAATCCACACAGGAAACACGTGTGATTAATAAGTGATACATAACTGATTGGAGGCCCCATGTATCAGTGCTTTAAGCAGCATCAACAAAATAAAAAAGGACAACCAACTGCAATTGACCTATTATGTCTCTAAATGTAGACTTTGGACGATAGTTAACCATTTTCGTTGCCACTGTCGGAATAAAGTGTTACTGTGCATCGCCAATTCATAGATAGGAGTTATTTATTGCTCAAGTTTATCCGCTATTAAAACTACAGTAATACTATTGGTTATTTTATGAAACTTTAGAAATAGTTACATCCAGGGCTTTTATCCCCTAGGAAAAAATAAAGGTTCTGTACTCGCCACAAAGTGTCTAAAAACAGGTATTGGTTCTCACAACAGTGTCTATTAAGCTACTCTTCCAACCATCTCTTAGACTAGTGATAACAAGGGGGAAAAGATTGCCTAAAAGGAGTGCCGGTACTGAGTATCTTTGACCAACACACACACACACACACACACACACACACACACACACACAAAATCCCTGGTTTAATCAACGAACACATTTAAAAGTGTCAGGTCTTTTCCGTGTTATATTTACATTGTCAATAGAGCACTGCACTGTGTGCCAGGTTTACCTGCGCTAGAAACCATCCCGGGCGGTGTCCGCAAAAATAGTTGCCTTCAGTTAGTGATGAGATCGTAATGCATGTTTTCGTCCCATTAGAAGAACCGGCAAGATCGACGCGAAGGCAAGAAGAAGACAAAGATGGCTTGGCCTTATTGAGGGGGCTTTTCAAGAGCACTAACCTGATCCGTGATTCTGGTGATCGTGTGAGATGGCGAAACATGAACGCCTACGCTTATCGGCAGGGCACATGGGGGTGGTGAAGGAACTAAGATCGTCTATTTTTTTTCAGTGGGACAGTAGTGATCACGTCTGCCGTGTGGGTTCTGCGACCACATGGGATGTGGAGGGGGGGGTATATCCACTGCTTCCTAACAAGCATGTCGTAAAAGGCTACTATCAGGGGTGTTTTCTTTGCAGTCAGAGTGCAACTGCCAGAGATTATAGGTACCAACAGTCTGCATACAGATAAGTCAGATATGTAAAATGGATGTACACACAAAACGGAAGTTCTGGAACAAGTACAAAGTCCAGAAGTGGACGAACAACCAGTGCTTTAAGCCAGGGTTTACAACTAGTGGACGCTAAGAGTAAGAAAAAGAAGAGATGCGGGACCCATTTTCCAGCACTACAGGACGTAGACACCTACCTCCACCCAACACATTATGAGAAGTTACATATATGCATAAATTGTTCATTGCCATGTTTCATTGTGTCTGCCCAGTTTAAAAAATGTCTAACATTGTCAGTAGAGTATTTATACTTGTCGATGAAATATTTCATAATTTGCAGGCGCCGTCTCTCCATCCTTCCTGAATCGAGAAAATTTGCACGTTTTATTCTCTCACTTTCTGTTAGTCTCTGTTTGTTTGTCATAACATCGTTTGCAATCAGATCTTCTGGTATAAGTTGCCAGGCAGCTTCGCCGTCTACTGTTGTGTCAAAAGGCGTTAAATCGACGTGAGATCTTAAAGTGGAAAGATAAATCTCGTACGAGTTTCCCAGGTCAACCTTGTCCGCCTCAATCACAACCCAGGCACCACTAATTGGAATGCTAAAATCGAAGCGTTCCCAAACCGTAATCCACGATCGCAGACATTCCGGGTTTTTCTGGATGTCTTCGGGCAACGGGAAATAACATTTATTGAGGTCAGTTACAGAATGGCGGGAGTTGAGGTGGAGACGTCGGTATGTTTTCATCCAGCGTTGAAGTAAATGCATATAGTCTTTTGTGTTAACCGTGAGTGCACTGTCACAGCTTTCTCGACTTAGATCATTTAACAAAGGTTCTACGTCATAATGTAAATCTTCATAATATTTAGCATCTGTATGTTGGACGACAATGCCAACACGACACAACCGTGCAAATGATTCGACCGTTGCAGAGTCCAGTTCTCCTTTTAACAGAACCTGCATTAAATTTGCATTCCATACTGCCGAACTTTCCAAGTTAAACTCAGGACTGTATCCACAGGAGGGCTTCTTTAGATAACTGTCGTCTTCATTTGTATCCACCTGCTGTTGATCCGTTCTTGTTTTGCTTGTGCTAACGAGGAAACGGAACAAAATGTCATTTACTTTCCCGTTGTCGTAGACGTTTCTTTTATGAATACTCCATTCGTTCCAGCCGACAAGAGTGTTATGTTGAAAGACCTCTCGAGGTGTTAAGCTTTTCGAATTCGTTTCACAGGTGTAACTGTTTATAAGATTTATACCACGCTCTTGATTTGGAATGTGCTGAGCGTTACTCGGCGTCGTTGACTTCTCGTCTGCTGATGGCTGGAAAGCAGTGCAGTACATGTCTGTAGAAACGATTTGCTCTGATTTGTTACTAATGGGTAATTCTGCAGTTCCTGCTAAGTGTTGGTATTTCCTATCAGATACGATGTTGCCGGAACTATGGATTTCTTCTGAGACCTGTAGACCGACACTGACGCCGTTGATTCTGTTGGTCGCTACATTAGCCATCATGATGTTGTTATCAAGATGTTGTACCGTGCAACCTTCATGCGACTGATAGTTGAGACATTGGCACATCATAGTCGTTTTGTAAAGTGTCAAACCAGCAAAGGTTCTGTGGCGTTCCTGTCGGGGAAGTTCTTCTTTTATTTAGCTTTAGTTATGTTGATCTTTAAAAAGCAGTATTCTCTAGTTCTGTCAGGAAAACAGCAGTTGGACTGTGCTTGGTTTAATCTCACAATCATAGATGTAGCACGTAGCGGTCATATTTCTGAGGACAGACATACAGAATTATTGTTATATACACAGTCACGACATAATAATATCGGTAATAACAAAAGGTATCATAATACACAGTTGAATGCTGAATGTTGAATAAAGAATCGACATCATAACACTTGAGACACACACATAAGCACTACGTACCCATCTTCAGCAGCAAGCGTAGAGTTCCAATTCTGATGGTACCAGTAACTGTCTGATTGTATATCCGTCTCGCCTTTCCCTTGAGTGTTAAGCGTCGACCAGATCCCCTGATAACTCCTTGCAGCGCCTTTCTCCTCAGACCGTAATGATCTATTTGTGCCAAGGCACTGTTCACTCGCTCCCTAAGGGCCTTCACAACATCTAGCTTGTCATACATCAATTCACCACTAAGTGGTGCAGAACCGGCCCATCTATCTGTCTGCTGGTTTCCAAACAAACATAAACAGAAAAGGAAAACAAACAGGTACGGGTTTAAAGACTCGTGTGACGTAAACATACAGATCTTGGAATAGCAAATGAATATGAAATGAGAAAGGACATTTAGACAAACGAACAATGAACAAATATCGGTGATTACAAAAGGTATCATGCGTAGACAGAAGAGGAAACAAGAAGAGGAAACGATTAGGAACGAGTTTAAAGACTCTGGTGACGTTAACAAACATATCTTGTTATAGCAAATAAACCTGAATTGAGAAGAAAAGAGATCACAACCGAAATCAGTCATACAATTAATTAAAGAGTAACCGATAACATGGTCTAACCAGGTACCAACTGCCACAGAGGGCCAAACTGAAGACATTATTGAACAAAAAACCCAGGTGAAGACCACGAAAAAGAATATTCTTGGTTCCATTGCTCTCTTCACAGCAATTACACCAGCTAGATTTAATCTTCAGCGATGGCCGGCCATGTTCCCTATCGTATCTCGAATATGTTCCGTGTGTGCTGTTTTATTTGACAAAAAGTCGATGTGTATAGAAATTCAACCTCGGGCACTGTCTTAATATATTTGCCACTTTCGTCAATTAAAAATAAAAATAAAATATTAACTTAATCTGATTAATCTCTCTTCGGAGTAAGTTGAACTGGCAAACGTTTACGAACACCCTTTTTTCAAATGAGTTTATCTTATATATATATATATATATATATATATATATATATATATATATATATATATATATATATATATATATATCTTATCTAGCTGGTAATCGCTGTAAAGAGAGCAATGGAACCATGTGCTTCTTGCTCCTTTGGCCGCCTTGACCACAGACAGATGGTGCTGTTGTAGAGTTCCTCTGATGTAATCTTTTCCTATTGTTCTTGATAATAACACAATCAATATTTTTAAAACATACTTAAGCAGAGAAAAAAAAACTAACCTACCGTGTAAACAGTTTGATTTTCCACTGTACCTATTCTACTCAATTTCTCAGTGATGATCCTTCAGAAAACCCAAGCGTGAATAAATAAGTCATCTGCAGACAATATTGCTTCTATCTAGTTATAGAGCGACATAAAACGGTTTCATTTCCTGTCAGGTGTTTTAAATGAAACAGACATTAACTGCACGCCGAGGTAAAATAACGCACCGTCGCAACTAATATATCGGTTAAAACTATCATACTTGTGGAATGACTCACGCAGCTGGCAGACGGTTTAGTTTTTGTCAGCCCGCGCTTATCCACGCTAGTCCCATGAAGAGAATGACTGCTACTTCTGAACTTTATACCTGGAACTATGAAAGACTCAAGTTCTATTTCTTATCGTAAAATTTATTTAAATGTAACTTAAAATGGTCTTTAATTAAATCATCCTATTAAAAAAAACCGTTGTAATTTAGGTCACATTACAAACAGTAATGAATTGTTATTACTTATTACATATTGAAACTACGAAAGACTAACCACCAGGTTGTAACTATCAGTGTAATTTAAATTGCTCTACTTAAGAAAGGAAGCTTCTCCTTAACGTAGCAGTTTAGATCGTCAAGTGAAATATTTTCACTTTCAACATAAGTAGGGAGCCACCCCATGTTTCTATTTTTGTTCCCTGGCTTATGACATCAGCACTGACGTCAAAGGCTGGGGGCGCTTCCTTGTGGTATCGACCAGACCTCACAGTCGGCTCTCTCAATGTTCTTCTGTGAATTGTTTCAAAAACATTCAACTTAAAGCGGATCACGTCAGTCGTCTTTAATGTGGGTACCCCGCCCTGAAATCGTGTTCCAACATCGGCAGTTGGATAACGCATGTGTCAGCGTTTAAAAAATCGATTATCTATTACGATGTTTCATATCGATGCAGAGACATGACCAGAGGAAAAATATTCTCACACAACATCGTAATGTATGAAATATTAAGAAAAAGATGCGTCGACCTGAGTTGGCAGTTGCCCGTAGGTCTTTACAACTTATACACATAGAAGTACGCAAGATTGGGCGTTGTCATTGGGCCTTTAAAGTTTACACACGGAAGTGGTACGCCAGGTTGGACGTTTTCCATAGACCTTTGCAAGTTATACACAGAAATCATTTGTAAACAAGTCGGAGAGTTGCATGGTCTGAATATCAACTAGAGAATCTAAGACATGCCGATGACGACAGAAAGTGAGCAGGCTTTACAAGACCTAGTGGAGCATGTACATATGTACAATAACGCAGCCGTCAGAAGTGGCAACACAAACAGTCCGTCACTATAAATGCAGTTCACAGGCAGTGGAAGCGCAATAACAACAGATCATTAGTTGCACAATCAATTAAAAACGGTAAATACTCTATCCGCTATACTGACCGGAGGCTCCTCTGACCCCCCCCCCCCCGCCCCAAACCCCCAATTCCACCCCCCCCCCTTAAATAAACACCAGTCGACGAATTAAGCGATAGAAGGACAGAAGTTTGAAAGATTGTCTAATTAGCTGAGAGAATATATTTGAGTCTTAAGAGAATATTCACTCACAGTGGACTGCAAATTAATTACTTCGTCATCGGCGGGTGCCCTAATATACCTGTGTTTTAGGGTGAACGAGATTTTTGGACATTTGCATCTGTTAGATTCCCAACCTAATAGTGGCCCCTTATGTCATTGTATGTTACTCTTTGAGGTTGGGTTACACACAAAAAAGTTATAGATAGTCTTCGTGTAACCATTATAATCACCACCCCCCCCCCCCCCCCCCCCCCGCCCCCCCCCCCGCTGTGAAAATACCACCTGATTGATTGATTCACTGGCTGTCTTCTTCCCAAGTTTCCAGCTGATTACGCTTTCACAATTGACGTCACAGGACATTGGGCATTCCCAGGTGCACTCAGTCCCTGGACGCAGCAACCACTCCAAAGTGCCTCTAATCTAATTATATTGTATATTGTATCACTGCGCTCTCCCTCACCGAAAACCTGGCTATAATGCTGCTTCTTTCAATAAGTTATGTCACACTATAGTCCGTTTCTGACAAACATCTAGTTTTTATTTCATCGCTCAGCCGTCTGTTTCTTGTATATAAACAAAAATCTATATATCTTCTAAGGGCACGTCATTTTCGGAGGAGTACATTGTAACTGCAAGAAATTAAAAGGGGAGAAAGTGAAAAAGTGTTTGGCAATTTGTTATTATAACATGAAAGAAGGAACTACCGGTATAAAAATGTTAGACCAATCTTGTCTAATTGTGACATAAAATGAGTTTTTAGAGGTTTCCCTGAGGTTACTCTGTGACGCTCAGTTTTTGATATCGATGGCCTCTTTGGAGGAGAGGGTAGGGAAGAAAAGAATGGGCCCACTGTTCCCGCTTCTTACAGTCGTGGGTTTCTGAAATAGAATGTGTAGGGCCGAAAGAGGCAGATATCACAGCCTTGCTATAAACCACAATACAAAGTGTTATATCCTCTTATAAGTACGCACGCAGAAAAAAAGAAGCATATCACCAACATATGATAATGACAACATGGACAAATACATGAACGATGCCAAAACTGCGTGTTCACAACTAGGGACTCTATAATTGCTTAGTCTCCTGTGTTCAATGCAAGTCTGTTAATGCACCACATGTACACAGCCCATCAATTTACAACGAACAATGTTGACTGTCAGTGAAAAGGTCTTTAATGTGGCATCACTATGTAATTCTATAGCTACAAAATTCGGAAAGTTGCCAAATCGCCAGTATTTCCGATAACAGCGGTGTCGGGGTTACATAAGGTGAAATGTCGAGAAATATCGATTGTTGGGAAACCATCAGACCACAGAAATAGCACCAAATATACATTCACGGTCGGCTCTGTGGCTAAGTCGATGCGAACGCTTCGTAATGCCGGGATGCCGTGTTCTATCCCAGCTGCGGGCCATGCGCCTTGCGTTGGTTTTGACAGTGGTATCGGGAAAATCGACCGTCCATAAAACAATGGCAAACTACTGGACGTAAATTTGCCTTGAAAAACCACACAACAGCCAGGGGCTGTTGGGGTTGGTTCTGCAACATCCAGTAAAGGATACGCAGCTAACCTATACATTCACGCGGACTAATTGGCCAGGACCGTCGGTATTACTCCCAATGGTCCTGGAATGGCACTCACAGAGTCACAGAGAAAATGACCAGGTTAGGATAACACTTTTAGAGGTGACCAGATGGTGGCGTGTCAGAGTCACAGCGTTGCGCTATAGACATTAACCAATCTCACCTGATCTCATTTTTATTCTCTGGTACCTTGCGGTATTGACGTGAAGTATAATTTGCGGGCAAGTGCCCGCTTGCGAGCTTCACAAATGAGGATTTCCAAGGTCTTTGCTATTCCCTCTGTTCATAGTTTGCAGG